CTAACCCTAACCCTAACCCTAACCCTAACCCTAACCCTAACCCTAACCCTAACCCTAACCCTAACCCTAACCCTAACCCTAACCCTAACCCTAACCCATTTTTCGCGTTTTGCGGCCTCTTTTTTGTGTTTTTGGGAGCGGTTGCCGTTCGCGGTTCACAATCCACGATCCCCTTTCTTTCCTTTCTTTGTTCTGCGGCACACGCAAGCTTCGCTCAACGGCTTATCTCTGCTTGGCCTGGTCTCAAGTACGGACAAAAGGTGCGACGGGTCCAGGCGCAGAGAGGCGTTCACAATGTGAGTCCTGCGTCGGGAGCGATGCGATTGTCGAGTCGAGCTAGGTGTGTGCGGTCGGGTCAAGGTTAGAGCTGCAACAGACGATGTCTAAAGTACAAGGTAAGGTCCGTAATGGAGAGTGCGAGCGCGGGTCGGCGCGGGTAGGCGCGGGTAAGCGAGAGGTTCGTTCTTCAAGCCCACTTGCCCACTGTGTCGGTAAAGATGCGGTCAAAAGACGAGGAGAAAAGAGAAGAGGAGAAATCAGCAAGGTGACGCCGCGGCGACGACATTTTGGCGGGCACTCACAGAGACTCATGACTCCAGCGCCAAAGAGAAGGCTTGCGAGCGCGACGGCCAGACGGCGGTCGCTGGCGTCGAGCATGGGGCCGAAGAGGAACTCCTTGGCGAGAAGATCGACGAGCGCGCCGTAGAGGAGGACACCGGCAGAGATGGAGTCGAGCACGCCGATGGCGATGATGGTGGAGGGATTGTTGGGCTCAAAGACGGTGCGGACGCCCGTTCCCAGGGCGATGCCGACGGGCGTGACGAAAGCGTAGGCGAGGAACATGGCCGCCTGCTTCCTGCGCCGGCCCACAAAGTCGAGCGCTGCCATGCGTGTGCCGATCGCTGTACCGAAGTCGCCGAGTAGGGATGGTCAGTATGAGTTACGCTTGGCCGGAAGGGAGGGTGCGTCGGTGGAGTACTCACCAAAGCCATCAAACATCTGGTGAAAGACGATGGCGATAAAGTAGGGCACGAAGCCGGCATCGGAAGCTGTGCCGAGACCGAGGCCGACCATGACGCTGTGGAATACGATGCCGCCCTCGATGATCATGACGTCGAGCTCCTTGGCGCGTTGGCGCAGCTTGTCATCGGCAAGCTTCTCTTCCTGCTCGATCATCTCGTTCCTGCGCAGGCGCTCGCTGAGCACAGTTGCATCGAACGGTTTGGTCCCGTCCACGCGGCCGCTGTCGTCGGGCGTCTTGCCTGCCGTGATCGCCTGCGATGTGGCGAGCGCAGAAGCGTTATGCGGTACGGCGACGTCGACGGGAGCGGGAGAGTCGATGGGCCGAATACTGAGGAGCGTGAGGGATTCGAGATGCGCCTTGTCCTTGGCACGCCGCGCCTTGAGTTCGTCCATGGCCTTGCGCGAGCGGTGGATGTGGCGCATGAGAAGCATGTCGACGAGGAAGATAGCAAAGAGGGATGCCACTGCAAAAGAAAGAAGCGAAGGAAGTCAGGCGTGAGCGTCGTGATGCTCGGTGACTTGGCTTTGGTGCGGACTCACTGGAGATGGCAGGCGCCATGGGTGAATAGGCAAGGTTTAGACAGGGCGAGCTGAGCTGGATGAACGCCTCGTAGGTCAGATGCACAAAGGCGGTAGCCAGGATGACGCCGGCCCCAAAGCATTTGCCGATGAAGAAGACCTCGTCCCACCAGGTCCGAGGCATCCCTGACGCGWGTCCGTGTCCGTGTCCGTGTGTATGCTGATCACCGTCGTCATTTGCAGCCGATGTGGGTCGACTCTTGAGCCAGAGGGGTACGAATGGGAGCACGATGCCGATGGAGCTCGAGACAAAGACCACAAAGATGGCCGCGATGTGCAGGCTCAAGGTGTACGAGTCGTTGCCTGCGCCGCGTCGCTGGCACTCTTCCGGAAGCGCAGAGTCATCTGGCCTCCCATTGACCGCCAATACGGTAGGCACAAGCGATGCAGCGAGGAGGTACAACAGCATCGTAGCTAGTGTGCTGCGATCTGGGCCGCCCATGGTGAGCGATCGAGAATGTCCGGAATTGCAGCGCGGGTATTGAGCAGATCAGCGTCGACGGGTATGCATGGCATCCAAGAGGAGTTTGCGACGAGGTTGCAAGAGCGTGGCTGCACGGATGCGCGACTGTCTGGCTTCCGTTCCGAAGGCGATGGCTATGCCGAAGCCGAAGCCGAAGGCGGCGCGTCTGGATGCCGTGAGACGCACTGATGTCGACGAGGGGTGCGTGCAATGCAGTGTCAGCTGAAACGAGGCCGAGATGTGGATGATGGTGGTGTTTGAGCAGCCCAGAGCGGACGCCACGCAGCAACGTCTTGGGCACGGCAGCCCTAGCCAGCCAGCCTCGGAACGGCACGGGGCTGAGAGGTGGAGCATAAGCCGAAGCGAGCCTGTCAAAAGCTTGGCATTTGAAGGGGGAGCGAGGCAGGCACACAGACAGGAAAAACGCCGCAGCGGAGCTGCACTCCAAAAAAAAAGAGAAAAGAAAAAGAAAAAGAAATAATAAAAGGCTGGACTTCAGCCCACCAGGCTCGGAACGGGCTGAAACGATGCGCCTGCTTGAAGCTGGGTGGCCTTCGTCTCCTCACGACGGTCGGACTGCTTCACATTCACAATTCTCTGAGCTGCTTTACATCAGTGAGGATTGAGGCGGCTCAAATGTATAGATGCTGCCGGACTGATTGCTAGAAGCGAGATCGCTTTCGAGAAGTCTGCGGCTGCTTTGCGCCGAGTCGTGTGGTGTCGGAGCGTGCAGAGTGGCCCGAGGCAGCTAGGGTCGAGGTAGGTGAAACTGACTCTTCATGGCCGCGCTTGATGTTGGCGATCTGTTGGCGCCGACGTAGCTGTTCGTTGCGAGCGGCATTACGGGTTGGAGAGACGATTTGCGATGGAGTCGGTGCGAATGCAGAGGCCGATGGGGTCGCGGGTGGAAGCACTTCCTGATCCTCTTTTGTCCGTGTATCGCGCGCGTTGACGTCGATGTCGCCGCTTTCGAGAGCAACGGGGACAGTTGATTGAGCTTGATCACTGATTGACGGCGGGGCCGGAGAAGCGCGTGGAATGAGGGGCCGCTTGACGGGCAGGCTCTCTTCCTCTTGGCTTGTATCCGAGTCGCTCGCCTCGTTTGCAGGCTCGGTCTTGATCCGAAGAATTGACGCCGCAGCAGCGACGGCATTGGAAGGAGACAAGGATGGCTGTCGTTCCGGCTGTTGCGCTGCCGTTAGACGCACGATGTCGGTGGCGCTGAGCGTGACGTCGCCGTCTTCGTCGTTGGACTCGGCGTCAGAAGAGATGGCAAGATCTCGCCCGTGCCCGTTGGCGTGGCAGGAGTCATGGATGTCGTCGTTGTGAGAGGAGCGAGGCGGCTTGAATCCGGGCGGACCGAAGAAGACCATGTCACGATGGCCGTCGAGGCTGCCATGTAGCGCAGATTCAGACTTCGCTGGATTGGATGAGGAGAGTGGAGGACCGACGTCTTGTACGACTCGATCGTGCTCGTCGGCATAAGTAGGTGGGTGGTTGGTGAACTGCAGCAGTTGTGGAGAGTGCCCCGCATGCGACAAAGCCGTGGCTTGGATGAGTTGCAGAGAGCGAGCCGAGGTCATGCTCTGAACAGCGCGATTGTGTTCAGAAGCAATGCTTGCGAGTTGATCTTGCGTGGGGGCACGTGCAATCGCTGCGGCCAGGGAAAGAAGAGGTCGTACTAGATGCGCGGAGAGAAGAGCGGTGTGCGCAGCATGGTTCAAGGGATCCAGATCGAACGACGTCTTGAGCTGTCGAGCGCTACTAGCGTTGGCGACGTTGGTCTGGATGGCGAGTGAGCATGAGAAGCGGGTTGTTTCGAGATCGACGCTTGCCTGCGAGCCAGATGTTGTGGCGTCGAGCGCGTCATGAATGGCGGCAGCGAGACGCGCTAGACGAGCGTGTTCGGTGTCTGTTGATGACGATGGCGACGAGTCGAGATGGGACCGACGCTCGAGAGTGCGTAAAGAGACGCCTTCGTAGTAAGCTGAGCAGGTGTCGCAGTCGACAAGGAGAAGGCCGAGCTGGCTGTGCGTTGTCGAGTAGGCGAGCTTGTAGAGCATCACGGATTGTGTGGTGCGCAAGGGTCGGAAGGGGAGCTGCAGAAGGAATCGGTCGAGCTCCTGGGACCATTCGAGGAGATCCACGTGCCGTGCGTCGCTGCCGAATGCCATGGCTCGCGAGAGGTCGGTGATGATGCCGAGAGGAAAGGCAGGCAACGCTGTGCAGCTTGCCGAATGCGCGCTGGACCCTGAAGTGGAGGAGCAACCCGATGATGAGTCGCTGTAATCGGCGATAGAATCGGAGCGTGTTGGCTCGGTGAGCGGTGAGCGGTGACGGAAGCGCGGATCGACAGAGGCGGCGGCATCGGAGGATCGGCGAGCGGCATTTCCTGATTTGGAACTGGGAGAGCGGGCATTCCCAGGTGCGGAACGCGGCGCGTCGATCTGGGCTTGGTTGGCTTGCCGAGAGGCTGCGGGATGCGGGACGAGCGCTGGCAGGCACAGGAGCAGTGTGCCAGACGCGTACCTTCCACGAGTGCGGAGGGCGGAGTGCGGGACAAGAATGCGGAAGGCGCCTCCAAAGCGCGGCTGCGGCTCTACACCAGCATGGCCGCATTTCCATCCGCTCCGCTTGATCCACCTTGGATCAGCGCTTGGATGGACGGAGCACCGTAGCCTTTGACCACCATCCCGTCGCTCATCCATCCATCCATTCGGCAACTCTACCACCGTCCACACGGCATCGCTCTGCGAACTTCGGCCCGAACAAAGGAAAAGGCGCACGTCGGTTCCTGTTGCCGTTCCTAAATTGGCATCCGCGGAAGTCGGACAGACGGAAAAGTCAGCCCATTCACGAACTGCTTTTTGGAGCGGACGCCAAAGTGTTGGTTGTTTGCCTTACGAAAGCGCTGCACCGCACTTGCATATCTCTCTAAATCGAACCACTTCTCCTCACCTCGTCCTTCCTCGTCCATCGTACGATCAGCTCAGCATGGTCACCACTCGGTAAGCACGCTCCGTCCCGAACGTCGGCTTTCGGAAATTAAGGTCCACTCCTTGCTGCTTATAACTCGTTCTGACCGCCGCTTCACTTGCCTACATCTGCTTCCCATCTCTTCCTCTTCTTCTAGCTCTGCCTCGCGCACGCCGCGCAAGTCTAGAGGTCGCGTCTCGTTCCCTTCCGACTCGGTCGACAACTCTCCGGCCCCTGCCACCCCGACGCCCGCTCCGCGTTCCAACTCGTCGCGCAGCTCGCCCACCAAAAAGTCGTCCTCCTCCTCCTCGTCCACCCCGGCCTCGCCCGCAGTGCGCCGACGAAAGTCCTCCGTCATGAGCCAAAAGTCGCTCTCCAAGGAGCAGCTCGGTCCCAAGACCACCCACTACGAGTTCGCAGGCCCGCTCGGTGCCGCCTTTGTCTCGCTTACCGTGCCCTTCTTCTCCTACTACCTCTACTTTGGATGCTCCGAGAAGCTCGGCTGCGACCTCAGGCTACCCATCGACAACCCCGATGCCATCCGCACCCTCCTGGTCCAGGGTGTCAAGGACAGCCTCTTTGACACCACCGGCTGGTCCATCTACGCCGCCTGGTACGCCTTCACCGTGATCGCCTGGCTCGTCCTCCCCGGCAAGGACTTTGAGGGAACCGAGCTGCGCACCGGCCAGCGCCTCCACTACAAGCTCAATGCCTTTGCCACCTTTGTCGTCGCCATGGCCGCCTCCGCCGCCTGGATCTTCGTCAAGGGCGCCGACTCCTTCACCATCTTCTACCAGCACTGGCCCGGCCTCGTCTCGGCCGCGCTCTTCAACTCGTTCGCCCAGGCGGTCTACTGCTACCTCGTCTCGTTCGGAGACGGCAAGCTGCTTGCCCTCGGCGGCAACTCGGGCAACGTGCTCTACGACTGGTTCATCGGACGCGAGCTCAACCCTCGCATCGGCTCGTTCGACATCAAGTCGTTCAACGAGCTCCGTCCGGGCCTCATCCTCTGGGCCATCCTCGACATCAGCTGCGCCTGCCACCAGTACATCCAGCTGCGCGGTCGCATCACCGACTCCATGGCCCTCGTCTGCGCATTCCACCTCTGGTACGTCGCCGACGCCCTCTTCATGGAGTCGGCCATCTTCTCCACCATGGACATCACCACCGACGGCTTCGGATTCATGCTCTCCGTCGGCGACCTCGTGTGGGTGCCTTTCGTCTACAGCCTCCAGGCGCGCTACCTCGCCTTCCGCCCCGTCCACCTCGGCATCGCCGGCACCGCCGCCATCATCGCCGTCAACCTCGCCGGCTACTACATCTTCCGCGAGGCCAACTCCGAGAAGAATCAGTTCCGCAACGGCACCAACCCCAAGAACCTCAAGTACATGACCACCGCCTCCGGCCGCAAGCTCCTCACCTCGGGCTGGTGGGGCCGTTCGCGCCACCCCAACTACCTCGGCGACTGGACCATGGCGTGGGCCTGGTCGCTCCCCTGCGGCTTTGCCACCCCCATCCCTTACTTCTACGTCGCCTACTTTGCCGTCCTCCTCGTGCACCGTCAGCTCCGCGACGACGAGGCCTGCCAGAAGAAGTACGGCAAGGACTGGGATAAGTACTGCAAGCTCGTCCGCAGCCGCATCATCCCGGGCATCTACTGAGCCCCAACCTCACCTTGCGCTTGCCGCCGCGTCCATAGAATGCGGTCGCCTTGTGCTCCGTCAGGTAGCCTTTCTGTAAATACGATCCCATCACAATACGTCAGCGTGTCCTCGTGCAGCTTTGTGAGGCGTGAAGTGTTGTTGAGGAGGGCCGTGACATGGCCAACAACCTTGGCAGATCTAACATTCTGAAGGGAGCGCAGTTTTCGGACCCGATTCGGCTGGCGGATTCTGCAGGTGTTGGTCTGCCAGGGCCACGCCAAGGCTCTGCACGGACTTCTTCCACCACCCACCGACCTTGCTCGCCACCACCACACACCATTCTCAGGCCAACATCGGTCTGTAAAGCAGTCACGCCATGGTCGCGCAAGCTCGATACGTCCTGGCCCTCCTCGCGGTGTGGTCTGCGCTAGTCTCCTTGGCGTACGCTGGCCAGGACTTCCGTGGACAGATCCAGCCCAACGCTGAACTCGGCCACGTCATGAATCTTGGGCCCAACACCAAGGTCCTCCTCCGCGCAATTCCAGCACAAAAGCCCGCCGAGGCTGGCACTCCCTCTCTTGACCAGCCTCCTGCAACAGATGACACCCAGACAGACTTGGCAGCATTCGGGCATCGACGCGACCGCTCCACGATCGTCGCAGTCGACGGCAGCTTCATCTTCCGCAACGTCGAAGAGGGCGCATATACGCTTCAGGTCGTCTCGCGTACACACATCTTCGAAAAGTACCGCGTCGACATCGTCGATCCAGAGCTCGCAAAGGCGCCTCAGATCCGCATCTTCACACCGTAAGTAGACGCAGCTAGCCTCTTGTTTCGCAAGCCAAGATCACTGATGCTCTTCCGTCCTCCTGTGTCATTGCAGTGGAACCTCGCTCGTATCGATCCTCTCTTCCAATCTGGTCTTCCACCCGCTCATCCTGCATGCGGTCAAACGTGTCGACTACTACACCGAGGCGGCACCTCTGACGCTGGGCTCGCTCATTGGTATGGGCGGTCCCATGATGATCCTCGGCCTCGTCGCCATGGGCATGGTCTTCATCCTGCCCAAGCTTACCGCCTCGCTCGATCCCGAGGCACAAAAGGAGCTCGCCGACTCGCAGGCACGCATGCAGAAGCGCCTCGCTGCCGTTCAGTCCGGCGACGTCTCCAGTCTGCTCTACAAGGACGACCACGTCCAAAAGAGCCAGGCGCGCGAGGCCGCCGCCAACAACGCACGTGCTCAACGCAACACCGGTCCTTCCAAATGAGCACGATCATAGACGCTGCTCGCATCTTGCATTCCGCCTTCGAATCTACGTTCTACACCATAGGCAATTGGACTCCACCCGGACCGTCCTGCGGCTGTGCAGGCTGGAGCGAGCCTACCAGCTTCTGAGACTCGAGGTTGTTGGCAAGCAGATACCGAAGTGCAAAGATGGCGTGCTCGCGCATGTCTGTTCCAAGCACGAAGGACAGGATGAGAAGGATGATGAGTATGGACCTCGTCGTGATGCTCGCCGCCAGATCAACTTACAGGGATTCCTTTCGTCGAGCACCGTCATGTTGAGCACGTGAAACAGGCCGCCTTTCTCCCGAACCTGGTCTTGCACTTGCCGGATCTGGGTCTTGGTGTGCTCGGATGCCGAGGCGCTGACGGCTGTCTGCGTTGGCGCATATACCAGCGAGCCAAGCACGCGAACAATATCGCGCTTGAGGTGGTCAAAGCCATAGCCTGCTTGCTTGGCCTCTGCATTGCGACCTGCCAGACCTGTGGAAGACAGTGCGTGCCCTTCGGGCAAGGGGCGATCGGCATACGCATCGCCGCTTGGTTGCGACCCTTCGGCTGGCTTCGTCGGCCTGAAAGGCGAGAGTGCAGGGGCGTACTGATGCGTCTGATCGAGCAACGCAACGAGCTCATCAACAAACGCCGTGTTGCTGCGCATGCTCGAGAGCATCCCGACCGAGAGCGCAGAGAAGCTCAAATCTCCCTGGGTCACCGCACCTTCGGGCGAGAAGCTCGCATCGCTCCATCCGTCGGCAGTCATACTAACGGAGAGGAGGCACTGCAGCACGAGCAACAAAGCGTGGTGGACGCCGATCAGCCTTCGGTCCTGAGGCTGCGCGTCGGCGTCGGCGCCGTCCTTGACTGTGCCTCTTGCCATGGCGTTGCGAGCGAAGCTGGAAAGCTGCGCAAATGCATCGAGCAGTCCCAGCAATCCAGCACCTCCGACGACGTCCATTGCGTTGGAGGGTACAGTCCCCAGCGCGATGTGTGCCATCATTGGGCCGCCAGCGCGACTCGGGCCAGGCGCGGAAGACGAGTCGATGGAGGTCGCTGCTTGCTGTTGGCTCGAATGCAACCAGCTGTCAAGAAGCTTGAGCAGGATGAGCTGCGAGCTCGAGATGACGACCGGTTCGGACGGCACCAAGCCATTCGAAGCCGAAGAGATCTCGTCGAGGGGAGAAAGAGCAGCGAAAAGCATCGAGCTGTGTCCTGTCTCGAAGAGGATCGAAAAGATGGTGTAGATGAAGCCGAGCGATTCCTCGAGTCCTTCCGTCTCGACCTCGGGATCGTATTCGTCGATGGACTCGCTTGTTTTAGCGGACGCGGTGCGGAGCATGATGCTCTCGGAAGCAGACAGGAGCGTTTCAACGATGCTGAGGCCCTCGGGAAGCGTGCAGAGCTCCATACAGCGACGGCGCGCATCTGCGCTGCCGTTGGGCGCGCGGATGAAGTTGATGAGGAGGATCTGCGCAGCGCTCTGCGTTGCCGTGTCGGGGGACGAGAGGAAGTTGAGGGCAAGCTTGTGCTCCGGCTGAGAGGTCATGACGATGCGGGGCCACATCAGCTGCTGCACACCTTCGTTCGCCGTGATGAGGTTGGATAGCATCTGGATGGCCGCGCGTGCTAGCAAGAGCGTGTCTGGATCGTTGAGGGTGTGGAAGCGAGTCAGATTGGTCAACAGAGGCGCAACCGTGTCGAAACGACTGCACAAGATCGATTGCGCCTCGGCACATCCAGCCAAAGCATTGCGCAGGGCTCTGAGACAGAGCGTAGCGATGTGCGATACGCGATAGTATGGATCTGCACTCTGCTCCTTGGCTTCGGTCGAGGCCGGTTGCGCTTGTAGAGGATCGAAGTCTTCCATTTGCGAGTTTGGCCGTGAGGATTGCACTTGTTCGAAGGTAGCATGCAGCGTGCCAATGCATTCGATCAGCGAGACAAGTGCTTCTGACCCGGCGAAGTCTGTGCGAAGGCTGCCATCTTGGGCTAATTGCTGTCCCAGGGCAACGAGGTAGGATTTGACGTCGTTGTACGCCTCGAGTTCGCGTGCGAGCCCGTCATTAGGATGCGGCGCGCTGTGAACCAAGGCAAGGTAGCCTCCGATGAGTCGCTGAAGCGTATCTGAGTCGCCTTGTGCAGCTGGCGACATTGCCTCCGAAGCCTGCATGGTGTGCAGCCCGCTTGGTGCCAGGGTCGATGATGGGAGCGGAGCGGTGAGAAGGAAGGAGCTCAACCACGAGGCCACCCAGGGTCCAACGCTTTCTCTTTCTCACCGAAAGCCAGGTGGAGTGCGAAATTTTGTCGGGAGTCGGACATCTCCAATTCTCCCTGCTGAAATTGCCTTTGCTCCACGACCCTCATGGTCCTTCACGACCCTCATGGCATGGCTTCACCACGTTGACAGCTCTTCGCCCTCACAGATACCGGCAGACGAAAGAGGCAGAAAAACAAATCCCAATGACAAGAAAAGAGAGTGAAAGAGATACGGTGACATGACGAGAAGGAAGGAATGTCTAATATGGAACTGAAAAGAGGCTGAGCCCGCGAGGGCGTCGAAGAGGGCGAAAAGACGGCCGGCCAGAAGCCGGCCAGAAAGCTTTTCGCGTCTAGAAGGAGAACCTGAGCAGAGCAGGGTTGAGAGCGATGGGGTAGAGAACGTGTAGCAACGCAGTGAGGAGAAGCGGCCAGTAGGTGAAGAACTCTTGGATCTGCCACTGCAGCGGCAGCACGTTGGGCAGACGCAGCACCACGATGCCGCCCAGCGTGGCAAAGCAGAGCAGGAGCACCTTCCAGAACCTCTTGAAGATGATCGGCACCTCGATGAAGAAGTTGCTGTCTTCCAAGTCCTTGACCGTCGCGCTCCACGTCATGTTGATGCCCAGGTGATGCGCGAGCAGCGCCATCAGGATGTGGAACGACAGGCCGCCAAAGAAGATAAACATGAACGGAATCCAAACAAGATGCTCCTTGATCAGGTTGAACAGTGTATCCGCCTTGGCTCGGTACCGACCGATGATCTGGGCCACGTTACCGGCGCACGTAAACACCAAGACCACCGACACCCAAATGTTGAACGACGGCATGTAGACTGGCATGAGCACCGGGTAGAACCAGCCGTGCGCAAGGTAGAGACCCAGGCAGAGCGGGAAACCGCAGGCGATCGCGTAGTACGAGAAGATGTAAGAGCAAGCCGAGAACTTGTAGTGCATCGGTGCCCTGCCCCAAAGGAAGCTCCTGAAGAGCTTGGTGAAAGGTCCTCGGTACGGCCACTCCCAGATACGGTTGAAGACGAGCTCGGCGCAGCCGAAGGCATACTTCTGCCATCGGTTCAGCTCGTCGTCGCACGTCAGCGAGACACCTTCCTCGAACTTGTTGTTCGAGTAAGTCGCCCACCTCGTGATGTAGCCGTTCTGGATGAGTCGCAGCGCCATGTCAAAGTCTTCCGACACATGGGCCTCGGACCAGATCTTGCTGATGCCATCCTCGGGGTCGACGAAGGCAACCTCCTGGATGGCAGACCAGCGCAGGAAAGCATTGTGACCCATGAAGGGCGCAACGTCTCCGGCAGCGACCATGAACGAGATGAGGAAGTTGACCAGACGAGTGAAGAACGACATGCCTGCCTCGAAGTAGCTGTCCGAGACCAGCATGACACCGGAGCAGTGCTGCAGCACTCCGACTTCAGGGCTCTGCACCATCTCGGAGGCGGCGTCCAGCAGGCAGTCCTCCGGTACTCGCGTATCGGAATCGATGAGAAGGACAAAATCGCCGAATCGGATGTTGCCCTTCGCTTGCGCAAGCGGGTGGAGTTCCGGAAGGCACTGCGTCAAGCAACGTTCGTACAGGCTGACTTCGTCTGCTTCCGTCCAAAGAGCGAGACCTTGAGGTGTCTGCGGACGGTGCTCCGTCATGGCCTTCTCGACAGCAAGGGACAGGCGGCAGGTGAAGTTGAGGTTCGAGGCCTTCTTGAAGCGACCCTTGCGGAGGTAGCCTTCTTGGCCGTGACCCGGTCGTGCCACCCAGCCGATGCTGTTCTTCTCGTAGAACTCGTGACGAATCGCCTGCTCGGCACCCGAGACGAGCTGCATACCGTCTTCCGAAACGATGATGGACGCCGTGCCACCTTGCAGCTCGTACGTGCTGATGGCTTTCTTGACCGACTCGATGGTTGGGATCAGCACTCCCTCGAGCGACTCCTTGTACACCGGCATCTGGATGGTGATGTGCGGAAGCTGGCCGATGATCCTCTTGGGCGCCTTGCCCGAGTAGAAGCGAGAGTTTTGGTGAAGCTGACGCACCGGGCCAAGGATCTGGAAGACGGTGGAAATGACGCTGGAGCAGAAGAACATGATGACCGGAAACATCAGGGGGGCCGCCGCGGCCAGACCCATTCGAGACCAGTTGCCGTCCAGGAGCGAGTATTGGAAGAGCTTGGAGATGAAGAAGAAGCAAAGAACCACATCGAGACCGATGGTCAGACCGATCATAAGCGGCGCTTGATAGTTGACGGGCCTTTCCTCCGTCACAGAGGCTCCCTGCTTCTCCGGATCGCTTTTCTCCGCATCATGGAACGAGGAGGGTCGCGAAAGGTCGTCCGGTGAGCCGGTTCCCGAGAAAGGGTTCGACGCTGCGAACGAATCAGCGTCAGAGCCCGCCTTGGCACCGTAGATGGGTGTAGCGTTGCCGGTGCCAGACTGCGAGCGGAACTTGGCTTGGTTCTGGTTGAACTGGCTCATCGACGCGTCCACGATGCTTGCCGAAGTGGCCGAAGCGATGATGTTGCTGGTGTTGTTGGAGTAGGAGCTTCTCCAAATGAACATGATCATCTTCTGCTCGAGGTCTTGGGCTTGCTCTTCGATTTGCTCGACGTTATCGCACCAGATGACGACGGTGTTCTCGCGTCGGATGAAGCAGGCGTTCTGCGCCTTCCTCGCGCCGGCGAGCTGCTCCATGGTGTCGACCACCTGGACGTGCTGAGAAGGCGTGATGGGAATCTGCGTGGTGCCAGGAGCAAGGCGCGTGTTGATGGCCGAAACGACGGGAGAGGTGATGGTCATCGCCACTTCGCAGTTGAGGATCGCCACCGAGCGGCAGAAGTGGGCCAGCCTCTCGTCTTGAGCGGGGCAGACCACGTACTGCCCCTTTGCGAATCGGATGGCGACACCGCTGGCGACATCCGGATTTTCGGAGAAGAAGTTGCGCTTGCTGCACGACTTCCAGAGGTGCGATGCCATGACGCGATATCCATCGCGAGCATCGATCCAGTTCTCGTCCTTGGCAGCGGGGTTGCTGCTGCTGATGGACATTCCCGAATGATCCTTCTCGTTGTAGTCGGAGCCCAGAGACTTGCCATCTTCCGTCATGGAAGGTGCGGACTTAGAGTCCTTGCGTCCTGTCTTGCGCAAGAACCCGAGCATTTTGACGATTTTGCTGATTTAGGTCGCGTCGAATAGCAGACGTCCTAGCCGTGGAATTGAAGCTGAAGCTGCAGAGCTCCAAGGAGCCGCCGTGGGGTACCTGAGGGCTTCTCTCCTGATGGGAAGACGGAGGAGATAGATGCTGACCAAGGAGGTTGGTGCACAGCAGGGTGGAGAGAATAGGCGAAAGGGATGGGGGATGAGGTGGGTGCGAGAAAGGACGTCGTTATGATGGAATGGTGCCGTATTAAAGGGATTTGGCGATCAAGCTGCCATATGAGAGCGCCGTTTTCGACGATTTTGACAATTCAGGCACTTCGCAAGGAAGGATAAAGGTGAGCCGGCCGCTCAGCAAAGCACAGCGTAGCAGAGGAGAGCTCCTTTACCCTTTCTACTCCAGAGGCTCCCCGGTGCAGTCTTCGAATTCATCAATCAGGCGATCTGTGCATTGAAGTGATGGACTTTACGCACACAAGCCTCCCAAGCCGCTCGGGAGTAGGAGAGCGCAGCATGCCTGGTTCGAGGCCCTCGCAATCAGTCGGTACGCCACGCCATCACTCCCGTGTCGGCACACATGGGAACAAAAGAGTTTGAAAAGATGCGGAAATACTCGTTGCCATGGTTTGAACATGTGCAGGGGGCTCGAGCAGATCTGGGACCTTTCAAGATAGCTAGAGTCCCGCGTTTGAGGCTGCTGCATTCCTATACGGACGGCGCTACATGATAGGCCGCTGTGGCCTCCTCCTCTAGCGGCGTTGACCCCCTGCCGTCAGGCACGCACTTTCTTTTCCTGCAGCTAAGCATGATTTCCCTTTTTTTTTTCTTTTTTATCCTTCACCGGGAAAAGATCTTTTTCACTGGAAAAACAAAAATGAAATCCCTTTGTGAAGCCGACCGCCAAAAAAAATCAACTCTCTGCTGCTTCTACGAGATAACAGCTCTCTCTCTCTCGAGTGCCCTCGAGATTCGTGACAATGGACGGCGTGGCAAGCAGCCTTGCACTGCTATCTGAACCCGGTGTGAGGCGACGTCCATGCTTCATCCTGAGGCGCCAAGCCCAATGCTGGCAGCGCTGCTCGATAGCCCGAAAAAAGTATTTTTGACTGGATTAAATTCCAGTAAATCGACGTGGAGAATTAGAAGAACTGGTCGTCGAGTCCTTGTGAACACAGGTCTTGGCAGGTCCAAACAGCACAGACAGAGAGCGTGTGGATCGAGCCGGGTAAAGTCGGAACTTTCAGCAGTTCGTTCACCGATTGAAGTGTTTGAAGTACTGTATGCTGTGGGCGACTAAGGGAAAATAAAATCCCTCGAGAAAAAAAATACTTTTCAAGAATAGATAACCTGCCAAAAAAGTAAAAGAGAAAAGAAAAGAAAAAGAAAAACAGCAGATTCTGCTTTTGGGTGTCTCGGACTGTAGTACAGCGAAAGTTCGGAAGAGGTCCCGGTCGAGCGGTCAATGCACGGGCGGCTTGGTCTCGGTTAGTGAGGCAGTCTCGGAAAGAGCAAATGAGGGGACACGAGCAGTGCAATTTGAAAGTGTGCGCGACAGAAGTCCCGATGGTGCAAAAAAATGGTCGGGAGGTCAAGCGTGCTGGATCGTGACGGGCGCTTGGCGCTCAACAGATTGGGCGCGCAGGTCAAGGCGGCACGCCCCGCTGAGCGCCGTGCGCCAGCTGCATCTGCGGGCTGTATCGATCTGCCGCCTTGGAGGGAGGCGGGCGTCAGAACTCATTTTCAAAAGAAAACCCGACCCAGAAAACGTCAGGGCCCAATCTACACGCGTTCCTGCGATGCAGATGCAGGCCTTGCCCGCGTGGAGACCCCGACGAAACACCGGCAAACAGACTGCACATGCTGGTACCGTGCAGCTTGCAGCTGCAGGCTGAGTCTCCGCCCTGAAAAAAAGAGGTGGCGTGAGATGCGTGCCAGAGAGGCGGATAAAGGAGCTTGCCGTTTGTCCTTGTTGCGCCAAGGCGCGCCCCTTGGAGACCAAGATAGCAACCCACCTGACAGTGCTGAAGTTCCAGTGGCCTTACGCCTGCTAGAGGCCCTTGCTCGATACAGTAAGGGCTCATCAGGAACATTCATGCGCAGCTCGGTTGAACACACGTGCTTGCCTCGATCCAGAGAATGGGGTCGAGCGCCATGCATCGTGATTGGGACGAATCCTCGCCCACGGGAGGTGTGAGCGAGACCGGTCTCGTCTCGCCTAGCCTGACCCGTGTTCCTCGAAGATATAACTTGAGCATCACTTTCACAGGCCGAAGTCATCTCTGCCACCTTCGAGCGTTTTCATGAGGCTTGGACCCGCTGCGTCGATGTGATGAGATATCCGGTTCACACCGGGTGAGGAGCAAGTTTGCTGCCAACCACCACCATGCTGTTGGCCGAGTAGATCCCTGGACCCGAAGAGAAGGACCAAAGTTCAAAAAGTGGCGGGTCAAAGGGGCCCGTTGCATACGTCAAAAATCTTTCCTTTTTTTCCGAAGATTGTCCACAGTGTCTCGGTGCCACGCGGAACGGGGGGTGGCCGACATAGCCGCGCGCTCTGTTCGGCACTTCCAGGGACCCTGACGACCATAACCGCAGATCACGCTCAAACCCCGTGTCTCACTCCACCGCGTCCATGGGCGGTGAAAGCTGATCAACATGAAACCAGTCTGATGATGATCGCAACTTGGATCTGACACCAGACGATATCGGTAGCCTCACATTGACAAGACTCCCGACGTGAGCCTTTGTATTTGGACATCTCGATAAGGGCAGCGTCGCCGCTGATTGCGACTCCTGAGATCCTCAGCGTAGATGTTGGCGCCTCCCACTGTCGGTCTTATCGGTTGTTAGTTGCAGTCAAAAGCAGACGTGACCGTATCTTGGGCAGGCTGTGCTGAGACGTGACTTCGAACGCAAGGCGGTATGGAAGAAGCGTGCTTGGTGAAGATAGGAAGTCTTCGGAGGCCTTCGGAGGCCTGGTGCTCTCTGAGTCGCGCGTCACGTCAGGCGGACGGGAACGGATGCATGGTTCCTGATGGCGGCGTGCAGTTGGGCTGCTTGCTTGGCTGCGACACGGACCTCGAGTGTCGCCTGACGCACGTCGCGCTGCCAATTACCGCGCGCCATCGATAAGGCTGGCTGCCGCGTGGGAAGGCCCGAACGCTTTTCACCTGGCCGACGAAGAATTATCGGCGATTTTCAGGTGAACAATTATCGACCAAATTTAAATTGCTGCAAATTTGTGCATGGAAGTTTTTGAGGATCGCTGCCATGCACAGCGTCGTCCTGATGTCGATCGAATGACTCTGCACAGCATCTTGTGTCTGTGACGAAGTCCTGAGGGCTCAATCACAAGGCAAAGCATGCAAGCTCCACAGGTCACCCGGGACATAACTTTTGCGGCCGAAGGAAGTACTATAGCATGGTCACAAGCAAGAACGCGCGACAATGCGCACTGCAACACGCCTGAATTCCAACTGTTTCGGTATGTGTCGCTCGTGGCAACAGGAAGAAGGACCCAGCGGTCACGTCTGACATCTTCATAAGCTTGCACCTCCAGCTTGAAAGCCGCAGCCATGTCCTGGGCCAGTACCTCGACTCGAGGTGGGTCTCGGTGAAGGGACGAGATGTTGGATTTCAAATCGCACCATCGAGGGAATGGCGGAGCACTGAACCTGACTGGCAAATACCGAAGGCATCTGCAAACAGACAACTGCCCGCACAAAGCCCGATGTACCGATCGGAAGCTTGTGGTGGCAAGCTGAGCTGAACTCGGGAGAGCGACGAGTTGGTTGGTGGGAGCCGCAGCGGCAGACAGGCTTCCGTCCTGAGATGCGGGCCAGTGCTTCCGATGCGTCGGCTAGTACTGACAGGAGACAGCTCGGCTGAACTCGTGTGCCGCAATGGTTGCGTACGGTCGAGGAAGGGTCTGTGTCGAGGTTCGGCTCCGGCGAGGGTCGAGCAGCTGCCGAATGTCGGACCTTGAAACACGGGGAGCACGTTGCATGGTGGAATTTGTAATTTCGGGGTTTTTCCTATTCTTTGGGGTGGCGTGAGTCTTCTTGGCTCGAGGTGCGCTGCGCCAGGGGAGCCGTGCAATTCCTGCAGTTTGTCCACCGGCAGTTGCGGGAAGAGGCCAAAGCCAGAATAGCTTGAACCACCCTTGGGCGATCTGCATGAGCGCTGCCCTATTGTGATCCGGGTGAGAATGCAATCCACGTGCCGGTGCCCACTCTAAGCAAGGATAAACGGTCAATTGATTGGCGCAGGATCGGCGCCCAGCCACGCAGCGAGCGCCATGGGCGCTGCTCCTTTGCGCCTGGGGCCGCACGGCTGCAGATGTCGCCTTGAAGCGGCCTTCTTGACTGCAGGCACGCCGTACCCCTCGCTTGGTCATCTTACCGCTCGGCACGGTCAACCAGCTTTTCACCCACGCAGTCCGGTCGATCGCTTTTGCCTGCCCCAATGATTGCCAAAAGCTAAGCGATGGAGAGACACTTGCATCAGGTCGATCATCTGCAAGATCAGAGGCACGCCAGGCGACTTGGCTATCGGTATAAGGATTCAGACTTTGATCGCACCGCAAAGGCTGGCGCTGTACAGTGTCAGGCATCTGTTGCCAAGGGGAAGGCATACCCGATGATCTATTTGACTGCACCGTCTTTCAAAGGTATGTTCAGTCGTCGGTCCGTGATTGGAGGACGAAATGACATGCAGGTGCGGGTACGGCGTGCCCAGCATGCGTGGCTGGGCAAAGGGGGGGGGCGTCTTTGGGCCCGGACCCTTGGGTAAGCCCTCCAGGGCGTGCGTCTAATTGAGCGCCTCGAGATCCAACCACTAGTTCGGTCCGCGAAAACCCACGTGGCGCTGGGCGCCCTAGTTTTTTATTTTTTATTTTGTTTTTTCAGTTCCGACTGTCAGTTTTACTCTGCGTCTCTGATGCGCCACTGCAGATCAACGAAATGCAGTCGGGTGGACCTGTCCGCTATCGCCGTCGAGCTAAAGCAAGGTGGAAAGTCCCTTTCTTCTTATCGGTGCCGTTGCTCCCACGCCTTCGGTCCCCTAAAGTCCAAGAGTGCCAAAGGCGCTCACATCTCACGGGAGAAATCTCGTCCCGTACCTCGATCTTGCATGGACACCCCAGCACCTCCGCTGCCAAAGGGACAGACGCCGGGTTTCCGGACCCTGTTCGGCACAATGCACCCAGAACAGGAGATGAGATTTGCCGGACTTTCCTGTCTTTCACCTTGGCCGGTCCGCTTGGCTACCATTGTCCCAGTTGCGTATCCGTAAGCTTGCTCTCACATCACCGAAAATCAAATCTCACGCCACCAAAGACGCAAGCCAACCGATCTTCTTGGCCAGCCACATGTTCCCAGCGGGAGGGCGCCAGGATTTATCGAACCGTGCCCGTCGTCTCGGATGAACAGCTTGCCTCCCGTTCTAAGACAGAGGTTGTAGCTTATCCGCAGCACTGACCCTTCCTGGTAAGCTCGCGGATGATCCACATGCGCTGCCCCTTCGAGCTTTCACAGAAGCTCTCATAGCGAGCAGGCCAGCACGCAGAGATGCTAGGATGAGGTTGAAAAAAATCGAAATAGATATTCGAAAAAAGAAAAAATCAAAAAAAGAAAAACTATAAATTTCCCAGCTGTCACCAAAATAATCATTTATGTTTCGAGAAAACAGGAAAACGACAAAGAAAAAAATTGCTCCCCCTACCAGAAGTTTTCCTGCTGGAACGTTCCCGGGTCTGTGTGAGTACATTCTGATGCATGTCAGGGTGCGGTGGCGTCTGCGTTCCTGCGAGGCGACAGGAACACTGATCAGCAAGACGACACGAGCCCCCACCTTGCCCTGTCGGCAGCTATCTCTGCTCTTGGACGTTCATCCGCGACACGGGCCGGTGCCTGCCACCCGGCACGAAACTGTCGCATCTTGATACTGTCCCGCGTTCGAGTGCGGCAGGGTATCGTTGCGCACGGGACCGCAAGAGTTTCTTGTCCTCGAATTCGGTCTCGAACACTTGGCGAACGAGATGTTTTGTGCCTTGTGCACAAGCCTTTCCGGTGCAGGTCTTTGTACGGGGGCGTGTGCGAGAATCAATTACTCCGGCTCCAACCGCTTTGCACTTGCGAAGTGCACCGCTGAGCGATTGACCAGCTTTCTCTGTTCCTGCAAGCAAACAGTCTGCCCGTTGAGCCTAGCTATCCTCGACCTTTAAAGACTCGCTCGTCCGCGAGTCTCCCTCATCTCTGCACTTCCATCCAAGCCCAGCATTTGCCATCTCAAGCAAAACAAGCACACACAAGATGAGTGGCACGATCGTTGTCTCGCCTCGACCCTCTGAGGAGATCGAGCAGCTCAACGATATTATTCCAGCACGAAGGAGCGATGCATCGGCAGATATCGGCGCATCTGGAAGCTTGCAGGGCGCTGGGAAGCTCTCGAGGGTGCCGCCTCCGCGTATTCAGAGCTCTGACCTCGAAATTCCAGCGGTCGCAACCATGCCAGAGTCGGGCTCGCTCCCAACTATGCTGAGCGCAAGCAGCTCGCTCGGCGGCCAGAGCTTCGGCGCGCAGAGCCTTGCGTCCAGCGGAAGCAACCAGCGCTCCCCGCGAGGATCCGTGAATGGCGACTTGGTCTCCTCAACCAGCAGCAACAGCGTCTCGGACCACAGCCGCTCGAGCTTCATGCCGCCCGTAGCTGGACTGTACAACGCTTCGGCCAGCAGCTCTTCTGCGCACCTTGCGCTGCGATACCGCAAGCCGTTTGCGCAGCGCGTTCTGCAGGACGGTGAGAAGGTGGACAAGCCGTGGCTGGACGACAAGAAGCGCAAGTCGTCGGACCGCAAGGCGTACTGGATCTTCAACATCTCGCTTTCGCTCGGCCTGATCGGCGCGGCGGTGCTCATGTACTTTGCCTACGCCGCGGTGCCCAAGGACAAGTACTGCCTCGTGCTCGACGAGCAGTTTGAGGGCAACACGATCAACAAGGACATCTGGTTCCACGAGCTCGAGACTGGTGGATTTGGCAACGGCCAGTTCGACTGGACTACGGACTCGGCCAACAATTCGTTCGTCGAGGACGGCAAGCTGTACATTGTGCCTACGCTCACGTCGGATGCTCTGGGCGAGGCGGCCATCATGGATGGATATGCGCTCAACTTGACGCTGTCGGGCACGTGCACTGCGTCGAACAAGACGGACCCGAGCTGCGCTGTGGCATCCAACATCACCAAGGGAGTCATTCTGCCGCCGGTGCAGTCGGCTCGACTGATGACCAACTTTTCGCGCACGATCAAGTACGGACGTGTTGAGGTCAAGGCACGCATGCCTACGGGCGACTGGATCTGGCCGGCGGTGTGGATGATGCCCAAGGACTCTGTCTACGGTCAGTGGCCACGATCTGGCGAGATTGACATCTTTGAGAGCCGCGGCAACCTGCCCACCAAGCGCGACAGCCGCGGCACCAACCAGATGCAGTCGAGTCTTCACTTTGGCCCCAACTTCTTGTTCGACGGATACGGATTCGCGACCAAGGCGCGCAATCTGTGGCGCGACTGGTTCAACCAGGGCTCGCACACTTTCGGACTCGAGTGGACCGAGAAGCAGATCTACACGTGGGAGCACTCGCCCATGTTTAAGAATCTCGAGGTCAACTACGACGATGGCTTTTGGAAGCGCGGCAAGTTCCCGAGTCAGATGGCCAACGGAACGCTGCTTTCCAATCCGTGGGCTGCGGTGCAGGGCAAGGATGCCAGCATCGCACCGTTTGACCAGGAATTCTACCTCATCCTCAACGTCGCTGTCGGCGGCACCAACGGCTACTTTGAGGACGGGCTGGGTGACGACAAGCCGTGGTCCAACGACGCCGAAAACGCGCGCGCGCAGTTCTGGGAGTCGCGCGACCGCTGGCTGCCCACCTGGCCCAAAGATCCCAAGCAGCGCGGCATGGAGATCGAGTACGTGAAGATGTGGCAGAAATGCTAAGCATCTCCGTGCATTCCTCTACCTTGCTTTCGATTCGGCTTCCTCGGTTTTCTCCTTCACCGTCTCTCACTCTTGTCACCGAAGTCTCTCTTTTGTTTTGCGTCGCTTGGATGCGTTGCTGCGATCCTGGAATAGTCAAATAGATACTCTGCTTCTCGAAGCGTGTGCAGAAGATGGATTAGCGCGTGCGTGCAAGTGGATCGATTGCACTACTGGGCGAAAGCGGGCCTATTGCGTAAGCCCGACGGGGTATGTGCAGGATTCGGCAAAGAGGATGAGGTTGTGGACGAGGCAATGCCGATGCCAGCCCCTGCTACCGAGCCGCGAAAGCTGCCGGGTACGTCGATATGTCCATCGGATCCCGGCGCGCTGTCGGTGGCGGCAGCGTGGCGTGACCTGGCACCGAGGCCGCTATTCGCGCGCAGCAGAGCGGCGTGGGTAAGACCGGACGACTGCTGCTGTCCGGGCTGGCCGTATGCACCTGCGGTGTGCGCCCTCCACGCCTCGACGCTGCCGAAACCGCTGGGCATGGCGGGGGCCGAGACGCGGGCGGCCGAGGTGGATCGCGAGTGAGGTGGGCGCGAGGAAGACGGCGATTCGGAGGCGGCGTGCATCATCTCTTGGCGTGCGGACTCGAGGTGGCCCGGCTCGACGATCGAGTCGTCGGTGCGTTCGACGCCTCTCCCAACGCTCATCTGACCGTCGACGCCAGCAGCGTGTGCGGCTGGATCGACGCCGTTTGTGTGTGCAGCGGCGGATGAATCGAGTCCAACGTCGCCGGCTGGGTGTGCTGCGGCGTTTGCTGCTGCTGGAGAGGGCACGAGATTGGGGAGAGTGAGGCTCCAGTATCTGGGCCAGACGAAGCGGTCAAGGATCCAACCGCGGAGGCGCGAGATTAGGAGCTGCTCGATCTTTGGGATGTCCTGGAGCTTTGCACGGGACCCGAGCAAGCTGGTAGCGGAAGCCTCGAGGGCAAAGTCGGGGTGGAGGGAGAAATGGAGCTGGTGACGCGAGCGTGGGGGCAGTGCCGAAGTTGGCGCTGGGGTGGTGGGTAGGATGGTTGCGTTGGGGTCGGAGGAGAAGAGTTCGACGGCGAGGGTGCCGGAGAAGCGCACGATGGTAAGGCTGAGGGACACAGGGAGCACTGCGAACCTGGGTTTGGGGAAGTTGATGAGGAGCTTTGTGTCGATGGCGAGGGTGATCTGGTCGGAGTAGTCGACGTCGATCTCGATGCGTGTGCGGCCGGTGTCGTCGGCGGGGCGAACTCGCGCGTTTGTGAAGATGGGATAGGCGTCGCCAAAGTCGGCCTCTGTGACGCGGATGGGGTCGAGGAAGGAGGAAGTGGCGCGATTGAGGATCTCTTCCATGAGGTCGCGCGCGGTCCTCTCCTTTTCCGGTTCGAGATGGGGTTGGCCTGCAGGGTGGGAGTCGGCGCCAAAGTGGATGCCGGGGGAGTGATGCTTTGGCGGATGGGAGGAGCCGTTGTGCGGATGAGGCGATGCGCCACCTGCGAGGACATCTTCGCGGTATCCAGCGATGGCCTGTGCAAAGACGACGTTGAGCCAGTCTGTGGATTCTGGGAGGTGGGATGCGAGGTCGTAGGTGGTCTTGTCGAGGATGTTGGCAAAGGTGGAGGCTCTTGCATCCGAGGAGACGCGGCTGGACTTGCGGTGGTTGTCGGTGGCGGAAGAAGCAGGGGCAGCTGCAGTCCTGCGCGCGCCTTGGAGGAGAGCCTTTGCATGACGTTTGGAACGGCGCTCAGAGATCTTGAGACGCATGAGACGCTCCTTTTCGAGCGCGGTTGCCGAGTCCTCAAAGATGACGTATCGGATGAGGAGCAGCGCGATGACGACCATGGAGATCTGACCCACGATGAGGCCCTGTGTGAAGGTCCATCGTGATGGGTTGGGCGCGTGGGCGAAGTAGGCGGCGGGTGCGAGGAGTTGGTGTTGGTGCGGTGGGTACGCGGCCGGCGCCGTCGAAGGGGCGTGAGCGTCCATAGTGAGGCAGAGGAAGACGGCCTGCGAGGTCCAAGTTTGGGCGTTTAGCTATTGATATATGAGCGTGCGGGTGTGTGTGCCCCTCATGGCTGGCCAGCGTCGAACGGCAAGGATGGAGAGTGCATGGTCAAAGGGAAGTAGCAGGGCTGGCACTGGATCTTCGCAACGCGTCCGAGCGAGTGGAGCGGAACACAGGTGTCAGATCGGCGATGTGAGTTTTCTGTTTTTGCAGATCGGGAGATTGAGACGGGGATGTCGTGCGAGAGCGCGATGGGCGCGAGACGCCGATACGCGCAGTGCACAGCTGAGCCAAGCCGCCTCGTAGCGTCGGTCGCGTCGGAGTTGACTCGGCGCTTATGCCTTACGTGACCACGCACAGTCGACACCAGAGGGCGAGGCGTTGTTCCCAGTAGCGACAGTGTCATATCTGCTGACCAGGCGGCGAAGTTGACCACAGCTATCTGCGCGTATCGAACACAATGCGACCGACAGGGTTGCCATGCGAGGCGAGCGCTGAGACGGGTGCTGGCCATGCAAGGTCGATCCTCGGGGCTGGCGTAGGAATGCGAGTGTGGTGTGACTTTTGAGTGTGTTGTTTCGGCTGCTGCTGGCAACCGAAAAATCCAAAAAGTCAAACAAAAGCAGGGTTTCAGGCGCGAAGGGTTTCGGCGGCATCTCAGAGCCGAGCGTTGAGAGTAAGCGCAGGGCAGCGCGTTCGGAATTTTGAATTTCGCATTTTGCCACACGCCGCGCCGCACCCAAAGGCTCGGAGCTCAGCCTTTTCAACACGCTGCGCGCTTCTCTCTCCGCCTCTCTCCTCCGCTCCACATCACCCTCACCCTCATCCCCTACTCTCCAGCATGGCCGCCGCATCCTCCTCCAAGATGCAGCTCTTCTCTGCGGACGACGTGTCCAAGCACAACACACCCACCGACTGCTGGGTCATCCACCGCGGCAAGGTGTACGACGTCTCCGAGTTCGTCGAGGATCACCCGGGCGGTGACGACCTCATCCTGCGCTATGCAGGCAAAGACATGGGCGAGATCATGGACGACCCGCAGGAGCACTCGCACTCGGACTCGGCCTACGAGTTGCTCGACGAGCACATCATCGGTCGTCTTCCCACCACCGACGCCGAGAAGCAGGCGCTGAACGAGCGCGCTGCCAAGGGCGGATACTCGGGCAAGGACGACTCGATCGTCATCACCGACGACTTCCACCCCGAGGAGACCGACTTTTCGTCCGACTACAAGGCGCACAAGTTCCTCGACCTCAACAAGCCGCTCATGCCCCAGATGCTGCGCGCCAACTTCTCCAAGCAGTTCTACCTCGAGCAGGTGCATTCGCCACGCCACCTCAAGCATCCCGCACGCTTCTTCAACCAGGACTATCTCGAGGTGTTTACACGCACGCCGTGGTACGTCGTGCCCATGGTTTGGCTGCCCATTGCATCTGCCATCTTCTTCCGCTCCACGACTCAGTTTGCAGCCAACCTGGCAAAGACGCCGCTCAACGCCAACACCTGGTACGAGGCTGCCACCAAGCCGACGCAGTTCGACACGTCCGTTTGGTCGATTGCCCTCACCCAGACCGCGGTATGCTGGGTCGTAGGTGTGGTCATCTGGACGCTGCTCGAGTACGGCATCCACCGATTCCTCTTCCACATTGACGACATTCTGCCGGATAAGCCCATGTTCCTCACGCTGCACTTCCTGCTGCATGGCGTACACCACTACCTGCCCATGGACAGGCTGCGTCTGGTCATGCCTCCACTGCTCTTCTTCCTCCTCAGCTATCCCTTCACCCAACTTGCCCATGTGTTGTTCCCAACAGCAGTGGCGAATGGTATCATCGCAGGCGCATTTAGCATGTACGTCGTATACGACTGCATGCACTACGCCCTCCACCACACCCGCCTCCCACAGTACCTCAAAAACATGAAGCAGTACCACCTCGAACACCACTACAAGAACTTCGAACTCGGCTTTGGCGTCACCTCCAAGGTCTGGGACTACGTCTTTGGCACCCAGCTCTAAATCTCCTCTCTCCCTAGATGATTTGGTTTGCAATACGCAGTGTAAATATGCTTTGTTTACTGTCCTTCAGTTGAGTAGACTGTTGGTGGTTTGGATCGTGGTTGTGGGTCCGACCACGCGCAGTTTGAGTCGCACATCGTTGATCGCAGGTGCAGTCAGCAGCGTGAGCGACGTGGCGAGGTCGTGCGCGTGGCGGGCGTCGACTCGCAGCAGTGCATGCCAAGCCGCTCCCTCATCTGACGGCGAAGGATGCGTCGAGAGAACGTCCACATTGTACGCGCCACCCGTGACGCCCATCGCGCCCGTCTGCGCTTGCTGCACCAACTCCACTACCAACGTCGGCAGCACCGTCGCTAGCGATCCCTCCGACACGCGCGCAGCTGAAATGCAAAGCCCCAAGTACCGCCACTCGGTAGGCTTGAGGCCCTTGCGCACGTACGCTTCGCCTGCACTCGGCTCGTCACGACCTTGCACTGCATCTGCACACCAATTCCATACCACAAAGAGCAAAAGCAAGCGTCAGTCGAAGCACGATACAAGCGGCTGAACCATACTGCCATTGCACACCGAGTGCGTTGCGAGACTACATACTGGCTTGTTGCGACGCTTGGCCGTCTTTCGTCTCAGTCTTGGCGTCCGACGACTCGTCAGTGGTCGCTGCCGCAACGCCGACCGAAGCAGCCACCGCAACGCCCTTGGCGCTCGAGCTGCCGTTCGCCTTGCCGTTCGCCTTGCCCTTGTCGCCGTCCGCATCGTTGGCCTCGGGTGTCTCCTCCTCGGCCTCTGCCTCGGTGTCGGCAGCAAACAGCGCCTCCATGGCAGGCGTGTAGCTCTGAATGCGCTCGAACTGGCTGAGCGGATACGTGACCATATCGAACGCGAGCGCAATAGGCACGCGCTTGCCCTGCGCACTGTCGCTCATGGCAAACAGCGACGACCTGGCCATCTTGGGATACCGCTGCGAAAAGTGCGTGAGCAGGATCTTGGCCGCGCCCATCTCGTGACCCACGCGGATCGCCTCGCCAAACGTCGAGTGGCCCTTGCCGATGGCCATCTCCAGCTCACTGTCCTCCAGCGTCGCCTCGTGGATGAGCAGCGTGCAGTCGCGGCCCGCCGCAATCAGCTCGGGCGCAGGTCGCGTGTCGCCCGAGTAGGTCACCGACCAGCCCTCGGTGGCGTGTCGCACCACGAGGCCGTAGCAGTGCGAGCCACGGTGGTCCACGCGCGCTGTGTGGACGTGCGAGAGACCGGTCAGCTCTTTGATGCCCTCAACGTGTGCAACGTGCTCGCGTCGGCCACGTGCGTCGCGACCATGGCCGTTGACGGCCGTCGTGGCAGCATCTGCGGCGGCTGAAGGGCTTGGATCGACGCCGGTCTTGTAGTCGAGATGGTGGTTGAGCACAAAGATGACATCCTCGTCCAAGCCAAGCCGCTCGATCTGCTCGTACTCCTCGAGATAGCTGTGCACGAATGCAGTTGCCACCAGGTACAGCGGCTTGTCAGCGGCTGGCTGCAGCTTCCTGCGTTCCAAAAGTAAGCGGATGAGGCCAATGTGGTGATCGGCGTGGATGTGGCTGATGAACAGGATTCGCAGGTCGCGGAGAATGTCGTCGACGTCCTGATCCTTCAACGAGCCGCTTTGTGCGGCGGTGCCGTCTCTGCGACATCCAAACTTGCGGCGCAGCAGGCCATAGGTGGACTCTCCGGCGTCGAGCAGGATGGTTCCCGAGGAGGGCGTCTGGATGAGCGTCGAGATGACGTTGCGGTACTTGCTCGGTGCGGCAGAGCCCGTACCCAATGTGGTGACCAGCACATCTTGTTCGGGCGCGGTGGCGGGCTCTTTGATCGAGCCGTATTGGTTTGCCGCCTTGATGTTCTTGACAATGTCGAGGTACTCTTGCCATGCAACCTTGCGTGCCTCTCGAAGACGCACGCTGCGAGCTGCGCCATCGTCGTTGGTGGCGGCGTTGTCGGAGTTGCTTTGCGGTTTGGGCTTGGCGTTGGCGGCGTTTTTGGCCTTTGCTTTGGCGAGTTGTTGCAGCTGCTTGTCGTCTTCCTCGACGGCCTCGACTTGGAAAGCGGCGAACTTTTCTGCTTCCTGCGAGTCTAGCTGGAAGTCAAAGTCCGGGGCGCCCGAGGCGTAGATCCGAGGCTCGCCGCGCGGATGCAACTGAATGATCTGGTCTGCCTCGGCCGCCACGAGCTTGAGATTCAAGGTGGCGGAGAGGTCGGCCAGTGGATGTCGGGGCGTGAGCTGGTACTGGGGCACCTTGAACATGACGTCGTCGAGTTTGGAGAGACGGAGTGGGATGGTGGCGCTGGAAGGGAACATGAGTTTGTTGGCGCATACGTCTGCGTTTGCAATGATATGGTTGCAGTCGGGGCCGAAGCTTTGCATCCAGGATTGGTAGCGCGTGTCGTAGAGCACGTCCAGGGGGATGGCGTGGACGATGGCGTGCGGGGTGTGCGACTGCTCCTGGGCGGCGTCACGGTTGGCTTCAGCGGTGTAGGGTGCAAAGGCGGTGGCGACGTCGTTGCTGAGCAGGTCGCCGATGTAGGCGGCCGAGGGAAGGTAGATGTGGAAGACGACGGCGCCGGCGCGGGAGGCCCCCATGACGTCGGTGGAGCGCACGAGGACGTCTTCGAGGTCGTTCCAGGCGGCAGGGGTGGGCTCCTGTGTGTCCTTGTTGTTGGGCTTGACGTTGGATTTGGCAGGCTTCGGTTTGCCCTTTGAGGCAGCGTTGCGGGAAGCGGCTCTCTGATGCTGCATCCACTTTTGCCTGTCGTCGGCCGACATTGTGGGCCAAGAGGTGGGACGCTTGAGGGAGACGTCTTCGCCTCTAGTGAGAGCGGCGAAGGAAGGACCTGGTGGCACGCCCAGCTGAGTAGCCTTGACGGGATCAAACTTGCCCCTCTGTTCGTGAGCCTGGCAGATGTAGGCAAGCACGGGCGCTTGACCGCCCTCGGCTGGGTCGAGACGGTCTTGGGACAGGTTGCGCGAGTCGGCGTGAGGTTTGGGGAGGGGACGCATGACGAATGCTGGTGAGAGAGGTGGGCGCCAAGTTGACGAAGTGCGAGAAGGATTGGATGAGGTGGTTGTGGCGGGTAGTTGGGAGGTGGCATCGTCCATCTCGACGTCTTGGATGGAGGAGACGACTCTTGAGCCGGATTCTTGCTGCTGTTGACGCTTGCGGAGGAGCGAGTCGTTGAAGATGCTATCCGAGACGAGCTGAATCCATGCGTGGGCCTCTTCTGGTTGGAGCTGCGATGGGTAGAAGTCAGGCCTGCGCCAGAGCTGTTCGAGCTTTTGGAGGGTGGCAGGCGAGGCTTGAGCGGAAAAGTGACCGCTGGCAAGCTTGGGCTTCTTTGCTGGCCTTTGCTGCGCTGTGGTGGGTTGGAGCGGGACGGCGTAGATGGCGAGGTTGTCGTCGCTGAAGATGGGGCTGAAAGTGGGATGTGAATGTGTGCCTTCCGAGGGAGTGGTTGCGTCAACTTCGTGAATGTTGAGCTTCATGATATCTCTCTTTGCGTAGGATCGCATCGTTGCGAGGGCGTAGCGCAGACCTTGAGGGCCATGGAGCGCTTCGGAGGTGCGCTGACCGTCAGCCATGGACATGAGGACGCCCGGAAGGCCGCCGATGGTCTCCCATCCTACGCGCGAGACAAAGATGTTGGAGACGCGGCTGAGGTTTGCTTTACGTTGGGTAGATGATCTGGAGGTGCCCTCGCCGGCGTTGAAGAGGTAGCGATCTGCGCCGAGCTGGAGCACGACCGGGGGTACGACGTTTGTGTCCGAAGACGGTACGTGAAGGACTCTGAGATCGACGAGCATGGTTCGATACTGGTGTGGGGTGCGAAGAGATGCTGAGGGGTGGGAGGAGCGCCAGCGAGGCTCAAGGCTGCGCAATGGAGGAGGGGACGCTCTTGTAGCTAGAGTCGGTGGTGCGAGCGAGGAGAGGCGTGGCCACCACATCCGCTGTCAAGGCGCACTTTGTTGGAGGCGCGTTGGCAGGCGATGCCGTTGGTTGATGAGGTCTATGTCGAGGTAGAGAAGCCGACGGATGGTGGCATCGCTAGGAGGAGTGGGTGATGGTGGTGGTGGAGATGTGCTGCTGCGCGTTGTGAGAAGAAAAAAGTGAAGCGGAGTCGCCAGGAAGAAAAAAAGGCGTCGGCCAGGGTCCGCAGAAGCCAAAATTCCCGGGACTTGGCTCAGCTGTGTGAAATCGGGCAGGCCGAGGTGGAGGTTCACCGCCCTCTGCAAAGCGTTGATGGCCAGCATCCGGCTTGCCGCCCCACCGCAGCAACGGCAGCGCTTCGGATGCTGTGCCGCCAATGACGATCAAGAGCTGTCAAACGGCTGATCACACTTTGCTATCACATCACACTCCCACGGCTGAGCAAAAGGTGTGACTCGGGGCCAAGCCGAATTCATAGCGTGACGATAGAAAGAGCAGCCGACGCAATGCGCAGAGTCGCTCCGCGTCGTTAGTCTGAATCAGCAGCAGCGGCGCTTCCAAGGATGGCCTTGGGAGGCATTGCCGCTGCCCTTTCATTTGCATCGCCCACTTCTCTCGCTCGGCCCTGCTCGGCCGCTCCGAAGCGATCTCGTGGGCCAAGAGCGCAGAACGCAGAGACGCGCGCCCGTGACGGAACAAAGGGCCCGGGCGCCCGTCTCAGCTCAGCCACACAGGCTCAGCTCTTTCCTTCTCAGCTCCCCATCTTCGCGTCAAGCAACCATCCATCCTCGATCGCCGCTATGAACCCTCTTATTTCTACTTCGTATCCGGCGACCGTCACTCCGCATTCCTATCCTCATGTCAGCTTCGCACCCGGCACCCATTTCGTCTTCCGCGAGGGCGAGTGTCTCGATCCTTGGGTCGCTTCGGATGACGACGTCGACCACAAATTCTGCTCCAACAGCGTCTTTGCGCGCATCTTGGAGAGCCAACTCTTCATCAACAACACCAACTCGCTTCTGCTCCACTTTAAGTGCCTTCCTCGCTCCACCGAACGCTCGCACACGGCACCCAACTGGGTCTACTACAACCAAGAATACAACTGGATCCTTGACCTCTTTTGTCTGCTCGACTACCAGGTAATGCCCATCCCCGCAGATCCACTCGCGCAGTTCAAGCTGGTCACCGCCGACGGAAAAGAAAGGCTACCACGACCGCCCATCAAAATTCGTATCGCGGCGATGCGCTCCGACATCAGCCAGCTCTCGGAACTGCTGCGTCGTGATTTCTGCACCGAACTGCGCCCCGACAAGATCCTCGAGCATGTACCCGCATTCTTTCGCCAGCGATACAGGGTCATTGGCGCCATTCAGAAGCTGTACACCCAGCACGCGGCCATGCTCTCGCCCGATGACAACATCTTCTTCTTCCGCAAGTGCAAGGTGTGCGCGCTCTACGACCCGCAAATCATCCGGTTCTCGCAAGATCTACACGCAGTATTCCTGCGCACCTTTCACGGCGAGGACATCAGCCCCGTCTGAATGAACGATGGCGGGAGGAGATCGCACCATTCATTGCCATCGCAATCTCAACGTCCTCAGCAGGAAACGACCATCACAACATACGTAGGACTCGTGCCGAGCTCGAGTGGTGTCGCAGTGAGAAGGTACGACGTCGGACGTCTCTTCTGTGATGATTTGTGACTGGTTTTCGGGCGCCGCTGCAAGAACGAGCATCGCAGTGGTTGGGATGTCGACAGCGACCCGCGCGACGTCCGCTTCGAGTCGAAGCGTCAAGTCTGTATCGTAGGAAACACGCGCCACTCTTTCCGCGGCGTCGTTTCGCGACCGTCTGCTCTGCTCTCGTATCCGGAACATGCCGGAACATGTTTGGTTGAGAGCTGGGAGGCTTGGGAATGTGAAAGGTGCAGCGACGAAAAGCAAGGATTTCGGAGGGTCCGTGGATGGGGATGGGAAAACGTGGGAAAGAAGCACCGCCACGCCACGCTACGTACGAGGTGGAACAGGTGACACGACGGTGCAGTATCGAAGGTCGACTTTTCGACCGCAGTACGGAAGTGCTCCGATTGGGTGGCAGTCGAAAAAGTCACGCCACCTTGGAGACTTTTGGATGGATATCTAGCTGGTGAGGATATGTATGGACGTTGATTTTGCGAGTGGGATGACACTTAATCCTCAGCCGCATTGAGCTGCCGTTAGCATGAGGGCGATACTTGTATGGGTTTTGATTTGGCTTTGTATGGTGGTTGAAGGACGGTGGGTTCCTGTTCAAGACGCAGCGATAGTTGAGGCACGTCAGGCGGCTGCATGTTCGCGGGCGTTTCAAACCTCGTACCGCCAAGTCTACCCCCTTCGACCTTGCGCTGCATCCTACTCCTTCCTCCCGAAGCATTCTTCACGAATATCCCCGCCTCAATCTCAACCGCCACGCAAGACCTAATCCACACCGGTATCTCTCCAAGTAAGCCTCACTCCCCCCCCCCCCCCTTTTGCCATGAAGAATTGAAGCTGACGAGGAGTGAGGTTAGATACTCCCCAAAGTTTGGATCAACTTCACCACGACGTACACAGCCAATTGCTGGCAGCTTTTCACCCAGCAATGATCCTACGCCAACCTTTCAATGTCCACCTGGCTCATTTTGAAACAACTACCCGTCTATCCCTCTGGATGATAGAGAATTACCATCAGTTGCTAAGTGTTCTAGTCGAAAGAAGGGCAAACTTACAAGGTTCTTCGCAAAGACGCAGGAATCCGCCGTCATCGCCACGATCTTCAGAGACAGACCGTAACCCTCCAAGCCCTTCACAAATCGATCAGGCTATCCCACACGCCACGTTCCGAAGCTAGTGTGTGATGATGAAATGAAAATACGCATCTGCAAAACTGACAAGACTACAGGTAAAGATCCCCCGAAGCGGAAGAATCAGGCTGTGGCTAGCACAGATCGCGCAGCTCGTCGCTGCGCATGCCGTAGTGGTGGCTCATGGCACGCGGCTGGGGCGGCGCCCATCGTCGGCGTGCTGCCATGGAAGCGGCACTAGGCACCCGCACGGCGTCCTCGCCACGCGCCTCGCCCCATCGCCGCACGCTGATGTCCGAGTCGCTCGACGTCCATGGCGAGTCCGGCACGTGCGAATCAGCAGCCGCGTTCCCCAGCGCCATCTGCGTCCTCACGGCACCGAGCGACGCCGAGCGCTGCTTGCGGATCGTGCGGCGCACCGACATCTGCTGGGCAAGCGCGCGCGCCTCCGCCTCGGCCGCTGCGTTTCGAGCCAGCTGGCGCTCTGCGCGCTTCTGCTCACGCTTGGTCTCCTTCTTGGCCGCCTTCTTGGCCTCCTTCTTGGCTGCCTTCTTGGCTGCCTTCTTGGCTGCCTTTTCAGCGTCGAGCTTATCCTCGCAAACGGCGAGGGCTGCGTCCCCTCCGGCGGCGGAAAGCAGCGGCGCTTGGAACTGGTAGTCGGACGGCGCGGTGAGCTCCGAGTACATGCTCGGCGCCGAGAGCATGCTCTCCTGGCGGCTGAGCGCAGCACTGCCCTGCTCGGTCGTGCGCAGCGTCGAGCGAGTGCGCTGGCTGCCGCGCGAGCTGATGGAGAGCATCCTGCGTCGGCGCCAAGCATCACGCATCGCCACATCCGCCTCGGCCTTGGCTCGCGCCTTGGCCTCCTCCGCAGCCTGCGTCGATCGACGTGGCGCTTTCGGCGCGCTCGTCCTGGCGTTGGCAGCTGCAAACGCCTCGTCAAAAACAGACGACACCACCGTGATGCCAGCGGAGCTCTGGCATGCAGATGGCAGCGCCTCCTGGCTCGCCTTCTTGGCAAGGCGCGTGTTGATGGAGCGCAGCGTCTCGCGCTTCTGCTTGCTGGCGCCACGTGCGCCGGAGCGAGCAGTCGCCGTCACGGGCGAGCGCAGATTCTGCTTGGAGCCCGACGATCGCAGCTTGGCCTTGGGAACACGCGCATCCGAGGCCAGCGAGTCGTACGAGGCGTACTTGTTCAGCTTCCTCGTTGCAGCCCGCGGCAACTCGGCGTCGGACGCAAAGGGATCGGCCGCCACGCTGCTGGCCGCATCCTGCTCTTCCAGCACCTTGAAGCCGTGCGTGGTGGAGACCTTGCTCGGCTCGAGCCAGCTCTTGAGGTCGGTGGTGGCAAAGAACTGGGGACGGATGCTCGGAGCGCGGCTGAGGTTGGCAGCCGCTGTTTGGTCCTCGGCAGCTCGGTCTGCATCTACAGGGGCAGATTGTGCGTTTGCAGCAGGCGTAAACATGCGCGCCTTGCGGAGCAGACGGCGCTGCTGGCGGTCGTGTTCGGCCTGGTCCGCGTCCACACGCTGGAGCAGGCGCTCGGCCCTGCCCGAGGCTTCGGTGCTGGTTGCGTCCACCTGGGTCTCCGAGTTGGATGCCGCCGAGTCGGCGAGCGTGGTCGAGGTATAGGTGCTGCGCAAGCTGCCGTTCTTGGTGAGCTTGCGATCGGGGCGAGGCGAGAGCGCAGTGTAGGGGTCGGCGATCTCCCCCGCCTCGGAGACCTGGCCGAGCCAGCGCCCGACACTGCCCACGAGCCGGGTGCGCTTGTCGCCCTCCAAGGCGGGGAAAGGCAGCATGGATGCTCGGTTGGGCTCGATGATCTTGGGGATGTGCTGAGCGGCTGCGGCCGACTTGATGACGACGGGCGCAAACGGAGCTGCGAGCGCAGACTGCTGCGAGCCTCGCCTGGACCAGGCGGCGCCGACGCCTGCGAGGCCGGGCGTACACTCGGGCCGCTGAGCGTTGGCGCTGAGGAGTGCCATCGAGGTGTCGGGCACGATGAGCGCATTGACCCGTGGGAATCGCAGATGGTCGGCGGCGGGGCCGGTGGGCAAGTTGGCGTCATCGAGAGGCGAGGCGGTTTCCTCTTCGGTGGTGTAGTCGACTGCGAAGCGATCCTCGGTGCGGCGGAGACGGCGTGCCATGGGCAGCTCGCGGTCCTTGCCGCCGATGGTGCCTTCAAAGTCGCTGTCGAGGTAGGGCTGCATGTCGTTGTAGCGCTTGCGCGTAGCCCTCTGCCTGGAGGCGGTGGTGGCTGCGTTTCGGAGCGTGACGGGAAGCATGTTCATGACGGCACGATTGGCAGCTCCACCCAAGCTCGCCATGCGCGAGGCTGGCTGCGGCGGCTTTGGCTGGAAGGGGTAAGGGAGAGGCGCGGCGGTGGGAAGCTCGGAGGATTGGTGGTGTCTCTGGACGAGTCTCTCGATGAAGCTGGGCTGTCGGTTGACGGAGGCGGGCCAGGTGAATCCGCCAACGTCGCAGTCGGCGAACTCCTGTCTGGCGGCGCCATAGTTGCCGCCGCCAGCGGCTTGGCTGGTAGGGTTGACAGCTGCTGGCGGGGGCGGCTGGACGCTGTCGACGGGGGGATCGAAGAGGGTCCATCCTTTGCCGTTCCATGTGCTCTTGGGAGCGTCGGGCTTGTTGGCTAGGGCGTCGGGCTTGTTGGCTAGGGCGTCGGTGTAGGCGAGCACGGGCATCGATTCGCCGAGATGGCCGTCGTTGGTGGCGTCGGCGAAGAGGGCGTCGATCTTGGCGTCCTTGCGCTCTAGATCTTGGTCGTCGCCTGTGACGGTGACGCTGTCGAATGAGAGGCGTTCGCCCGACTTTTCGGCATCCGCCTTGGCCGAGGCGAGGGCCGAGGGGCTCCAGGTGGAGCGGTCGAGTTTCCGGCGTCGCCTTGCCTTTCGCTCGGATGAGCAGCACACCATGCGGAGAATCCAGGCGAGGCCGACGGAGAGCGTTGCTGTGATGACGACGGCGCCGATGACGATGCAGATCTGAAGGGGAGTGTTGTGACGGATGTCGGCGATGGGATTGGAGACTGCGGTCGTGGTTGCGGTGGGAGAGGGCACAGCCGAGACCGACGAGGAGAAGCTCGAGGCGAACAATGGCGGTACAGACGCAGCGTCGGGTACTTGCGCTCTCGCTTGGAGGTGTTGGGATGAGGAGGAGCGAGTGCCATCGGAATGGACCTCCTTTTGCTTGCCTTTGGACGAGTGTGTGGGCTGGTGAGGCGCGTTGACCTCCTTGGGTAGGGGCTGCCTGGACTTGTCCTTGGATGAGGAGCCAGGACGAGGAGCATCCATCTTCTTTTTCTTCGTCTTGGACTTGGACTTGGACGCAGCCTTCGCCGGCCGACGATAGCGCGTGGACGGATCTGGTGTGAATCGCGGCATGATCGTATAGGGTGTGGAACTCCGACGACTTTCCCGAAGCCGTGTAGCTTTGCAAATGCGATGAAAGGAATGCTGAAAGGAAAGGTATGGTAATGTGCAGGGACTCTGTCCCGTAGAATCAAAGGCGAGAAGTGAATAGAGAAAGAACGACGACGAAAGAGAAAAAAAAGAAACGGTGATGAAAGGCGCCGGGCCTTGGATGAAGGAAGAGGAAAGAAAGGAAGAAGGGAAAAGCAACTTTGATCGATATGATGGATTCAGCTCAGTCGATCGGATCATCGCAGAATGAAGCTCATCCTCGGAGCGGAGAGCTGAGCACCTCAGCAGCGTCGGCTGTTCCGTCGAGGCTCATCAGGGACGGGTCGGAGTGAGCGCCAAGCTCAGTCGAGAGAGAGTGGGAGAGCACTCAACCGAGGGTCGTTAGTCAGTTCAGGGCAGCAAAGGGCAGAACGTCGAGATAGAATCTACTGGAGTGCTGCATGGTCGAGTGCGGAGAGGGCCCGAAGCCAAGTCACGGTGGCGAGGTGGCTGAGAGCTAAGAGCGGATAGAGAAGCTCGGCCGCATAGAGTTGCATGTGAGACAGCGCTGCAGCCAAGTCGGGTTCAGACCGACGAGGCTCGGAAGTATTCAGGTGCAGCGCATGAGTGATTGCGAGAGGGATGGCGTCCGCATGATGGTGATGGTCATATCGGATGTGCCATGTCGATTTCGCAACATCCGCCGCTCGCCCTGCCTCTTCGGGACTCGGCGGAGGCGCGCTTTCCAGCAGATGCTTCAGGGTCCAATTTGGACGCGCTGCTGCTGCCCGGATTTCGGAAGGTCCGTCCGCAGCCGCACCCGCGAGCTTAAACGCTTTCAAAAAGTCACGGCGCCAGAGTCACAGTGTGCTGAGTCGCCAGCCGCAAGCGTGTGAAGTAGGACTTCGGCCCGCCCGAGAGCAACACTCGGCATCCCCACCATCGGCTGCGCTTGGCGACGACCTTCTCCCACGCCACCCGACGCTCAAGACGCTCACGACGCTCACGATGGCCGACTTGACCGCCTATTTGGTGCTCGCCGTGGCTCTGGTGCCGCCACTCTTTCGACAATCACAGCGCCTGTTTGGTTCGGCACGATCCGCAACTCACGCACCGCCTCCTTCTCCATCATCCTCAAGGTCTGCCTCGAAAGCGCGATTGGCTCCCTTCGCTACGCCCTTCTCCACCACCGTCACGATCGCAACACTCGCCTTGGTGCTCGTATCGCTCGCCAACCTCGTCCCGGTCCAATACGGCGTAGACATCTTCATCCCAGTCCAGGCCGTCCACAACCTGCGCAGGTCCATCTACACCCTCTACACCGCACCCAGCGTGTATCGAGCGAGCAGCCATGACGACGTCGACCGCCCGCCCTTCCACATCCAGGCGCTCAGGGGCGGATACACGCCCGACCTCTTCCTCGCCTACAGCGCGCCCATCACCATCCCCACCACCACCCTCCGCAGCCTCATAGACGCAGCGCCTTCGCTCCTCCCGATCGGATTCCACACCCTGCCCAAGCAGCAAGAACTTCAGGCGCTCATCGCTCGCCTATCCAGCTACGAGGCAAGGCGCATCTACCTCCTCCTCGGTCCCAAGCCTCTGCTCGACTGCACCTTTTGCACAAAGGCAAACGACTTCTTCTGGTACGCCCTCCCCTTCCTCCTGGCCGCCTACGCCTGGCGCATCTTGGCTCTCGGGCTCATCACAGCTCATCCGGACGACTCGATCGCCGTCGCTATTCGCCAAGCAGCCGGCCTCTTCTCGCGCAATCCTCGCGCGCCGCCCTCCTCCAAATCCGACGACGCGGACCGCAGCAAGTGGCGCACTCCCGCCGTCACGCTCCTCGTCGCTCTCATGGCGATCGAGATCCTCATCATGTTCGAGCTCGGTCAAGTCACTCCCGGATCGGCGCGCCTCAACCACTGGCATTCCAACTTGCATCTCGTGCGCCAAGTTGCCTTTCTCGCCATCGTCGTCGTCATCTATCTCTTTCCATCGCCACGCGTGCCCGACACCTTCCACCAGACCATGCAGCACATGGATGCCACACAGCAAAACCTCCAGAGCATCCTCCACCTCACCGAGATCACCGACGCAACAAGAGCCGTCGTTCTCGATGATCGTGATCTACTCCGGCGCGCAACGACGGAGCGCAAACATTCCACCACCGACTCTGCAGCTCAACTCCTCCGCGCAGTACAGACACAAGGCGGCGACGCAGCATCAGACACCCTGGCACAGGCTCAAAACGGCATCCGCTCAGTCACACTTCAATGGTGGCGCACCGCCGAACAACTCAACCGTCAACTCGACCGTGGTTCGCCTTCCGCATCGTCATCAGCTTCCGCGCCACCGCATTCCGCTGCTGCCTCGGACCCTTCAACCAATCCGTTGGCCCACGGCACCTTTCCATAGTCGAGCATCCGCATCAGCGCGCGATACGCCCCGCTTGTACTCTAAACCTAAATGCCATCCTAGCCATTCCTCTTGTCCAACTCTCATGTGTCACAGCCCTAATCGCCACACTCGACTCAGCTCCGTCCCCTTTCGGCATCACACGACCTTACTCGGACGCTCAGCCGGACGCTCAGGCCACAACGCATCCTGTTCGCTTTGTCGTGGCCGCCTTTGCTCTTGTCCGCTGCGTCGTTCCGCACCCGCACCCGCACCCGCACCTCGATGATTGAACCACTCCGCCTGTCACCCTTGACCCGCTCCGACTCCCGCCCCCCTTCCAACAACCTCTCGCACCGTCTATCCTCCCGACTTCGTAATCCGTCCTCAACACGATCGCCAGATTACATACAACATCACCAGCATCCATACCACGTCATCGCCGCCGCCATCATCAGCACCTTGGCCCTCACCGACACCACCGTTATCCACATCTTCACCTTCATCGCCACCGCCATCATCAGCACCGCCACCCTCACCGACACCGCCTTCATCCACATCATCAACTACATCGCCACCATCGAAATCACCGACCTCAATCGTAAGTTCGCCGGACGTAGCATTTCCATTCTTGATCGATCGGCTCATTGACCACCAAAACTCTCGTTCCAGCTACCAGCCTCGTACATCCACCACCACCACCGTCGCCACCATCAACCCGCCATCAACTCGCCATCAACCCGCCATCAACCCGACATCAACCCTACTCATCAACATCACCTCGTATGTTCAACCCTCGTTGCTTTCTCGCTATCGTCGTGCAGCCAGCTGACCTGCAATGTTTCGTTGACGTCCCAGCTTCCCGCCTACCATGCGCTCGCCGCCCGGCGCAGACTATGGCGCGGTCGTTCGTCGCCTGACACAGCTGTGTCAGCAGGTAGACGCTCTCGTCGCTCCAGTCCCTGTGCCTGCGTCGTTGCAGCCGCAAACCGATGGCCGATCTCCGTCGCCGACCCCGTCTACAGTTGCAAACAGCACCGTCACCATCCCAAGGCTCGTCCTCGTCGGGGGCCAGAGCACCGGCAAGACCTCGCTGGTCGAATGCTTGGCCGGCGTGTCACTGCCTCGTTCTCAGGGTACGTGCACTCGAGGCCCCCTCGACGTCACCATCACTTCGAGCGACGCAGGCACCAAGTGGTCAGCCACAGTGCACATCCTCCTGCCGGCATCACACCAGGATCACACCCAGGTGCAGTTCGGAGACGTCATCCAGCATCCGGATCATGTCGCCGACCGACTCCGTCGAGCTACCCTTGCCGTGCGCGATCTCGCCAGCCTCCCCGTGCCTTCTTCGTCGCCACATGGCCTCAGCCCCGTCATCATCGGCAACAAGTACGACCTTCTCTCCGAGGACGAGCTCGACGAAGCTGAGGACTCGGATGCCCTGCCGACGTTCTTCCCAAAGGGCGCTAGGCTGTCCCTCTCCGTCCGCGCCCCCGATGCCGAGCCGCTGCGCTTCACGGACCTCCCCGGCCTCATCTCCGAGGGCCACGCAAAGGACGTCACCGCCATCCGAAATATGGTGTTCCGCGACATCTCGGACGAGAACACCATCATTGTTCTCACCGCCTCATTCGCCATGGACATCGCGCATCAAAACGCCTTCTCTCTCGTCAAGACCGCAGACGCTCAGGGCGATCGCACCATCGGCGTGCTCACCATGCCCGATCGCATGCCCTCCGGTGCAGAGCGACAGTGGTCAAAGGTAATCAACGAGTCGCTATCGGGACATCGCAACGGCAAACACTACCTCAAGCATGGCTGGCATGTCGTTCGCTGCCCCGCCCAGCACGAGAGTCGCGATGACGTCGGAGGCCTCGAGAACACCTTCTTCAAGGACAAAGACCGTGCATCCCCCTGGTACAAGACTGTCGCCATGCTGGACTCGGATCACGGCTTCATCGAAGAATGCTGTGGCTTGCAGACCCTGTACCTGCGCCTCAGCCGACTTCTGCTTAACGCCATCAAAGCCACGCTGCCGTCCATCATCTCGAGGCTCCAGTCCGCAGCGGCACAGCACAAGGCTGCCTACGACGCCATCGCAGCCACGAACCCGACCACCAGCTATCAGTCCCTGGTATTGGGCAAGTTCCTGGACACCGACGTCGATTTGTATGGTTCACGCGTCCGCAGCTTTGACGTCATTATCGAGCTCATTGATGCCATCAATGGCCTAAACGAGCAGCTGCGAATACTCTCAAGCGAGATCGCAAAGCACCTCGTCCCCTACCTCCGCCTGCACCTGATGGCCCTGGCGCCAAAGTATGTGCCGCTCACTGCCACGGAAGCTGCAGAGGCCGCAGTTCTCCGCTCGTACGAGCCGCGACCTTGGTCATTCGAGGCCATCCTTGGCCACGACGTCGGCCCGAGCTACTGGTTGGGCGCTGCCGACAACGACTTTGGTGACGATGATAAGGGCCAGTTCCGGATCCGCTCGCCATCAACTGAGCCTACGGCTGAGCCTGGAACCTCAAGCCGCCAACTCGTCCGTCGCTCAAAGCTCAAGAAGAAGAGAGAAACGCTTGATGACATCACCAATGCGCTCGCCTCAAACCCACACATCAATCACATGGCCGCACCAATCACGCACCTCACCAACACGCACACGTTGCTACAGGCAAGGTTCCGATCCGTAGTACAGGAACACCATCGCCGATGCAAGGACCGTCTTGGTGAGCTCGTCCACAGAGCCATTGGTACAAAGTTTCAAACCAAGTATCCACACCTCTGCGAGGATGTCGTCAAGATCGCCAGCGGATACGTGCAATCGCGCCTCGATAGCGAGATGCAGGGACTGGCGGATCGCGTAAAGGCACATGCGTTGATTGGGCAAGGAAGCGCAGGCATCAACATGGGCGAGGACATGGTCAGCAAGTACAAGCAGTGGGTGGACGAGGAGATGCAGGCATACCTCCTCATCCGAACCAGCCTAGTGGCTCGACAACGCGCCGCCGAAGGCATCCACAAAGACTTTGTCAGCAACGCAACTAAGGTCGTCACGTCGGCCATCAGGTGTGGCATGGTGCCGGCAGACACTACAGGCAAGCCTGAGGCTCGAGCGACGCCCGAGATGGCGGATGACGCGCTTGATCCGGCTTCTCCCCCCGCGACGCCCAAGAAGGAGAGAAAGCCGAAGGGCACGGCCGCAGCAGCGGCGAGCGACAATGGCGCGGGCGGATCGATCCCGATGCTGCCGCAGCTCCTGCTTGTTCATCGTCTCATGATCGGATCCGAGGAAGAAGGCATGCTGCGGCTCATGGCTGAGCTGCGCGCCGATTTCAACTTCTTTGCGCTCGAGGTCACCAAGGAGTGCATCCGGATCCCGACGACCATCATGGAGACCCTACATTCGACGCTGCGCAGCGAGGCGCTTGCCGTCATTCGTGCCAACCGGAGCGAAGAGGAGCTCTATCAACGATACTTTTACGAGGCGGATCGCCCGAGGCGCGAGCGCAACGAGTACACCAGTGCGCTTGGCCAGCGCGTCGAGGGTCTCAACGCTGCTGTCGCCGAGCTGCAGGCGCTCCAGGTGGAGCTCGACGGACCTATGAGCACGTCACCCTGGCCGGCGCCGGGACCAAGCAGGGAGTCGACTCATACCCACCGCAAGAACAGGACGAAGATGCTGGAACTGGAGGCCTTCGCGAACGAGCGGTCGCCCTCGCCGACGCCCACGCCGACGCCGACGCCGGAGCGGCTGCCGCAAGCCTCGCTGGGAATCAAGATGACGCCGACGAAGCGATCGCGTGCGGATGCGAGCGGCTCGGAGCAGCGGCGCAAGCCGTCTTCGTCGGGCCGTATGCCGTCTTCATCGGGCCGCACGGCGGGTCGAGACTCGGACGCGGACGCCAGCCCGACGCCGGAGGGCTGGACCGACATCATCTCGCTGCCCTCGTCGTCCGACGTCGAGGACTAGCTTTTGTCATCGCACGTCGTCGGGAGCGATGGCATCCATCGCAATGTCAACCTCAGCCATCACAAAGCGGCGGCTATCCAGCATCGCAAGCATTCTAGGTGCCGCTCCCGACATCGAAGGTTACTCGCATCATCGCAAGCATTGTAGGCTTCTTCTTCGACACCGAGGGCTCATCGCACGATCACGCAGTCGGAGCGGTGACATCCATCGCAATGTCCTCCTCCTCCGTCACCCAAGATTCGTCCGACGATCACGCGCATTGTAAGTGCCTCATCCCGCATCGAGGGCCAGTGCGACCATTGCAAGCATTGCAGGTGCCTCCTGCGACATCGCAAAGCTGGTTCAACGATCGCGCGCATTGTAAATTCCCGTTCCAATGTAAATTTGGTTCCCCACGATGGTGCTGGAGAGAGAAAAGTGGCGAGCTGAACGAGATCATGGTGGTGCTGGAAGACGAGATGCTGAACGATACACAAGGCGTGTCCCGGGGCCCGTGGAAAAGATGGCAATGACCTCTGCATCCTACGTCGAGGGACGCCTCCATGATCGCGCGCATCGGAGTGACCGCCCCCATGACGGTGCTGGCGCGAAAAGAAGTGCTGGGATTAAACGAGGTGCTGGCTTGCGAGCGGGATGCTGGACTGAACGACATCATATTTGGATCTGTTTGGCGAGCGGCATCGATGAACGGCGAGCGGCATGGTGGACTCCACGGCATCACGTTGGAGCTGCGTGGCGAGCAGGAACGGGAAAGGCGAGCGGGATGCTGGATTGATGAATCGAACGAGATGCTGTTGCTGGATGGCGAGGGAGATGATGGACGTTACAGGAGGTTTGTTCCCTTCTCGCGGGTTGATCGTACGTATGTGCTGGGCTGGAACGAGGTGCTGCATTGCGAGGGGGTTGCTGGACTGAACGACATGATGTTGTTCCTGGCTGGCGAGCGGGATGGCCAACGCTACACAACGTCTGTTCCCTTGTCGCGGGGAGGCTGTACGCACTCTGCCCAAACATCCTCACCCATACCATCGTCCATCACCACAATGACGTGATCTCTAGTGCACGCAGCCGCTATGACCCCGACCTTTCCGCCATCCATTTCCTCTTCGCTGCCATTCTTGAGGGTCGGGTTTTCATCGAGATACTGCTGCCTGGGGGACTTTGGCACCGCAAAGGGGACCTGCATTGGCGTCGTCACTGGTACAGTCGCAATACTGCGCGGCAAAACCCCCCACACCCACACCTTGAGTTGACCATCTTCTTCGCGCGTGGTGGCTAGAACGTACTCCAGCCCAGCCCAGATATCCTCCACCCTCCCCTGTGGCAACCCTTCCACCAAAGTCAGCTTTTCCGCAGAGGTGAGGTTGCCTACACCGTAGCCGACTGTCCAAACGCGGTGGTGCGTGTCAAGTAGCACCGCAAACGATCCCCCCGCCACGATCTTCTTTACCTTAGGTGGGGCATGGGCGTTGAAGGGAAGGTCGGCGGAGGTGTATGCGTCGATAAGAGGGTTAGAGATGTGCGTGGGGTGGGTGATGCGATCGTGAGTGCCAGCGAGTGTTTGGGCGTATTCCGAGTTGCCCCATGCGTACAAGTCGCCGTTGCGCAGTAGGACGTAGGACGTATCGGCCCCACAAACCACCGCCACCATCTCCTCCGCGGGAAGCGAGAGGGGCACGCGGGTGAAGGTGCGTGAGATGAGCGGTTGGATAGGAACCGCATCCGCGCGGTCGGCGGGTGTAACGCCAAGTTGACCATCAGTGTTGAGACCTGTGCTGAGGACTTCCTGGACAAGGTGTCCGGCGACGTTGCGTTCGACTAGGAGGAGGGTGTGGTCGATACCGGTGGCAATGCTGCGGACGCTCCACCCATCGAGTGGGATTCGTTTGGGCAGTGGAAGTAACCGCAGCTGCGGCGCATCCGACGCCTCGAGTCGCGTTGATACATCGTATGCATCCGTCCTTCGCTCCTCCATTTGGGTACAAGAGCCCAGTTGACCAAGCGTGTCGTTTCCAAATCCGTACACGTTCGACTCGCCTTCATCAGCGGCGACAACAAAGCTGAACCCCGTTCCGGCCGCAACGTGGGTGATCCCGCCTTTGCCGGCAATGTCGCCGGTCACCATGCCACGCGTAGCCTCCTGTGATGCGAATCCCAGCCCTAGTTGCGCATGCGTGTTGCGTCCGAGTGCAAACACCTTGCTCTGCGCAATCCTGCGTCTTGGTTCCTCCCCAATCACCTCCCCCTCCTCCACTGCCTCCTCTGCCGCTGCGTTGGTTGTTGGGTCAAGTGTCGCTTGTCGTCGAGGCCCCGGATTGAGTGAAGTGTCGAGGAGCGTGTAGGATAGCATCGAGTGTGTGGGTGACCCGGCCGCATGGGTGAATGCAACACCATGGTCGATGTCGGCCGATGCACCGACGGCGTCGATCCATGCGCGAGGGAGCTTGGCGAAGCGCTGCACAGAGTTGTACCCCAACACATCGCCAAAGTACAACACATGCTGGAGATGCACCTTTGCAGATGTGGAGAGTCCCCGCAAGGTGCCGGGTATTCGTGGCACCATCCTGACCCCACAGAGGAAGGAAGTGCAAGGCAAACCGTCTGCGCTGTGGATCAAGGCAAGCAAGCAAGGCAAGAAGCATGCCGCAAAAGCGCAGCATCCAAAAAAGCCTCCACCTCGGCGGCTCCATCTTCCGACTTCCGAATTCTTGCACTCAACACTCTGACGACCTCGAACCACGCGCAGAACTAGAGCACAGACAGTGAGAAAAGCAACGCACATGCGCATTGCATCAAGTTGGATCGTCGGCAAAGTGGGCTTCGGCAAGCTATGGCCACTTTTTGCCGTTTTTTTTTGGGGGCGGAAAGGGGGAGGAGGGCTGGCTCAGGCGCTGGTGGCGGGCGCGGCGGCGTTGGTGGCCTGGGTATCCTCGTCGGCGGCGCCGTTGGTGCCCTGCTTCTGGCGACGCTCCTTTTCGGTCTCGAGCTGGTTGTAGAGGAGGAAGAGCGCCTTCTCATTGGCCTCGGGCGTGCCCTGGATGGTGAACATCCTCTCGCCCGTCTCGTCGTGCGGCACCTTGGCAATGCTGATCCTCGAGCCGCTCAGACGGCGGATCTCGGTGATCTTGGAGCCGCCCTTGCCGATGATGCATCCGACCATGTCCGAGGGGATCGAGATGTTCTGCGTGCGCAGGTTGGCCGCGTCGACGAGCGGCGGAGCCGACGCATTGGGCTCGCCCGCCGTGGCCGAGTTGGTGGTAGCGCCCGCCACAAGGCCACCGCCCGGGGTGACTACGGCGTTGGGATCGGTGCGGCGCGGGTTGGACGCGTCCGTGCGGCGGTTGTTGGAGCCAAACGCAGCCGGGGTGGCGGCGGCGTTGGCGTTGAGGTTGAGGTTGCCCATGGCGCCGGCGAGGTAGGCGGGCCCGCCCTGGCGACGCGAGCCCTGCTGCTGGAGGCCACCCATGCCGCCGGCGGCGAGGATGCCCGGGCCGTCGGCCTGGCCGGGCTGGTAGTGGACGACGTTGTTGGAGCGGTCCCAGTCCTCGGCGAGGCACTTTGCGATCTCGAGGATGGCGACGCGGATGGCGTCGACGGAGCCCTGCACCTCGACGACGCGCTCGGTGGACTGGGGCAGCATCTCCTTGGAGGCGACCATGCGCGCGCCCGAGAGGTCCTGGATGTGCTTGATCTTGAGGCCCTGACGGCCGATCACGGTGCCCATGAAGTTGTGCGAGATGAGCAGACGCACCGAGGTGGACTGGGCGGCGGCGTCGGCGGCGGCGGCGGCGGGGGAGCCGTCTGCGTTGACGGGAGCGGCGGCAGCGCTCAGCGGGTTCTCGAGGATGGTCTTGGCGATGAGCGCAAAGGCGTCCGAGATGCCCTGGAGCGTGCCGGTGACGGAGAGCACGCGGTCGTGGACGCCGGGGACGACCTTGGAGACGCCGGCCTTGACGCCGGTCTGCTCGCGGAGCTCTGCGACGTTGGCGCCACCCTTGCCGATGATGATGCCGGCCTCCTTGGTGGAGACGAGCGCGCGGACGAGGAGGGTGGCGTTGGGGTCGGCGGCAACAGCCTCGGCGGAGTCGTCGGCGGGAGCAGCGGCGTCAGCGGCGGGCGCGGCAGCGGGGGAGGTGGCAGCGGCAGCGTTGCCGGCCTCGGGGGAAGCGGCGACAGCCTCGGGCTTGTTCTCTGTCAAGATCACAAAGCAGGACGCGGGAGAGGTCAGTATCGTCGTTTGGAGAGAGAAGAGTGCGAATGTGGAGGGGCCTACGTACCAGCAACGGGAGCGGCGGACATTGTGCTTGCGTGTGAAGAGAAGGAGAAGGTGGTGGTGGGTGTGAAGCGTGTGCGGATGAGGCGACGGCAGAGGTGTGTTGGAGGTAAAAGGGACGAGAGGGATGCGAATGAGGTCGAGGGTGGGTGTTGGAGGTCGAGGTCGCGAGGTGGCGGACGGTGGGGTGGCGCAGGTGGTGTCGGAGGTGGTGCGGGTGAAGAAGGAGACGGCGGTGAAGGCGGTGGTGGTGATGGTGGTGGTGGTGGTGATGGGTGGAGAAGAAGAACGAGAGCGGGATCCGTGCTGCGTTGACCAGGATGAGGTGGAGCCCATCTGAGCCTGCGACCCTGAGAGTGAGCGAGCGCGGCCGACAGCAGCAGCAGCAGCAGCAGCAGCAGCAGCTCCTGCCACAACTCACTCAGCGCTCGAGCATTTTTTCTCCAAAAAAAAAATAGTTGCAGGTGGCGGCCGAGCGAGCAAGAAGAAGAAAAAGCGAAAAAAATCTCGAGCTCTGGTGCGAGAGAGAGAAACAAGAAAGAGAAGCCGCACTGCCCGCTGCCCACCGCCACCAACGCTGCATCGCACAGGTGGGTGCAGTGCTACATTCCTGCACAAGCCAGCCACAGAGCGACACCCTCGAGGGCAGGCAGCAGCTATCTTGTACGAGAGCGAGCCTCGACCACCGAGCACCGTCGACCAGAACAACGAGGTTGCCGCTGTTGCAACCACTCCAAGCGTGGCTCGCTGTGGGGACGTGGGTGGACAGCGGTGTCGTTGCCGCAGACCGCCTCAAACCCTGCATGCCGAGCGGGCGCTGAGAGCGAATCGGTGGTGTTGAAGCGAGATCGGCGATGTGGATGCGGATGGGCGGTTCATTCGCGCGATAATATTCTGGAGAGCATTCTGGCGAGCCGAGCCGAATCGAATCACGAGCTGCAGCCTGCGCACGTTCGCTTGCGGAGTTGGTGGCTCGCCCACCGCTCCTCACGACGGGGCTTTGATTGCGGGACGAAGCTCCTCCACCACCACCACCATCCGCTCCTACACATCCTCCATCGCACACATCCACTCCCACATGTCGGCGTCAGCATCGCGCGAGGCCGCCGCCTCTCTCTCGAATCCGCCGCAGCAGGGCACGTTGGCGTTTGCATATCGTCGCTCGGTGGTAGCGCTGCAAAACGTATTTGGACTCAATCCGGACTCGCAGTACGCCGAACGCGAGCCGCTGCTGAGCAACCACGATGGCGACGACAATGCGCCCTCGGATGCGAATGGATACGGCGCGGTGGCATCGGGGTCGCGCGACGGTGCCTCTTCGCGTCCACGCATCCGCAAGCCCAAGAAGATCGTGTCGCAGAGCAAGGTGGAGGCCAAGGTGTGGTTCGCCAACGAGCGTACCTGGATCTCGTGGCTGCGCGTGTCGGTGCTGATCGGCTCGTTTGCGCTCGCCCTCTTCAACTCGGACGCCTTCTTCCAGCACCACAACGACGACCATCCCGGCCACCACAACCAGTACCTATCGTCGGGCAACATCAAGATGTTCGGAGCGGTCTATGCGGGCATCGCGGTGCTGACGCTGCTTTGGGGTCTGTATAGTTACCAGCGAAGGGTGACGCTCATCAAGACCAAATACCCGGGCAACTTTGACGACCTCATCGGCCCACCGCTCATCTGCGCCGCGCTCTTCATCGCTGTACTGCTCAACTTTATCATCCGCGTCAAACAGCGCGACTACGAGGGCCATCACTGATCGTGTGCCTCTCCCTCTCTCTATCACTGTTTGCTCGCGATCTTGTACTTTCTTCCCTCTTGGCATGCGCATAATCTATAACGATCTCATACAAGCTTCGTGTCTCGAGCCTGAGCCTGAGGTGCCGTAGCTGGAGTGGAGTTGAATGGAGGCTTAACAACGATTTGCTGGTCGAAAAGCAGATTCGGACTGACTCAGCGTGATTCAGCATTTCACATGCAATTCGCACGCTGGACCCTGGGCGCTTGTTGGGGCTCTGAGCGAGTGGAACACGGTGACGTCGTCGGCTGGCTGCGCTGGGCTGGCTTGCCTCTGTGCCGTCAACTGCGCCGGGGCTCTGTCGACGTGGCTCTCTCACCAGCGAGCAGTGGCGTCAAAAGCTCTTTGGCTCAGCTGGGCAGGCGTGCGCTCTCACCACCACCACCACCATCACCATCGCCACCGCTACTGCGCTCGCCACCCAAACCTAACCAACCACTTTTGCACTCTAGCATGGACGCACCGCTGCCGGACTACTATCGTACGCTTGGAGTGGAGGCGCGCGCGACGGCGTCCGAGATCAAAGAGGCGTACAAGCGACGCTCGCTCAAGACGCATCCGGACCGATTCCCCAACGCCACGCCCGCGGAGCGCCAGCGGTATACCCAAAAGTTCCAGACGCTCGCCGACGCGTACTACGTGCTTTCGGACACACAGCGTCGACGCGAATACGACGAGCTTCGAAGCTCGCGCCCATCGTCCAACTCGTTCTTCTCTGGTGGTGTGGATTCGGACGACGACGAGGCAGCGTCCGAGTACAGCGAAAAGGAACAGAGCTACTCGGCCAACTTTTTCCAGTCGTTCTTCCCGGGCGCCTTCAAGCAGGAAGAGGGCCAAGAAGAGCAGAGCTACAACGCCAGCCACGACGCACGCAGGGGTAGCAGCCAGCCTGCAGCCGACGGCGTCTTTGCCAACGTATTCGAGGAGCTGCTTCGACCCGAGGTGCACCGCGTAGCGCCGGTCTGGAAGTACGTCGGAGGAGCCTCGGGAACGGCGCTTGGATTCATCGTGGGCAACATCCCCGGTGCGCTGGCAGGAGCATTTGCAGGCAGCCAGTTGGGACGCATTCGCGACGCCAAGGGCAAGAGTGTGGCCGAGGTGTTTATGGGCCTGGGTGCGAGCCAGCGTGCGGAAGTGTTGACGAGGTTGCTGCAGCGTGTGCTGTCGCAGCAGACGCAGACGGGACCCGTGCCGCAATGAGCGCACTTGGGGAAATGCAGGCCAAGAGGACGCGTGCGAATGCGGAAGCAAGACACTCGACACGCGTCTTTCCCGGATACAACAAGCGGCTGCCTGCAGCGGCGCAGGCGGTGGTGGAGCAGGCGCTGCTGGACAATGATCTGGCGAATGCGGATGCCGACGACCCGCGCTGGACGCAGCTGTACGACGAGCTGGACGCGCTCATCCACCGATCTCACGAGGTGCCAGCGCCAGAAACACCAAAAACACACACGGGCAGCTTTCTCAACGACGACGACGACGAAGGACAGTACGAATGGGGATCGTGTAGCGAAGACGGTTGCGAAGCGCAAGTGGTTAACAGCCACGTGGATGACGACGAAGCAAGACAAGCACAAGAGGCATATGCGCGCACGATCCTGCCCAAAGCGGACCTAGCGACGGCGTTGCATGGTGCCGTATCGGATTCACTTTCAAACAGCAAGACCAAAGGCAAGGGCAAGGCGAAAGGCAGTGGAGGGGAAAGCGGATACGACTGGGATCCGAGCTCGTTGGCGGCACTGACGATGCTTTGCGAGGAGATTGCACTGTCGCAGGCAACGTTCAGTGCGCGTCGTAGCATGTTTGCCAAGCAGGCGAGCAAAGCCAGCAAGAAGAAGCAGCGTCGGCTCGAGCAGCAGAGCCAACCGCAGCCGGAGCAGTCCAGGCAGTAGCAGCGCGAATAGACTCGACACACAGCCAGGTAGAAAGAAATCGTATTTTTTTTTGGCAAAAGATTTGTGTTGCCAGCAGGGAAGCAGTCGGTGAATTTCTGGTTTTTTGGAGCATGTGGACATGTCGCTTCGATCGCGTGCAGCCGAGCGGAAGCGCTCCGATAAGAAAGAGTGTCGGGCCCAAGTCCGAGAGCATTGCATCGGAGTACCCGCGTCGAGTGGCGGTGCCCGGTTGCGCAGCGCAGCACTCTTTCCACACATCACACCGCGGGTCGGCCATGACAACCGCCGACAGAGTGTGATGAAACTCTTCTTCGACAGTCAAAGGTCGGCGTTGCTCCTATCAAGCGCTGTCCCGTGCATTCGTGCATTCGTGCATTCGTGCATTCGTGCATTCGTGCATTCAATGCATCGCATCCAACGGAGCTTCCGCAGCAGCAACTGCACCGCAGCAACGCATCCAAGTCGGCCCTGCCGCCATCGGAACCTCCTATATCCACGCCACCTCCATCCCAATCTCGCACTCTTCTCCTCCCCACCATTCGACGCCGTGTATGCGTTGAGGTGCCGCAAGAATGACATCCTCGTACTCGCGCGTCCCTACCACGGATCCCACCGACCCAAACGCTCCAGGTCCCTCGGCTTCCTCGTCGCTCTCTTCGTCGCCCCTCCAGCATGCCATCGCCACGCTCCATCCACACCTCAGCAACGACGACCAGCCGTACGAACTCGACGAAAAGGCGTCGTTTCTTCCAACCCACGCGCATCCATCACATCGATCGCATCGTGCGCCGACTCCCACCAAGCGCGCGCACACACACGCCCTCCTCACCAATGCAGCCGAAGTGGTGAAGCGCACAAAGACGTACGTCCTGCTCGGCGTGTGTGCGCTGCTCGCACTCTTGCTGCTGCTCGATCGGTCCACGCCCTCGGCGCCTGTCGCATCCACATCATCCGCGTCGGTCTCCACTTCATCCATGTCGACTGCGGCGCCACGCCTCGAGGACGACATTGTGCTCATCACCAAAGTGGGCTCCGCGACCGTGCACAGCCGGCTGCTCATCCACCTTGCCGAGCAGCCGCTCTCGCACATCTACGCGCCCAACCGGCTCTACGTCTCGGACGCCACGATGCGCGTGGGTGACATTGAGCTGTACGATGCGCTCGCCAACGTGAGCGACACCATCCGCAGCCTCGACGAGTTTAGCGAGCTGCGCGCACAGCTCACCACGCTCCACGACGGCAACCAGGACCTCGGGGCCATGCACGACAAGGACGGAGGTTGGAAGCTCGACAAGTACAAGTTCCTGCCCATGCTCGCCGAGGCCTGGCGTCGGTTTCCGCGCAAGCAGTGGTACGTCGTAGTCGAGGCGGACACCTTTGTGTTTTGGAACCAGCTCGTGCGCTGGCTGGGCACACTCGACTCGCGTCGTCAGCTCATGCTGGGGCATCCGACTTTCTGCGACTACGACGGCGAGTCGACCATGTTTACGCACGGCGGAAGCGGGTTTGTGCTCTCCGGTGCGCTCGTGGCCCAGTCGTTTGGCAAAGACGCCGAGTTTGAGCATCATCACGATGAGCTCATCCAAAAGTCGGCATTTGGAGACGCACTGCTTTCCAAGGCGATTTATGATACGCCCGGGGTGACGCTCAAGGAGTTGTCGCCCGATGGGAGGGAGAGGTTCAATAGCGATCCGCCGCGCGTGCTCAAGTTCCACCGCGGCAACTGGTGCGAACCTCTGCTCACGCTGCACCACGTCACCCCAGCCGACACTGCGCATTTGTACCGTTTTGCCCGCCGCGTTGATTCTCGCCTGGGTGATGGCGATTCGGTGCGATGGGGTGATATCTGGGACGAATTTCTGCCTGATTTCCTCCGCGTGGCGTTGCTGCGCGGGGGGTCGGATGGGGATGAAGGCGGCAACGGCGTATCGATTTCCGGGTGGCAGGCTATCGAGGACTGGGACAGCGAGACGACCGATTTGGCTACCTTCTCGCCCGAGCAGTGCCAGAGCATCTGTGCCACCAACGAAGGCTGCGTGCTGTGGCAGTGGCAAGACACGGATTCGCACCGCAAGAGAGCAGGTGCCCCGGCCAAGGGCAAGTGCAGATGGACCAAGGAGTTCCTAAGGATTGGCATTACTAAGCCGGATGAACCCGCCAAGACGACGGGATGGATGCCCGCGAGGGTGAGGGAGTGGCAGACGGAGAACGCCTGTCCTGGACATAGATCGCTGTGGCAGCAGCAGGCGTCGTTGTCGGAGGATTAGATTCGAAAGCATTTTTGTACTTTTTTAGCAACGCAAGCCGATTTGAACGCAGCAGCTTGCGAGTGGCGAGAGGGATGTTGCGATGGTGGGGGCAGCGAGCTTTGCGAGCGTTTGGGGCACGATACGGCGCTAGATGGCGAGAGTAGGGGGTTACGCATGCCTCGCATTTCAAGCTTGTCAAGCTTGCACTTTGGGAGCGGCTTGTGCGGTTGCAAGTGCATCGCGATTCCAAGCGCGAGTGTTGCAAAGCTGGGTTTTGGGGGATCGAGCCTTCAGCCTGCGCGGCGGCGATGCACGAGAGCGCTTTCTACACTGGATGCTGGTGAGGCGTTGATGCAGCAGCGTCGTAACATTGCACGAGCCTCGATGCACGCTTTCCACACTGCGCCCAAACCGTACCACACTCTGACTTGAGCGGCAAACGAAGTGGTATTGCTAGGTCTTTTTGGTTCGTGCCTGGACGAGATCGAGAAACTCCCTCTTGGCGGTCCAGTCGATGGCGGTCCGTTTCCACCTTCCCAGCCCGGCCAACACTCCACCCACATCCTCCCTCCCCATTGTCGCTTTTACCGTCACGTTTCTGACTGGTGAAGTGAAGAGGAGTTTAAGGGCGTGTTTCCAGGCTGGTTGGAAAGGGGCACTGACCGATGAAGGGGCGGCAGGCGAAGGTGAGGCGTACTTTATGCTAACCACCACCACGTCGCCGTTTGGAACGAGGGCAGAGTCAAAGTGGAGGAGCGCCCGGTTGTTGCTCGTTACAACTTCGGGAAACACCACCACCGGTCGTCGCACGCTTTTGACCGCCGAATCGATATCGCTAAACATCTTCGGCAGGGTGGTTGGAGGAAGGTCTCCAACGTAGTGAAGAGCGTGATGCAAAGGTAGCAGTGCGTAACCGATAATGGCGAGGTTTGGATCGTTGACACCGGTCATTCGAGTATTGGCCGAAACAGCATTGACTTTCCCCTTGGCCCGTTGAGCGTCGTTACGAACAGGCTGCACAAATACAGCCCCCGGATACAGCGCGCTGAGCAGAAGCAGGTCGATCCAACTCGAGTGATTCGCAACCACAACCCTCCCCACCACCTTACCTCGGTAGTCTGGAGAAACACGCCAGTACCCAAGCGCTACCAGTCCAAGTCGAACCCCAACACTGGGGGCGATAAAGTACACTGCGTACGCGACCAAAGCAAGGACGCAACGAACAATGCCGAGCAGGGTAAGGATGGGGAGGAGGATGGTGGTGCGTGTCGAAACGGGCGTGAGAAAGACCTGGATGCCCGTGCCCGGATCGCGAAACTTGCTAAACTTTTCCGCCATCCTTGCTGGCCCTCGTGATGATGGTAGCAAGGTATCACCGGCCATCTAGAACTCGGGTGATCCATGCATTTTTGGATCTCCAAGTGGCCCGATTCAGCCCGATTTCTTCTCCAACCCTCCTCTCACGCGCACACGTTGAATCATACGAAAGCTGGCATTGCCCTAGCCCAACGGACAGCGTCGACGGTTGTGGCCGTACTCCTTGCAGTTGCTACATCGTGCACTGCCCTTGCCCGAGCTCGGGGGCTGTCCCACCCCCGTCGATGCTGTCACAGGCGTGCTCACGACGGGCGTAGCCTGCGGTCGCATGGGCGAGCCCAACCCATTCAGCCGCGTCCTATCCTCGTCACCACTGGCAGCCTTGCGCTTCTTGCGCGCGGTGGCAGGCTGCAACCTCGCCTCGGCACGCAACCGCATCGCGTCCAACTCGGCATCGAGGATCGCGCGCCCCGCAGCATCCGAGCGATCATAAACCCCGAGGAGGTTGAGCATCTGGCGTTCGAATGAGACCTTGACCCCCGACCCCTCGCTGGCCACGCCGTTGAGCACCAGATCGGGGCCGAGCTCAAACGCGCCATTGGAGGGCGTGGGTGTGCTGAGCGCCGAGGGCGTGGCGAGCATGAGATGGGCAGAGGGACCGGCGGCATTGACGAGCAGATCGGGCGTGGACGTCATAGTCGTCTGCTGCCGCTGTTGTGCACGTCGAACCGCTGGCTGGCTCCCGTTCCTACCTGAACTCGCCGCATTGCTCGCGCGCGCCTTTCCCTGCGTCGTCGTCACCGTCGGTGCTGGCGTTGGTGTGGCACTCAAATTCGCGGCCTGGGCGACCGCATTCGCCGCCGCATTCCCCGCCTGCGGAGCGCCTGGCGACTCGTGCGCCTTGCGCTGGTTCTTTATCCTCCGCACCTGGCTCGGCAGATTCTCGCGATCCGTCTCCATGGCATGCTTATGCCTGCCCTCCAAAATGCGCAGCTCCATCTTGCCCGACTTCCAGTTCTTGGTGCACTGCACGCGGAAGGGACATCCGATCTTGAGCGAGCCGCGCTTTCGACGCTCCTTGTCCTTGGGGATCGGACGCTTCTTGGTGTTGGGTGTGCCGTCGGGGTTGAGCGATTCGGGAAAGCCGCCGCGGTAGCACGACCAGCAGATGCGCGTCTGGTTGTTGGCCGACCACTGGATGCGGATGTCGAAGCCCTGTGAGAGCGCGTAGGTGTGCATGTAGTTGCTCGCGCTCTCGAGATTGTCAAAGTCGAGCTCGAGCGGCATGGATGGTGGAGCGATCAGCCCTTCCGCATCGGGGACGCCTGGTGGCACCGAGCTGGATGGCTGCTGTGCTGCCACCTGCGCCTGCTGCGGCTGCGGTTGGAGTGGCGCATGTGCTGCAACGGCTGGCTGTTGAGGCTGCGAATGTGACGACGGCTGTTGCGGCGGCTGTTGTGGTGGCGGTGGAGGCTGCGGTTGTGGTGTGCCGTTGTTCGGTGAGGGTGCCATGGGGAACGAGTGGGACGAGATGGTGCTGCCCAGCAGCGACGTGTTGGTCGTCTGGCTAGCATTGGCGCTGTGTCCATGCGCGTACGCGAGCGGCAGGCTGGCATTGAGGAAGCTCGGATGGTGCGCACTCGCGTGTGTAGGATGGTACGACATGGTGAACTGTCCAGATTGCGCGCGACGCGGTGCTACGCAGTGCTACGCGGTGCTATGCGGTATAGATGGACCGAGGGTATCAGCAGGCGAGAGTCATGAGAGAGTTGGCGCGCGCGTCGCTCAATGTGCGATGCGGAGGTGGATGCGATGGTGCAAAGCTTGTCGTCGCTGGAGGACTGACTCGCTGGACCCTGAGCGTCGAGATGGGTGGTGGGCGCGAGAAGGAGGAGGTCGGTGGGGTCGGTCGAGACGATTGTGCGGTGCGTGCAGCTCGAGCCAAGAGAGCTCGCGGCTTGGCGCCGAATCTTGGATCGGCTCTCCACAATTCCTTATCGCCGATTTGCTCTCGTTCGCCCTTTTCCCTCTGTTCGAAGGTCTGTACTAACACGATCAAATTGGTTTTCTCTCGCTTGATCATCCCGAAGGTGACCAAAGATAAGACCCACTGCAGATGCACGCTAATGTACCGCCGGCACGGATGGCTCTGAGTGGAGCTAGCGGAGGGTGCGGTGGGCGTGCAGATCCCAAGCCATCTGTCGATCGCGCAAGTTGCAGCGGCAGTGGAAGGCAGAAGGCAGAAAGGCCATGCTCGACGGCCGAAAGCCACATGCTGGTTCGGAGGCGAGCTGCAGCTGAAATCTTCGGTGCATCCATCCACAACACCAACTCGGCCCTCGTCTGCTCGGCGTCTTTTTCTTTGCGGGATGCGCGCGCGACGGCCGAACGAGCATGGACGAGGCATGAGGCTGTGCATCCCAAAGCGGCTCGGCTGGCAGGAAAAAGTGACAGCGCGCGCCAATCCCAAAAAAAGAGCCCGAGCCTGTCTGCGCATCGAAACCGAGTCTGCGCAACGCTGGTCCGTCACCCACGCTCAAGCTCGTACGTTTGCTCTGCGTCGATCGGCTGTGCATGGGATCCAAAAGCTGAGCACGGTGAACATGGACCGAGTCGAGGGAGCGGCTGGCAGTCGAAAGGGAGGGCGACGGCGCTGATGCACGACTCGGCTGCAGCGAGCCGCCGTGCATGGCCATGCGATGCCGCCGGTTGCGAGCCGTTGATGATTCTTTTCGCCTCGAGTGCCGCTCCGAGACGCCCCTCGGATGTCCGATGTCCCAAGATGACAACAGTGTTGCCGCGCTGTCCATTTGGCTGCGCTTTCATGCCGCCGATTCGCTTCGTGCAGCACCGTCCGGCCGTCCATGCTGTCTCGCCGCCCCTTACCCTGCCGCTGCCGCACCGCGTCGGGATTCGAATCCTGCCCAGAGCCATGTCGAGAAAGGGGGGACGGCGCGCACAAATCCAAGCTCTCCCCCCCCCCCCCCCCGCGGCTTGGGTCTGGCGGGATCGCCTCGAGATGCGCTGCGTGTTTGTGCGCATCTCGCGGCGTGCGCACCTCTTGCCGCTGGGCCGCCGGCTTGCACTCCCCTCGCGCCTCGTTCGCTCCGGTGGCCAGATGTCCTTGCGCGCGCTTCCCCCCTCGGTGCCACTCGCTCTCGCTTTCCTCAAAAGCTTGGTCGAGTCGACGCCGTGCATCTTGTCCTATCCCCTTCATCCTTGTCTCTACCCAAAAAGTCCTCCCTGTTTTTCTTCGTCAGGATGCTCTTCACCAAGGCCGTTTCGTCGCTCGTGGGTGCTGGTGCGCTTGCTGCTGCTGCTGTGCATGCCCAGAGCGTGCCTGCCTTCACTTACGGCACTGCCAGCGCCGACTATCCCGGTGTCAAGTCGACGAACCGCAATGGTCCCACCAACCCTGCGTCGCCGCAGCTCAACACGCCCATCAACCAGACCTCGGTGTCGCGTCTGGCTTCGATCAACTCCATCGACGACTGGTGCACCTTTGCCCCGCCCGGAACGGGTCAGCCTCTGGCGGATGTCGAGGAGATCACCGTGGCGTACTGCACCAAGCCGCGCAACAACGCACGTGTCATTCCGGACGGCACCGTGACCGGAGCGCACTTTGTCAAGACGCCGCTGTACGTTCAGCTCATGGCTGTCGGCGACTTTACTAGCATCGGCTTTATGGCCGGCGACGAGGGCGGAGAGCTCGACCCGCACGGTGCTACCAACATGGGCAACCCCGTCGGTGGTAATGTCACCTCCAACGTCTCGGGTGAAGATGTCTTCTACGAGGAGTGGATGAACTACGCCTCGTCCAACCAGGTCTGCTTCCGCGTCTGCATCGCCGGGTCGGAACAGGCTCCCACCGCTCTCGAGTGCCAGCATACCCTCGACGTCATGGGCTGCAACTTTGTCATGCCCGGCAACTACGCCGACGACGTCTTTGAGACGTGCGATGGCGACTCGGCCTACCCTCCCGGTCTCTACCCCGAGGCGAACGGTCAGACCTCGACGTTTGTGCAGTTCTTCACCGGAACCTACGTCGCTGGCGGTGTCACTTACTCGTACACCAACGGTAGCCCCGATGAGGTCACCCCCACTGCCGCTTACTCCACCCCGTCCACGTCCAACTGCCAGACCACCGCCACCATCTCCAACGGCATCAAGTCGCTCGTCACCTCCAAGGCCTCGTCCGCTTCGTCGTCCGCTGCCACTGCCAAGTCCACCAGCGGCTCGTCCGGCTCTTCGGGTTCCAACGGCTCCTCTTCCGGCTCGTCCGGCTCCTCGGCATCGTCGGGCTCCTCGGGCTCCTCGTCGGGTTCGTCCGGCTCGGGCCCTGGGTCGTCGGCAGCTGCCAGCGGCGCCTCGCAGCTCGCCAACAGCGCCTCGGCCGTCGTGCTTGCCGCTGCTGTGCTGGCAGGTGCCATGATGCTCTAAGCATCCCACCTACCCTCTCTCGGAACAATGCCTACACCCACCGCCTTGGGGATATACCACAGTCGCTCTTAGATGAGCCCCCCATAGCAGTCGCCCTCCCACCGAACAATCCCTCTCTTCCACTTTCCCATCTGGGTTCACAACTTGAGCCGCTCGCTGGTCCTCGGGACTCGAGCAGGCGCGCATCTTGACTTGATATACATACGTTTTCCTTCCGCCATCGCTGTGTGACTTGGGCTGCGCTGGGTGAGAAGTGGGAGAAAGACAAGGTGAGCGGAGGTCGTGAGCTTTCGGCGAATAACGCGGCCACAGCGCGGATTTCCCGAGCGAGATGGATTTTTCTCGACGCGGGGTGTCGGCAGACTAAAAGCGCTGAGCATGGCTCTCGACCCACTACCACCAACGCTGGATTGGGGACTCGCGCTCGAACAAGCAGCAGCGCCAGCAGCGCCCGACTTTGCAGCTGGACGGGCGGCGGGACCATGCTCACGCTTACTAGCGGCGTCGGCGTCGGCGTGCGCGCGACCTCGCGCTCGGTCGCAGCAGTCTTACGGCACGACACGCGATGGATGGCCACGGCTGCGGCGGCCTCGGGCTCAGGCTCGGTCGCACCGCAAGCGTACGTGTCTCGCTCTTCGAATCCGTGGTTCAACCTGGCGTTTGAAGATCATCTGTTCCGTACGGTGGATCCGGCGGTGCCGGTGTGCTTTCTGTACCGCAATGCGGCGTGCGTGGTGGTGGGACGCAACCAGAATCCGTGGAAGGAGCTCAATGCAGCAGCCATGCGATCGATCGACCTACCCATGGTAAGAAGGCGCTCGGGAGGCGGCACCGTGTACCACGATCTGGGCAACACCAACTATTCGTTTCACATGCCGCGCGATACATTCGACCGGCGCACGCATGCCGAGCTCGTGGCGCGTGCACTCAACGCCACGCCCGTCGGGTTGCATCTCTCACGTAGCCCGCTTGCGCGCGCCGACCGCGGAGCGTACGTCAACGAGCGCAACGATATCTGCATCCGCGTCCAGCCGCGATTCGACCGCAGCGCTACGGCGAAGACGCGGGCCGAGGCGGACGAGCAGGGGTGCGAGGAGAGGAAGGTGAGCGGGAGCGCGTACAAGCTGGTCAACACGCGCGCGTACCACCACGGCACCATGCTGTTGTCTGCAAGTCTGGGCAGCTTGGGCAGCTCGCTGCGCAACGAGCGCGGAGAGCTGCTCGTCACCAAGGGCGTCGCGTCGGTCCCTGCGCCCGTCGCTAATCTCGGCGAGGCGTTTGCGGACCGCAAGCACATGCTCACGCACGACGTCTTTGTTCAGGCCGTCGTCGCCGAGTTCCTGCGCACGCACAACGCCAAGCCGGGATCGCACATCGAGGTGGACGAGTCGTGGCTCGCCGAGCCCGAACGCAATAGCGGCAGGTGGAAGCTGCAGGAGAACTTTGACGAGCTGCAGAGCTGGGAGTGGGTGTTTGGCCAAACGCCCGAATTCACCCACCGCGTAGCTGTGCACCATCCCGCCGAGCTCGAAGCCCATGGGGCCGAGGAGAATGGCTGGGGCCCGTTTGCGATCGAGATCCACTCCAAGCACGGCATCGTGCTCGACGCCAAGGTGGTGGATGCGAGTTTTGAGCAGCAGCGGACAGAGGACGAGGTGCGCAGCGTCGTGCACGCGCTCAAGGGCCGACGCTACGATGAGCTGGCGCTGCCACCGCCATGGGGACCCAACTCGTCCCCACCAGCGGCAGATGGTAACGCAGGCGGCATCCGGACGAACATTCGAGATGCACTACTCGCATGGCTCCGCACCAGGCTATAGAAAAGGCACGCATGGAGTATAGAATCGAGCATTCTGGATCGATATCAAGTGGATCCGAGCCCAGCTGCTGAGCTAGTGAGGAAGGTCAGTGGCGAGTTGAGAGCTGAGAACGAGAACAGAGCGAGCCGAAAAAAAGGGGGGGCGGACCCTGGATTTGGCGGCAGCCGAGCGTGAGCAACGCAGAGCAGAGCAGCGTTTCCACACTGAAACCAACACCTCTTTTTTTGGGCTCGCCACGCGCCGCGCCCCGGTGCCTCGCTGCCCTGCTGCTGCTGGCGTCGGAATCGCCGCACGCTCCTCTGCCCCTGTCGACCCTTCTCTGGCATTGGTTTCGGCGCTCGAGGCTCGCAAGTCGGCATCAATCCGAGCTGACTCAGAGCGTGAGAAGGCGGTCGGGAGCCATCCGGAGCATCGATAATTAGCGGCGTGAACGGTGCTGAGCGCGGAAAGGGGCGACGGCCAAGTGGAAATCTGGCAACCATCAGAGCTCAGCGTCGGCGTGCAGCCGGAAAAAGGCGAGTTGCCAAGCAGACCAGCACAGCACAGCACAGCGCCAGAGCCCAACCCTCGCGCGCTTGCCTGCCTTTCTGGGTCGGACTGCTTCCGCATGCTGATGCTCTCCGCTGCCACCGCTACTACCACCATCCTCCCTCCCGCTCTCTCTCCCTCTCCTACCCTCTCCACCCGCGTCTGTCCGTCTTCATTCCAGCACTCTCCCTCTTCGACTCGCATTGCGCCCCACCGCACATTTTCCAGAGCTGGCTCTCTGGACCCGTCTCGGCTTCATCTCAGCAACCCCCACCGCATCATCTGCACGCGCTCCATCTTTGCATTTCTGCTCCGTCTCATCGTTTCGCTCTCCGACATCCTCCGCCACGATGCGATCCCATTCCTCCTCATTTGTGCTCAAGAAACGCGACGGCTGTGCCGTCTGCAACAACATCGCGCCCTGCCCCGCGTGTCCCAAGGGCCAACAGTGCCAGCAGATCTTCCGCACATCGTGCCAGGACTGTCCCGTCAACAAGTGCGTCCCCATCCCAGGCTACACCGCCGACAGCGGCCCCAACAAGTCGGCGCTGGGCGGTGGGCTGGCGGCGCTCGTCATTGTCGCGCTCGGTGCGTTTGCTTGGTGGTTCTGGCGAAGGCTCAGGGCGAAGCGTCGCCGCATCGCGCTGCATGAAAACGCACTCGAGCGCCGAGAAAAGCTCAAAAACGAAAAGGAGGCTACGACGCTCCAGCTCGGCGGTGGTAGGGCGGGCAGCGACGATGCTGGCTCGCAATTCGCCATTGCGGACGACGATGACCTCACCGAGTATACGCAGGTGACCGGCTCGCTCGTTAGTCAGGATAGCGATTCGCTCGGCGCGCTTGCGGCGCCCGGCGCATTCCGCCGCCGCTCGTTTGGAGCTGCGACGCATCTGTCGCGCATCACCGAGGGCGCAGAGGAGGAGGAGGACGAACCCATGCCGCCGCTTCCCACCGGCGCAGGCGCCGCCGCGGCGGGCGTGGGCAAGCGCGCCACGGCACACTCGGTACGCTCTAGCGCACGATCCTTCGTCAGCGCCGCTGGACCGCGCATCAGCATCGGCTCCGGCACCAGCTTTGGCTCGCACAACATCATCCCCATCGCATTCAAGCCGACGACGCCGACAACTGCGCAGGACGCAGACGAGGCTGCATCCGAGGGATACGAGACGGTGTCTTCTTTGCCGCTGCCATCCGCTGCGCACCGTGCACCCGGCGCGCGCGTGATCGAGGTCAACACCGCGCGTCAGGCGCCCGTGCGCCCTACACGCGCACCGGACCTCAACCTGCGTCTTCCCGACACGCAGCGGGGCGCGTCGCCGTCGTCGCCGCTCGCAAGCGCGCCGGCGGGGGTGGAGGAGCAGCCGGCGTACGGGTTCATGTCGATCGACCCGGTGCAGGCGTACGCGCGCTCGGAGCGACCGCTGTCGGCCGCCACGGTCAACACGATCGGCTCGACGCACTCGGGCAGTCTCTCGTACGTGCTCTCGGCACCGCAGGTCATCACGCCCGTCAGCGCCGAGGGCGCGCGTCGCGTCCAGCTCGGAAACGGCGGCAAGGCGCAGCTCGTGCGCGTCCCCAGCGGCAAGCGCACCAAGGCGGACGGGGGTGAGGATCCTTTTCAAGACCCGGCGCATGGGGGAGAATTGGCACCTCCAAGGGCAGGAAGGTTCGAAAGGACGTCGACCGTGTCGACGTCGACACTGGGGATTCCGTTTGGCGACGACCCGTTCGGACCAGCCGTGCAGCCCGACCAGCACGCTTCGCCGTTGGATGCCGACGAACGCACGTCCTGGCTCGGCGACGATCCGTTCACCGACCCCACCGCCGGCGCAGAGGCGCAACCACGCACAAGCATCGGAGGACTCAGCCTGCTGGGCCAGTTCGAGTTCGACTTTGCCCGCAACCAGGCCGATACCGCCCCACTCCCCAGCGACGCACTGAAGCGTGTAGAACAGCACAAGTAGTCCGCCCACCGACCAATGAGAGTTCAAAGAACATTCTAAGACGAGAAGAGGATATTTACACTTTGTGGAAGGAAGGAGACAAGGTTAGGTGCGGCGGGTGAGGGTGATGTTGGAGCCGTTCTTTTGCGGAAGAACGACCATGGACTGGTAGTCGGGGTCGGGGAATTTCGTCTCGAGCTCCCACTTGAATGCGCGCACGAACGTGGCGATGATGACGCCGATCTGGAGGTAAGCGAACTGTTCGCCGATGCAGCGGTGTCTACCCGCCCCAAAGGGGAGGTAGGGCGAGTTGGCGCCGGTGCTGATCATGCCGAATCCAAAATCGGCCTGTTCCTCGCCCGAGTCCTGCATAGCCGCTGCCGTGGCACTGTCCAGCCAGCGATGAGGATCAAACGACTCGGCCGACTTCCACAGCGCGGGGTCCACTTGCGATACACCGGGGGCGGCCATAATGTAGTGTCCGCGCGGGATGACGTAGGATGCATCGGCACGCGCGCTCGACGGAGCCGCAAGCGTAGCAGGCACAGCCAGGTCCGCCTTAACGTAGCGCATGATCGAGTGCAGAGGGGGATGCAACCTCAGCGTCTCCTTGACCACCGCATCCAGCAGAGGCACCGACGTCTTTTGCGTCTCGTAGTCGAGCTCGCGCAGCTTTCCGTCCGATTCGCCGTACACGCTCACCTGCTCGCGCCACAGCTCCTCGATGATCTCGGGTCGACTCGCCAACCGCAGCAGCGCCCACGATCCCGTCGCCGACGACGTATGCTGCCCCGCCATCAGCAGCGCAATCATCATGTGCGCAATCTCGACGCCGCTCAGCTCGCGGCCGTTCTTGTACTTTTGCTCCATAAGCGCCGCGATCATATCGTGCTCTTCGTCCGACGCGCCCGAGTGGCCCGCGGCGCGTCGCTTGGCGACAATGTCCTGGTAGAAGCGCGACATCTTCTTCTGCGCACGGTCGCGCTTAAAGTTGCTCGGCAGCGGCAGGTTGGGGATGACAAAGTTGATGGGCGTAAAGCCCGAGTCGAGATCGTGGTACAGCTGTGCGAAGCTCTTGTCGAGTCCTTCGCGCACCTCCTTGCCCTGCAGCGTGCGCGACGCGGTGAGGATGATCACCTCGGACATGGCCTGGAAGATGTCCACACTAAACGTCGACTGACCCTTCTGGAAGGGCGCAAAGCGCGGGTCGGTGCGCATGTACTCGGTGAGCTCGTCGACGATCTGCGGCACGTACACGCGGAAGTTGTCGATGCTGAGGCCGACCTTGACGAACTTCTTCTGCTCCATGAACACGGCGTTGGGCACGTCGTACACCACCTCCTTGCCGAACACGGGCGTGGTGAGGTGGGTGTAGGCATCCTCGGCGGTGACCTGCTGGTGCTTTGCGTTGAAGACCAGGTTGCTTCCCTTGGGCCCGAGCGCCACGGTGATGCGACGGCCGAGCAGCACAAACGTAAACACGTCGCCGTACTTGGCGCGACACTCGAAGAAGAACTTGTACGGATCCATGCCGTAGTACACTGCCGAGCCGATGATGGGCACGTAGTGGAAGACGACGGGCGGGAGGTTCCTGGGCTTGGGCAGCAGCAGCTGCGACGCCACGTTGAGCACCACCGCGAGCAGCGGCAGCACCACGACGAGCGAGATGGCCTTGACGGAGGGCGACGCATCGGCCAGCGGCGTGAGCGCAAACAGCTGCTGCAGCAGCGACTCGGAGACGGCCATGCTTGCAGAGTAGAGTGTTGATGATGGTGGCAAGCAGCGTTGCAGGACGCGAAGCCTCTCTGGCTGTGATTTGCAATGCAGCGAGCGGTTCGCGCTTCTCCTTCGCCTCGCCTCAGCCTCAGCCTCAGCCTCAGCCCACGCGTGTGGAATCGGAAGAAAGGGTGCGTCCAAAATCGTGTCACTTTGGCCACTTTTCCAGCCGGATAACGTGTCGACAGCCGCCGTTTGCCAGCACGCGTGTCGCTGCGACCGTCCAATTCAACCCAACACACACGCACACGCACGCACGCACTCACGCGCTGCCTCAGCCTCGCTTTTTCGAATTTCGCGGCTGCTTTTTCTGGCCCGCTTTTCACAGCCTGAACTCGCGAATTTTGGCACTCTTTTTTGGTGGTCCAATCGGAAGATTTCGATGTCACAGCCACATCCACTGCGTCAGATCGGCGCTCCGACGTATCCACATCGGCGATCTACATCACAAGCACACTCTTCTATCGATCAGGACAAGGACGAGGCAAAGCATAGCTGGAGCATTCCAACGAGGTATCGACATCCCGACGAGGCTGAGAAGCTTTCTACAAATACATGGGCAGGATCTACAAAGAGAGACGGGAGGCGAGGTGACGGAGCAAACAAGGAGAGGGCCTACTTTTGCAGATAGTACTCGGTGGAGAGCACCTGCTGCTGGTGGGTGGGCGACTTGTGGTCGGTGGCCGAGGCCTTTTCGATGTCGCTGGTGGTGGCGCTTGCGTCGGCTGCGGCGTCGAGACCCTCGATGGGTGCGCCCTCCCACATGTCCGACTCCCACGACTCGGGCTCGAGGAAGTCCTTGTGTGCGCGCACCGACACGCCGCCCACCACGGGAAACACCTCGCACAGCCCAATGTACACGAGCGCCGACACGAGGAAGCCGATCGGGTACGCGAGGATGTACATGCGGTGCGCCACCACCGACACCTCGGCACCCAGCACACCGGCAAACCCAGCCACGGTCATGGCAATGCCCGCCACGTACGCGGCAAACGCACGCAAGTTGATGCCGTGCCAGTAGTGGTAGGCGTGTGGCTGGCCGTCGGTCTTGCCCGAGCTCGCCGAGAAGAGGCTGGGCACATCGAGCTTGCCGCGCCTCACGACGTAGTAGTCGGCCATCATGGTGCCGCTGATGCTCGAGAGGAAGAGCGAGTAGGCCGAGAGGTACGTCGCAAAGTTGTTGCTGTCCTTGAGCAGGTTCCAGGGGCACATGGCGAATCCAACCGCAGCCGCCACCAGACTTCCGCGACGGATGTTGATGAAGCGAGGGCATGCGGCTGCCAGATCGTGGCCGGCCGAGAGCGAGTTGGCCGCAATGTTGACGCCGATCTGACCAATGATGAAAGCAAACGCGATAAAGAAGACGCCCGCGCGCGCGCCCGAGTTGTACGGGTCCAGCTTGAGCCTCTCGCCCAGCAGATCGACGGGGTTCCAGATGAGTTCGCCGTAGATGACGTGCGAGCTCGAAGCGATGATGATGCCGAGGAACGAGGTGAGCGAAAAGGTCAAGGGGATGGCGAGGATCTGCGACCAGGTGACCGAACGCTTGTTCTTGGCCATCCTCGAGATGTCCGGAATGTTGAGCACCAGCGTCGCCATGTTGCTGATGCACGACATGAGCGACGCCACAAACTGCCAACCAAAAGCGGAACCCTTGAGCGTAGCCGGCTGGTTCACGATGGGTCCGAGACCCTTGGCGTCTGCGATGGACCAGGCAAAGAAGGCGATGGCGGCAATTGGCACGACGACGCTCTTGAAGTTGAAGAAGAAGCGGATCTTGGTCGGGTGGATCACCACGAGCGGCAGCGAGATGAGCGAAAAGAGGAAGAAGCTCACAAAGTCCATGGTGGTGATGCCGGCGCTTGCGGGAAGGTGGTTGGGCATGCGTGCGTAGCTGGGGAACATCGATCGCAGCACCAGCGTCACACACTGGCCGCCGATGTACGCCTGCACGCCGTACCAGATGCAAGCCATCGCCGAACGGTTGATGATAGGCCAGATGGCACCCCACACGCCGAACGTGCTGCGCGCAAGAATAGGGAACGACACATGGTACACTGCACCGATCCTGGCAGTGGCGACGACGAGCAGCGCGACGACAAAGTAGCCGACGATGATGGCGGCCCATGCCTGCGACCAGGTGAGGCCGGCGGAGACAGCGGTGGATGCGATCATGAACGTGTTGAGGTTGAGGCCGTCCGAGATCCAAAAGGCGGCAAAGTTCATCCAGCCCCAGGTGCGACGATCGGGCGCGACGGGGAGGAGGTCTGCATTGCGCAGCATGGCGTTGCCGCGCGACTCGCCCGGACGCCGCTCGGAGCCCTTGATGGCCACCGCATTGATGGTGCGCTTGACCAGCGACATGTTTCTAGCTTTGGAGGAGAGAAAGGCGAAGGAGGGAGATGGAGAAGGATGATGTCGGTGAGGGAAGTGGTCGGTAAGGGTGCCAAGATGGGATGGCTTATGTATGTGTCGACGAAGCTTGGATGCTTATGCATGCACTCGGCTGCAGCGTGCGTTTGCCGGTGCAAGTTGCAGTTACAGAGGATGACGACGATAGCAAAGACGCGGTATCGGTATCACATGCGATACGGGGAAAGCAAAAAAGAGGCACGATCGCATACAAAGAAGATGCCACGAGGCAGTGAGACGGCAACTCGAGCGAGGCACCGATGCTAAGTCGCAACTGCAAGCCCTACAGCCATCATTGTGCGGGGGGAGAAGGGGGGTGCGGAGTGCAACAAGAGATAGCAAAACGACCCACGCGGATGCGATAGAGCAGGCGGAGCTTTGATGGCGGTCGACTTCGGGCCACTCTCTTGGCGAGGCGAGGCGAGGCGCGGCAGCTAGGCTCCTTGACAGCTAGCCAAAAACAGGCTCAGGCTTCAGACCGGCGCAACGGAGCAAACAAGAGCCGCTTATCTCGAGCCAGTCTGAGTGGCGGCTCAAATGACAGCCCGAAAGGGAAAAAAAAGGCGGGGAGAGACAGGCAGACAAGCCAATCGAGGCGCGTGATTGGCTGCAGTGCGGAAACTCGTCCGCTTTCCGCAGAGATAGCGAGCGCCCGCCCGCGTCGTGGGATCGAAAGCTCCATCTCGCCCGCACGGCCGAGATTCCGAGCGTCTTTTTCCCCCGTGCCTGCCCGGCCTCATTGATAAGAAGCCGCCCCCCCGCCAGCCCCGCCCTGTCACACACGGGCCACACGCGCGCTGGGGACGATAGCAATCTCGGCCGCTGCTTTCTCGGCCGCCATTTGCGGGTGCTTGCTATGGTCGCGATTGACGTTCTTGTCACCATGTCTCGCTCGCGACTGATAACGCAAACGGTACCTAGATCAAGAGATTCAGAATTGACATTGGCAAGGGTCCCGCTGCCAAGTGCGAGCTACATTCATGCGCCCTCGGTGTCGAGCTGTGCCAGGAGCGCTGTCCAGTCGACGTTGAGCTGTGCGGCGACGGTGCGCAGGCTGAGTGCCTGCTGCTCGGCGTACAGGGCAAAGTAGTCGAGGATCGTTCCGCCCACGGCGTGCTCGAGTCGATTCCTCGCCGCTGATTCGTCGCACTCGGCCACCACGTGCTCAGGCTTGTGTGCGGCCGAAGCGGTGGTCTGCGGCAAGTTGCTCTGGAAGATGCCGGCGGCCGAGGCGGGGAGGAAGTCCTCGTAGGTGATGGGCTCCGCTGCCAACGCTCCTGCCTCGACCATGGCTGCGAGCGATGCGCTATCGTGCGTACCAGCGGCCATGGTTTTTGCGAGTGCCCCATCGCGGACGGTGTACATGAAGAATCCGAGCGCACCGCGCATCATCCCGTGCACATCGTCGACGAATCCATCGCGGAACACTTGGACAAGAATACGCTCGCACTCCTTAGTGCCCAGGGGCGTGGATGCCTGCGACTCGGCGGCTTTCTTGACGCGCGCGGTTCGGGCCATGAGCTCGTCGTACAGCCTCGCACCTCTGCGCGTGAGTGCCTGGCCTCTCGCCTCGATCTCGCCAAAGCGCGCCTTGTGCTGGCCGTGCTCTACGCCCTCTGGCGCACCGAGGAAGCTGACGCGCTCCGAAAGCGCATGGAAGCTCGTCTGGCGCAGATAAACGGGGCAGTGCCGAGGGGGAGGACCTTCGACGACCTGCTTGGCATCAATGCCGCGCGCGATCATGCTCGACTGCACCTCGTCAATGTCGAGCGTGCGCGGCGTGAGGTGGTTGATGTGCGGACCGCGGAAGCTGACGATATCCGCCACGAGCGGGTGGGTTCGGCTCAGAAGCTGGTATTCGCAAAGCGATACGGGCGTGTCCGAGTGCCAGGCAAAGATGTCGACGACGCGCTCGACGAACTCGATCGCCTCGACTCGCGTCAGTCCCTCGATCGCCACCTCGTCCACACCGCTGCGCGCCGGGGGAAGAGCGGCTTCGGCCTTGGTGAGAAGCTCGATGCATCGATCCGAGACGATCTGGCGACTGGCCAGCAGGCGTTGGGCGAGCTCGCGCGTGGTGGCGTCGGCGATCAGGTCGATGCGCAGCAGACTGCAAAAGATGCGGAACGGATTGCGCGCCAGATTGTCGGCGCCCACGGGGCGGAAGGCGGTGGCGTGGATGGGCAGACCTGCATCCTTCCACAGATCGTAGTATCCGACGGGCATCATGCCAAACACGCCAAAGATGCGCGCCAGCAGTGCGAGCTCTTGCGGCGTACCCACGCGGATGGCGCCGTGACGTTCGACGTTGAGGCGCGAGATTTCGTCGTCGCTCACGGCGTGCGGGGAGCGTCGGATGCACGAGGCGTTGACGGTGCGGATGATGTCGAGCAGCTCGCCGTAGAGCGGCACTTCGGTCTGGTACATGCTCGACATGCTCGACGCCAGCAGTGCGCGCAGCTGGGTGGATGTGACGCGCTTGCTGCGGCGCGAAGAGCTGGTCGACGAGGACGACGACGACACCTCGCTCGAGTCGGTCGCCGAAAGCGCAGGGAACGTCTGCTGCTGCGAATGCACAAAGCTCGCGGTTGGGTTGAAGCCCGCTGGCGACTTGGCCCTGCCGGCCGCGCCAGCGCCAGCAGCGCTCGTGGATGCAATACCCGCCTGCATTTCTACCGAGCCTGAGGCCGACTTTTTGCGACGAGGTTTGGGTGGAAGCGTACGAAGGTAGAGCTGGGCGACGGACGGGTGGACGTCACAGCGCTCGCTACTGCGGCGGGCTAGGCTGGGCTGCGGAAGATCGAGGTGGTCGAGCTGGTGGTGGTGCTGACGAGTGCGCGATGTGCGTGGGGGAGACGAGAGCGACGACGGGAGGAAGGTATAGCGACACGCGGATGCATTCATAACAGGCGGGACGATCGCTTCAGGCTTGGCTGTGCGAGCACATTGGGCGCTCACGTTATCAATGGCCGAGGAAGGAGGTTCAGGCTGCGAGGAGTGGGTGCATGTGTCATTGCTACAGCCATGAGTGCGGCTATGATATACTCTCTTGCATGCTCGCACTCGTAGCTTGCACCGCCGATCGAGGCGCACGGCAACTTGTCCGGTCAGAGGGTCGGGAGGCATGGTGCATTCGAGGAGCCAGCCTGAGTCAGATAACGTTACGGAGCGATCGAATGGATGTGCGGTATTGGACATCGCCGTGTCAACACGCTTAAGCCTCGCTATCATCAGGCTTAGAGGGGCTCCGGTCTGGGCGATCCGAGCTCGGTGAAATGCCGAGTCTCTCTGCCAAGCAACCCAACGCGGCACGGCCGATGCGCGAGGCGCAATTCAAGTTCGGCGAAATGCCGAGACTGCCCGACTGCCTGCGAGGTGAGATTCGGCATTTTCCCGCGAAATGCACTCTGAATGTCACACAATGCGCCGCATCACATCGAGCCGTGGAGCCGCAGTCGAAACCCCCTTGAAGCCCCCTGATGAGTGCTGCTGCTGCTGCTGCTGCTGCTGCTGCTGTTGCTGCTGCTGCTGTTGCTGCTGCTACGGCTGCTGTTGTAACGTGACCCATGGCATGCCGCTCCAAAGCAGGATCGACGTGGCTTTCGGCCGTGGATACCAGACCGGCTAGTTGGCGTTCATCTTGGCTCGGCTCGGCTGTTGCGCAGCGCCTGTCACTTTGCGCCTTCGCTCCACTATCCCGGCGATGCCATCCGCTAGCACTTTTTTGTGGTTCTGATGCTTCGGGCGTAGACCGTCGTGGAGGCCCGTCGTAGCCATGCTGGCCGTCATGCCCGTCCGTCGTGTTCTCAATGCGACAGGCAGCTTCGCTAGCCACTCAGACGTCCAGACACATATAATGCGAGCATGCTCGCGCGCCGCCTCGTGTGAGCACATTCCCATCCCCCCTGCCTTCATCTTTCGATCAATCAAAAATGCCCGAGCCCATCACCACACCAAAGCCTACGGCCACCACGCCTGTGGCGCCCTCCAAGACCGCTGCTGCCTCCAGCTCCAGCTCCAGCTCCATGGACGACGTCTTCCGTTCGCTCGGCCTCGCTGCCCCCGGCTCCCAGATGGAGGGCGTCTTTGACGGCGAGTGGAAGCACGGCGCTGGCACCGACATGCTCACCTCCACCAACCCCGCAACCGGCGCAAAGCTCGCAACCGTCTCTGCCGCCACTGCCGACCAGGTCAAGAACGTCATCGCCGCCGCCCACAAGGCGCAGCGCCAGTTTGCCCGCGTGCCCGCCGCCACCCGCGGCGCCGTGATGAAGGACATCTGCGCAGCCTACATCCACCACAAGGACGCCCTCGGGGCTCTCATCTCCTACGAGATGGGCAAGGTGCTCTCCGAGGGCAAGGGCGAGGTCCAGGAGGTCATCGACGTCGCCGACATGGCCGTCGGCCTCTCGCGCTCCATCCAGGGAAGCGTCCTCCCCTCGGAGCGTCCCGGTCACCTCATCTACGAGATCCCCAACCCGCTCGGCCTCGTCGGCGTCATCACCGCCTTCAACTTCCCCGTCGCCGTCCACGGCTGGAACTTCTGCCTCTCGTTTGTCTGCGGCAACGCCACCCTCTGGAAGCCCAGCCCCACCACGCCGCTCACCGCCATCGCAACCACCAAGCTCATCGTCGACGTCCTCAAGAAGCACAACCTCCCCACTGCACTCGCCGCGCTCGTCTGTGGCGATGTCGAGACCGGTCAGACCCTCACCCGTGACGAGCGCATCCAGCTCACCAGCTTCACCGGCTCCGAACACATCGGCAAGCTCGTCGCACAGGACGTCGCCGCTCGCCTCGGCAAGATCCTCCTCGAGCTCGGCGGCAACAACGCCGCCATTGTGCTCGACGACGCAGACCTCGAGCTCGCCGTCCCCGCCGTCGCCTTTGCTGCTGTCGGCACCGCCGGCCAGCGATGCACCACCACCCGCCGTCTCTTGCTGCAGCGCAACGTCGCAGACAAGTTCCTCGAGCGCCTCGTCAAGTTCTACACCTCGCTTCAATCCAAGGGTCTCATTGGCGACCCCACCGACTCGTCGGTGCTCTGCGGCCCGCTCCACTCGCAGCGTGCCGTCACAAAATACTGGGAGACACTCGACACCATCCGCTCCTCGGGCGGCAAGATCCTCTTTGGTCCCGACTCGCCCTCCTCGCCCGGCCTCGCCTCGCACCTCGTCGAGAGCAAGGGCAACTACGTGCTTCCCGCCATCACCATGCCTGCATCCAGCACCGACAAGGTCTTCCAGGAGGAAGTATTTGCCCCCATCCTCAACGTGGCTGTCTTTGACACGCTCGACGAGGCCATCGAGCTCAACAACTCGGTGCGCCAGGGTCTGTCCAGCAGCCTCTTCACCACCAAGCTCACCAACATTGGCGAGTGGCAGGGCGCCCTCGGCAGCGACTGCGGCATTGTCAACGTCAATGTCAGCACCTCGGGTGCAGAGGTCGGCGCCGGATTCGGAGGCAACAAGGCGACTGGATGGGGTAGGGAGTGCGGCGGCGACGCATGGAAGCAGTACTGCCGCTGGGCCACCAGCACCGTCAACTACTCGTCCCAGGTCGCCCTCGCCCAGGGCGTCAAGTTTGATGCGTAGGTCGTAGTGTTAATGTGAAAGTCATAATCCTTGCTTTCCCTCTCCGAGTGTGTGTGAGTGCCTTCCATTCCTGTGCGCGCCAGAATCCCTCGATTGCCATCTCCCTGATTCATTCTCCTTTTCTCTTGGACCTTCTACCCTTTCTCTTGGGACTTCTGTCCTGTTGTGTGTTACGACTCGACCAGCCGGCACCCGGACGTCGGTTGTATCCACCCGGCCCCCGGGTACTAACTCCGTTCGTAGGCCGGTCAACTGCGGCAATGACCGGACCCTGAGCGGACCCTGCGGCGCGCCCACAAACTGGCGCGTGCACCCCCAACCCCCTCTTTCCTTCCGGTCGTCGATTGTATTCTATTCACTCCCCAGTGTAGGACACGCCTCGACCTTACCGCTACCCGTGTGATTCCGGCGACTGATCGGAAGCTCCACTACCCCGATACGCGCGCCCGGCCTCCGGTTGAGCTACTCATCCCACCCGGCAGGTTACCAGACCACGGACGCATAACATTGTGAAGGTGGCCTGCCAGCACCACAACCACTCGTCCCAGGTTGCCTGTTGGTGGGCATCCGGCTCGCTCGGGCCGGTACCTGCATACGCACGCGCTCTACCACCATGCACGCCCTGGAGGCGTGCATACATACAATACACCCGACTCAGGGGTACCATGCACGTACCCCTCCCCTCACTAGCTCGCTCCCTTAAGTCTCGCACAGCCTCGTACACACACACACACACACACACACACATCCTGTAATTAGACCACCACTCAATCGCATTGCATTCGTATCAACAAGTCTGTCGCCCGTCGCGTGCGACCGCCAGCGCCCAAATATCAACAGGCGTCGCACCGCATTCCCACATTGCCGAGGGCGTGAAGTTTGATGCGTAGCAAGTCAGTGTCATTGTCATAATCCCAGCAGCCGTGGACGAGCGTGCGCCGTGTGAGTGCAAGTTCTTTCGAGCCTGTCCGCTCTGCGTTGCTGAGAAGCTGAGGCCACCAGCACCTAATCGTCCCAGGTCGCTCTCGCTCTCTCCCAGGGCATCAAGTTTGATGCGTAGGTCCGTAGGCTCTAGGTGAAATGTATTATCTCAGCAGCAAGCGAGTGTGTGTGCCGTGTGAGGCGAAGTGCGTTGAGGAACGTCTCTGATCTGCTATCTCTGCTCTGCTACCTCTGCTCTGCTACCTCTGCTCTGCAAACTCTGCTCTGCAAGCACCCTCCCCACTGGTAGAGCGACGAGCATGCCTCCTTCTCCCTCCTCTTGATGCAAAAGAGCCAAATGCCACTCTTGATGCGAAAGAGCCAGATACGTAGGTCGTAGTGTCAGCGTGAAATGTACTATCTCAGCAGCTTCCGAGTGTGTGTTGTCGCGAAGTGTCTATGAGAACGTCCTCTTTGCCATGCTGGTTCGCGCATGATTTCTCTCGTCCCTCTTGAACCTTCCATCCTGTTGTAGCACCATAACTACTCGTCCCAGGTCGCCCTTGTCCAGGGCGTCAAGTTTGATGCGTAGGGTCTCAGTGTCAATGTGAAATGCATTATCTCAGCAGCCATGTTCGTGTGTGTGTTGTTTGTATCTATGAGAACGTGCGCTCTTACACGCTGTCATCCACTGGTGCAGCGAGGACCATGTTTCTTCTTGTCACTCTCGAACCTTGTGTCCTGACCTGGTGAAGGTGGGCCACCAGCACCGTGAACTACTCGTCCCAAGTCGCCCTCGCTTGAATATTGTACTCTCTGCCATGCTGCCTCAGTCGCTCTCGCGCAGGGCGTCAAGCTTGATGCGTAGTGTTTCAGTGTCAATGTAAAAGTCATCACGGCAGCTTCCGAGTGTGTGCCGTGTACCTTCTATCCTGTCGTGACACAGTCTCCCTCAAGTTTTGTCTTTGAAATGCTGCTCTGATTCTGCAAATGCGCTACTCTGTGCGCCTCCAAGTGGTACAGTAAGAAGCAGATTTGCATTCGTGTCTTTCCAGTGCCGTCTCTCCAGCTCGCTTCAGCGGATACGCATCTCTGGTCGGCGAGGCGGCTGTTGGACCTTGTGTCCTTTCGTGTGCCAGCCTGCCTCAAGGGTCGTCTCTACGATGCCACCTCTTCTCTGCAAATGTGATGTGTGTTTCTCCTCTACAAGCGAGCCTCTCAGCGGCACGGCAATGCTCCATTTGAAGCTTCGCCTTGGAGTGCGATTGCCAGATGCGTAAGATGTAACTCAGTGTCAATGCAAAAGCGATTATCCCAGCTGCCAGGTTCGAGTGTGTGTCGTGTGGTGCTGAGTGCCTTCTGTTGGTGGGGCACCGGCTCGTTCGGCCTGGCACCTGCACCAGGTGATCCCAACCATCTCATGCACACGCCCTGAAGGCATCGCTGAACACGCCCACTTGGGGGTTAGGATGCACCTACCGCTCTCTCGCTCCCTCAGATGCTTAGACTCATTTGCACGCTCACACACACTGTAGAGAGAACACCACCATGTACACAATCCCACTCGTTCGACCAAGCGCTTCCGTCGTGCTTCGCCCGCTCAACAGTGGCTTACCACATCTTGGCGTCGGCAGGCTCGCTCAACACGCTCTACTTTGCTGCGTCCGCTCAGCATGCGGGCCTCTTAATGGCACGGCGATGCTTCCTTCTCCTCCCTCTTTGTAGTATCGATGTGAAAAATCTTGATCCCAGCAGATTTGTTCGAGTGTGTGCTGTGTGACGCAAACTGCCGTCGAGAATGTCCGTTCTGCCATGCCGCCTCTCGCTGGTGGCATACTCTCTCTTGAGAAACAGCTGTGCACGTTCGGATCACTGTGTGAGCCAGCCTTCCTTCACGGTCGTCTCTACAGTGTTGGCCCTCTCCTGCAAGTAGGCTTCTTCTTTGAGAGACTTTAAAAGCCTAGTCGGACCGGCCATGTTCGAGCATGAATCGTGTTGACGGGTTCGGCTCAACGCGCCCGGTATTCGGGGCTTGGACCCCCCCCCCCCCCCCCCCCCCCCNCCCCCCCCCCCCCCCTTACAGTGCATGCATGCTCATGTTTGTACTGTCGCACGGTGCTGATGGCTGTGCTAGTGCTGCTAACGTTCAAGGACGGGAGGCGTAGTTGGTCGGTGAGATCGCGATCAGTTCGCACAGCATATGACACTTTGAGGTCGCCCTCTCAATCTTGATGCTTTGCCTTTGTCAATCGACTCAATTCGCCTTTTTTGACGGTGTTCGATTTGGCCAGCATCCTACCAGTGTCCGGCATGCGCAGAATCAAAAAGGTTTCTGCACTGCTGCTCATCGTACTGTATGCAGGTGCGTCTCCGTGGTACAGTGAGCATCCTGTTCTTGCTCGCGGAGTGGAATAGCCATGCGTTCTCCCACCTCTGTGCGAGTCTGACTCCTCCAAGTCTTGTCTCGCAAATGCTACTGTAGCTCTCCTTTGCAAGTGCGCTACCTGTCGTGAGCGATTCTCGTTACACGTTCGTCTCTACCGTGATACTTTGGCTCTGCATGTTGGTGGGATTTCCGGCTTGCCCGGCCCGGTCCCTGCATCATGCACTTCCACCGTCTCATGCGCACCCCTGGAGGCGTCGCTACACACGCCCACTCAGGGTTACGATGCACGTCCGCATCCGCTCTGCCAATCTGCCTTCCACTGTTACAGCGAAACGCATGCCTTGTATACCTGTGTGGGTCAGTCTCCTTCCAGTGTCGTCTCTAGAGTGTCACCTCTGCTCTGCGAATGTGCTTCAACCTCTGCAAGCGAGTCTCTCACAAGCGGAACGTGTTACGGCGATGCTTCCTTCTCCTCCCTGTCGATGCGAATTAGCCAGATACGTAGGTCGTTATTCGGAGTCGGTGAAGCTTGGTCCGGGCAGTCATGATCTAGTGTGTGGACATCTTGTCCCTCGCGTCCTGTCGTGAGACAGTCTCGCTCAATTGTATTGCGTTGCACGCTGGTTCTTTCGTGCGAATGCTAGCTCTGCTCTGGACGTGCGGCTGTGACTGGGGTAGTGAGAAGCACGCCTTGTCCTCTTGGTGTCAAGCCAGTCCCGTCTGCAAATGTGATTGGCCCTGGCACAGCAACGAGCGTGCCTCCTCTCTTTTGCAACGAGGAAAGCCATTGCATCTTTGTGTCAAGCCAATCTCGCTCTCTGCACACTGCTAACTCCAGCTCGGCGCCAGTCTGGCTCTTTTATCGTCGCTAGCATGCTACCTCTCCTCTGCGAGCGTCGTCTGCAAACGCGCTCCTCGTCTGCAAATGAGCCCCTCAATTGTCCAGCGGCAAGCACGACCCTCGTGTCTCGCTTGCAAAAAGAGTTCGCGCACCATTGCCCAGCCCGCTCACCACCGCAGCACAAGACGAAGCTGCCAGTACACACATCGATGTAACTTATTGCCACACAGTGGCGAACGTTAGGAAGGCTACATTGCCTCGCCATCGAGATCTTCGCCGTCAATGTCCTCGCCATCAAGATCCTCGCCGTCGATGTCGTCCTGATTCTGTGGCGCTGCGTCGTCGAGTGCTTCACCGTCGACGTCCTCCTGCACCGCCTTTGCACGCTGCTGCTGCTCGTCGTTCTCAGCATGATTGCTGGCCACCGTGGCCTTGGCTGCGGCAGGGGGATGGTCAAACACACTGCGCAGCCTGTCGAGCACGTGGGGCGGGATGACGATCCAGCCATCCCACACGTCGAGCACAGCGTGAACCCTTGCTTTAAACTCCTCCCTCCTCATCCTGCCCGCAAAGCTCCTTGCGACCAGACCCAAGTGGGCAAAGACGAGGGGCAGGCGAGCTTCGATGGCGGCGCGGTATCGCCAAGCATTGGTGACGGGCATGCACGAGTTGTGCAGGACGTCGGACAGCGCATACAGCCGCGCGAGCTTGCGGGGCACGGGTGTGCGGGGTCGAAGCAACGACGCGGTGAGCAGCGCAACGATGGAAGAGTAGTGGGCGGCGTGGTCGTACGCAAAGGCGGTAATGCGCGCGATGCGATCCCGCCGTAAAGTAAGGCTGCGCAGCATAGAGCATAGTCGACGATACGCTCGTGGACCAAGTGCAGAGCGGCCGAGGGTGGCGGTCTCGGACTCTTCGCCCGAATCGGTAGAGTAGAGTTCGGCACTACCCGTATCGGAAAACTCTTCCCCCACCGATGTCGAGGGCATTGACCGACGATGGTTGATGACAAGCCGAGGAACGCCGCCCTTACTGGCGGGTTCGGCATGGTCGGTGCGCCGGACAGCGTGCGGGTACATGGGTCGTTTGGGCAGCGGCACCTGCTTGCCCCAGCTAAGCCTCACGCGCACGCCGCCCCACATTGCGCCATCTGCCTGCTTGAAGGCCCACTCGGCTTGATCGCGCGTCATGAACGCGACAAACGCAGTGAGCGCGCGCGGGTCGCGAACGTCTTGGCGAGGCCACATGATCTTTACCGTAGCCACGTCGCCCCACTCTGCAAAGAAGTCGCCCACACCGCGCTCGTCCACGCCCGGGGGCAGATTGACAATGCAGATGTTGGTGGTGGGCGTGTCGCCCGTGTGACGCGAGCCGCGTGGGCGTGTTTGTGTCTCGTGTGCGAGCAGCGTCGAGATCGACGTGTTGGTCGCCGAGGCTAGGGAGGCGAGTCGCGACTCGCGCTCGGCCTGCTCGGTCTGCAGCTCGCTCAGGAACGTGTCCATGGCGTGCCGCTTGCGTTTGGGTGCGTCGTTGCGCGTCGAAGAGGCCTGTGCTGGTGTGGTTGGAGTGATCCCGTCGTCGCTCTCGTTGCCAAAGGCGCTGCTGACGAGGTTTGCCTCCGGGTCCGAGGCGTCGGTGCTGGTCAAGGGAGCCGTGCGTGATGCGACGTACGCCTTGCCGCCGGCTGCAACAAATGCAGCAGCCTTCTTGGCAGGTGCGCGCGAGCTGCCGACTTGACTGTGCTGCATGCGCTCGTCATCGTCGCCATCACCGCCCATGGCGGCGACAAACTCGTGGTAGGCGAGCTGCGCATCGTGCTCGGCCTGCCTTCGCTTGCGCTCGTCTGCCTCGCGCTCGCGGTCTACGCGCGACTTGAGCCTGCTGGCGCCGTGCTGGAACTTGTCGCGCTTGAGCTGCTGTGCGAGTCTGAGCTCGTGCTGGGTGTGCGCCGAGGAGGCCTGCTGCTGCTTCTGCGCGCGGATGTAGGCGAGTACGTCCTCGTCGGGCTCGGGTGAAGGTGTGCGTGCTGGTTTGGAGACTGCGCGCGGCTGCGAGGGTCCAGCGAGCAGAGGTGAAGGACCGACGGGGCGAGGCGGGGGTCGGTGAGGTTGATCGAGATCGTGGTAGATGTGGTTGGAGCGCGTGCTGCGCGGATCGTGGGTGTGATGGCGCGAGGAGGAATGGCTGGGACCGGCGTGTACAGCGGCCGAGTAGTCGAGCTCATCGTCGTCGTGTGCTCCTAGGTCTATACGTGGAGGTGGGGCGTGGCGGTGTGATGGCTGCCACCCGGACATTGTGCACGACGGCGTGAGTGGAATGAGGGTGAGGATGGTGTTGGAGAGTGAGAAGCCCCGAAGGCCGGTTGTTGGACCCTGAATCCCTTCGCACCGGAGAGTGGAGGTCGTGGCTGCGGCGGTGTGTCGGCCGACAAGAAAAAAAAGCCAAAAAAGGGCGAAAGCGAGAGCGAGAGAAAAATTGCGGTGGTGTCGGATTGCATAAAAAGCAGGGTTGGACGACGCAGCCTCCTTCTCTTCTTCCTTAACGCTAAGTCGTGCCCCTGTAGGAGGGGGTACGCACCCCGTCCACAATAAAAGCACCTCTTCGCACTGGCAGACCTCCTTCACCGAAGGACGGACCGCCGAGGACCGTACGAGGCCGTAATGCTGGACGGAGATCCACCTTTGCGATGGGAATGGGTGCGGCGCAGCTGTGCAGGTACGCCCTTCGTGGCGATCCGATGGCCTGGGCCGCAAGTTCTCGTTGCACATTTCTTCTTTGCTCGCTCTCTCTCTCTCTCCCTGTTCGGTCCCCTGCATCCCCATTGATACCCCACCAGTCTTTCTCCCTGGATTCGTTCGTTCGATTGGACTTGGTATACCCCGCCGCGTCTAGGCTCGTCTACAATGGCAATGTAGAACCTTATACCATCAGCAGCAGCAGCAGTGTGCGATGCGTGTAGAATGTGACCTGCGCTCGTTGACTTGAACTAGAAAGGCTTCGCTTGTCAACGTCTTGCCAGGGCGAGTATGGTTGCGCAAGCAGTGATGATCATGCTCCGGCGAAAAAAATGTGCGGCGTTGTCGACAGCGACGATCTAACAGCGCAAATCTGGTGCACAGCAACGCGTCCTTCGCGCAGAAGAAGCGAAGTTGGACCCTGAGCCGACTCAGCCTCCAACACCTCCTTCTCCCTTCTCCACATCCGACACCTCGCCGCTGGTGTGCACTCTCGGCTTCACGATGAGCTCGGCGTCTCAGCTGGTCGAGTGCCCCAGCTGCCAGATCCAGCTTCCGCTCAGCCAGCTCAATCCGCATCTCGACCGCTGCCTCTCGGACCAGCCGCCTAGCTCCTCGGCCAGCACCGACCCGTGGAACGGCATCTTCGGCACCAAGCCGGGCGATGATTCAGGCGTTTCGAGCGCATCTCCGCGTGGAATCAAGCGACAGAATGGTGCAGCCAACGAGACCGCACGTTCTCCGCCTCGAGTGCTCGACCAAGCAGCGTCGGAGTCGGCGAGCAAACGCGCCCGGTCCGATGCCGATGTCAGCGCCGCAAGCACGGCGTCGACGTCGCGCAGCCGCTTGGATGCAGCCAGGCCGTTTGCGGAGCGCATGCGGCCGCAGACGCTCGACGAGTACGTGGGGCAGAGCGAGGTGGTCAACGGACCGCTCAAGATGCTCTTGCGCGCGGGCAAGATCCCGTCGATGATCCTCTGGGGTCCACCCGGCACGGGCAAGACCACGCTTGCGCGTCTGCTGGCCAAATCGGCCTCTCCCCCTTCGGGCACAACAGCCCCACCCGCGCACCGGTTTGTGGAGATCTCGGCGACCAACTCGGGCACGGCGGAGGTGAAAAAGATCATGGACGAGGCGCTGCATCGGCTGCAGCTGACGGGGCAGCGGACGCTGCTGTTTATCGACGAGATTCAGCGCTTCACGCGCGCGCAGCAGGACGTGTTTCTGCCGGCGGTGGAAAGGGGACAGATTGTGCTGGTGGCTGCGACGACGGAGAATCCGTCGTTCCGGTTGCAGGGCGCACTCATCTCGCGCATGCGCGTGTTTGTGCTCACCAAGCTGAGTGTGGACGAGTGCGCGCAGGTGCTGCGCAATGCGATTGCGACTGTGCAGCGCGAGGGCAACAGCGAGGTGGTGGGGCATATTGACGAGGATTTGGTAAGGTGGATCGCGAATATGGCCGATGGCGATGCGAGGACGGCGTTGGGCGCGTTGGAGCTGGCGCTGGAAACCACCGATGCGGGGGTGGGGTCGGAGGAGAATGTGGCGAGGTTGAAGAGGGCGTTGAAGAGGACGGCGTTGCAGTACGATCGGACGGGCGATATGCACTACGACACGATCAGTGCGCTGCACAAGTCGATCCGCGGCTCGGATGCCGATGCGGCGCTGTACTGGCTTGCGCGCATGGTGTGCTGCGGTGACGATCCGCTCTTTATCGCGCGCCGACTCATCGTGGCTGCAGCCGAGGATGTCGACTCGCTCGAGGCGGTGCAGATGGCAACCGCCACGTACAGCGCGTGCCAGGTGGTGGGACTGCCCGAGTGCGGCGAGAATCTCGCCCAGTGCGTCGTGTTTCTCGCCGAAGCCAAGAAGAGCACGCGCTCGTACAGGGCATGGAAGAAGGCGAAAGCGCTCGTCGAGGGGGGTTACAACCATCCGGTGCCTCTGCACATCCGCAACGCCCCGACCAAACTCATGAAGGACATAGGCTATGGGAAGGAGTACAGGTACGAACCCAGATTTGCGCATCCGGTGCATCAGGAGTTCTTCCCGCCCCAGCTTAAAGGAACGCGCTTCCTCTCCCCACCGCCTGAACCTGCGCCAAATCAAGGCGAAGAGCAGGACGAAAAGAAGGAGCAGGGTGCAGGGATACGAGCCATGCCGAAAACGGCAGGCGTGGGGCCGGGATCGTGCCAGCGCATCTTTGAGCTGGGCGCGCGTGCGGTGGATCTGGACCTGCTCGACGAATGGGAGCGCGAGCACAACCACGGTCGCCCATGGCCCGGTCGCCAACGCCTCCTTGCACTGCTCGAGCAGCAAACTGGCGGAAAGCACGAACAGACGCCCTAAGGCTATTTACATTTGGACAATCGTAGCGATACAGAGAGAAGAAAACGTGTCCGTGGCGTGCGTGTGTGTGTTATGGAGAGGGGATCTATTTGCGGCCATAGACGGTCTTGCGCCCGAGATCAAAGGGGACGTATTTGTGGCGGATCATGTGTCTGTAGTCAAAGCGGGGGGGATGGAGTGTCAGCGAACGGTTGTGGGTGGATATAAGTGGTTGAGGGGATGGCAAGACGCACTGGATCTGCCTGCGCATGGTGATGGTGAAGAGGATGCAGAAGTACATGAGGAGGATGGGCCAGAAGACGGGGATGTCAAAGGCGGACGAGGTGGTTGCCAAGAGCGACAGCACGACTGCCTGGGTAGCCGAGAGCCAGAACTTGAATTCTGGCAGGCGACGGATAAAGGGTCTGAACTCGTCGTCTGCCGACTGACCGTTGAGGCTGCTTCCAAACACGCCGCTCATCAGGCCTCCCGAAGCGGCGCCCTTGGAGTTGGACGTGGGAAGGCCCGGTTCGCCCTCCTCGACGTCCTGTTCTGCCAGATCCTGTTCGTACGACGGGTCGAACTTGGGCGTGAGAAACGCGAGGAAGAGGTTGAGCAGATAGATGAAGAGCGCATAGCACACGATGTACCACCCCTGCGACAGGACGATGCGAAGCATGAAGAGCACGAGCAGGCCAGCGGTGGCGCCCCATCGATGGAGCGGGTAGGGGGTGGTGGTGTCGAGGAACGCCTGGTATCGTTGCTGCAGGCGGTTGGTGTGTGCGAGGAACTGCTCGATCTGCGGAGGCGCCGATGTGCCCAGCGCATCGTCTGGATTGTCCGCTCGCATCATCTTGTAAGGAAAGTGCGGTGATGATGGTGGAGAGCAACGGCGCAACGCTCCGGCGAGATGGAGCGATTCATTATTTGGCTGTGCATTCGAGATGCGCCTTTTCTTCCTGCCGAGCGCCGCTTCGGCCAACCAACTCAGCTTCCACGCGTCCGCCCGCGCCGTGGCGAAGGGCAGACGTGTCGGCCGGGTCACCTTTAGAAGCGAGTTTAATGGTGTTACGCCGGCGTCCAATACACACTCGAATCGAAGGCGGCCCGAGCGGCGAAATTCGCGATGGCAGTCAGAGTGCGTCATCCGGCAGCGGCTCGCAGTGTCGCATTTGGCAGACAAACACACCGGCTGGTCATCAGAGGAGACTGCCAAAGCAAGAGAGGGTCCGATTCGGAAGGCTGCTCCGAGGATTTCTTCCGGCTGTTGGTGGAGCTGTTGGTGGAGCTGCTGCTGCTGCTGTTGCTGTTGCTGACTGGGATCGATAGCGCGAGCCTTTTGGGTCCATCATATTCATATATTCTCCGCCGGCGTAAGTTAGATTCACTCACCTTGGCTCCCTTCCTACATCCTACAACCACCCTCCGGCGTCTCCAACATGGTCGCAGCGTCCTCTGCGCTGCGCGGCGCACGCCTCGGGCTGCGTTTGCAGCCATCGCAGCTGCTCGCGCGTCGATTCTCGTCCACACCACGCATCGCCAACACCTCGACGCCGCTCAAGGAGGCATCTACCGCCGCCACCAACAAGGCACCGGGTCTGGTTCGCCGCGTCGTGCGCATCACCGGATACACGGTCGGCTCGATCGTCTTCGGTCTCACCGCTACTACCGCCATCATCCTCGCACACGATGCGCTCACCTACCGCGAGGCGAACGTCGACAAGGTACCCCTGCACCCGCTCGCGCTCGCACCGAACCGAGGCGGGCCCAAGAACCTCCCCATCGTATCTGCCTATCCTGAAGACGAGCAGGATGAGGTGAGCAAGAACTTGGCTGCCAAGGAGAGGCTCGTCATCGTAGGTGGTGGATGGGCCGCCGTGGGACTGCTCAAGTCGCTCGACCCCGAACGGTACAACGTGACGCTCATCTCGCCCAACAACTACTACCTCTTCAACCCGCTGCTGCCCTCGGCGGCGGTAGGTACTGTCGAACCGCGATCGCTCATTGAGCCGCTGCGAAAGCTGCTGGCGCGGGTCCACGGACACTATATCCAGGGCTTTGCGACGGATGTGGTGATGGGCGAGGATAAGCCGGTGTACCAGGGCGGACAGCAGCGTCTGCTCGAGGTCAACGTGATCAGCGGCGACGATTGGGATGGCGAAAAGCTGTGTGGTGGCGGTGAGCCCGCAGCGGAGCGAAAGGAGACGCGTGGAAAGAGCGTCTATGTGCCGTATGATCGTCTTATCGTGGCGGTGGGAAGCGTAACGAGCACGCATGGCGTGCCTGGACTCGAAAACTGCTTCCACCTGAAAACCATCAGCGACGCACGCAAGATCCGCTCGCACATCCTCGACAACCTCGAAGTGGCGGCACTCCCCACCACGACGCCCGAAGAGCGCGAACGGCTGCTCAGCTTTGTCGTGTGCGGTGGTGGGCCCACGGGAGTGGAGACGGCGGCCGAGATCTCGGACATGATCAACGAGGACGTCTTCGATTACTTCCCCAAGCTGCTGCGCGCCAAGGCCAAGGTGCATCTCATCCAGTCGCGCGAGCATATCCTCAACACGTATTCGGAAAAGATCTCCGAGTATGCAGAGGCCAAGTTTGCACGCGATGCGGTGGATGTGATTGTGAATGCGCGCGTCAAGCGTGTCGAGCCCGACCGCGTCGTGTATACGGTCAAGGACCCAGAGACGGGCAAGGTGGGCGAGAAGGAGGTGGCGTCCGGATTCACCTTGTGGTCGACGGGAATTGCGATGAGCCCCTTTACGCGCAGGGTGACCGAGCTGCTGCCCAACCAGAGCCATCTCAAGGCGCTGCAGATCGACAGCCATCTGCGCGTCAAGGGTGCACCCCTCGGAAGCATGTACGCTCTCGGCGATGCGTCTACGATCGATACGCGCCTCATCGACTACCTCTACGACTTTGTCGACCGCTACGACAAGGACCACGACGGCAAGCTGTCGTTCGCCGAATTCGAGACGTTCGCCAAGGCCATCAGGCACAAGTTCCCCATCGCCTCGAAGCACTTCACCAAGCTGCGCGAGATGTTTGACGAGTACGATGCCGACAAGGACGGCCAACTCAACCTCAACGAGATCGCCAACGTGCTCATCCAGACGGGCAACAAGATGACCGCCCTCCCCGCCACCGCCCAAGTCGCCGCCCAACAGGGCCACTACTTGGGTAAGAAGCTCAACAAGCTCGCGCGCAGGAGGGATGGAGGCATGGACATGCACCCGCACACCGCCGAAGAGGTGCAGGATGTAGACGACCAGGTGTACAAGCCGTTCAAGTACACCAACTTTGGCTCGCTCGCGTACATTGGCAATGCCGCCGCGTTCGACGTGCCGCTGCCCGGCGGCATGGGCAGCTTCGCGGGTGGGCTGATTGCTATGTACGCCTGGAGGTCGTTCTATCTGTCCGAGAGCGTGAGCATGCGCACGCGCGCGCTGCTGCTCGGCGACTATGTCAAGCGCGGCATCTGGGGCCGAGACCTGTCGCGCATCTGAGCGCCAACCTCGTGCAATCCGATTCGACCCTGGTTTGGATCCAAGATTATCTGTGTGCAGCCTGGGTGGGAGTGCGTGTGAGTTGGCAATCGTATTGCCTGTGATGGCGAGAATCAGGCGTGCAAGCTCGGGGCTGTGATCTAGATGCGATTTCAATCGGATAGCGACGTGATCGTTCAAGCAAAAATTTAGACCTGGCGACCGGACTCCTTCTCGGCATCGGCGAGGAACTGCTTGATGAAAGCCTCCTCGTCGCTAAACCCGCAAGAAAGCAACAATGCGTTAGTTTGACACGCCAAAAGACAATGCGCAGGGCGGATGAGAACACTCACGAGCTGGAGGCGTTGATGGGGGGCTGGTTGGCCGCCTTGGCATCGGGGCTGGCCGAGGGCGTGGCCTGCTTGGAGCCGCCCATCTGCGAGACGGCAATGGCGCCGTAGGTGCCCAGCACAGCAAGCGCAATGTGCTCGTTAAGGATCTTGCGGCCTGGTTTTGTTGGGAACAGCGAGTGTGAGCATTTACTCCATCGGCCGAAAATGTGTGCGTGTGCGCGAGAGAGAGGACTTACCAGCAATGGTGTACGACATGATGACGGTGTGTGTGTGTGTGTGTGGTGTGGGTGGGTGGGTGGAAGTGATGGCGACGGCGATGGCAAAGGCCCCAAAAGCAGCGTCTCGCTTCCCGAACGCTGCCGCCGTCGCCGCTGCGCCCTTGAATGTGCTCTCCAAATGCTGACTGTCCGATCGCTGCTCTGCTGCCGGCCTTCCAGGCTTGAGCGAAGGCGAAATTTCTTCTCGGCCGCGAAAATTCAAAATGTTACACCGACGCTTGTGACATTTTTGGACAGAGCGCCGGCGAGAATTTTGGAGCTCCCTCTCCGAGACACCTTTTTTTGGTGGAGCGACTCGCATGCTGATGACGCTGCTCACAAGTGGGTTGGGCATGGCATCACGCTTTGCCTGCTCACCACCAGCATCTCTGCCGCCAACACACGCACCGCCGGGCGGTCGCATTCGCATTCGCATCTACACACGCTAGCTGGCTGGCGTTGCATCTTCATCATGGATCCACCGACCAACCAACCCGCCGGTGCGTCGTCGAGCTTCAAGACGCCGCAGATGGACCAGTCCGAATGGTCCGCAGCCACCCCAACCACCACCACCACACCTTCGCGGCACACATTCCCGCGGCGTCTGAGTCTGCTTCAGAACGATGCCGCCTCGCCTGCTCGCTCGGACACGCCGCAGGAGGCAAGTCGCAGGACATCGTTTACGGGTCCGAAACCGTTGAACCTCGTTTCGCAGCCGCTATCGTCGGCGGCAGTGCCTAGCTCGGCATCATCGTCGGGCCCAGATACCCCGCGAAAGGGCAAACGCACGAGCTTGTCGTACATTCCTTCGCCTTCGACGAGCAAGATCGACGATGGCCAGTTGAGCCGTGCACAGTCCACCTCGTCAGCGGCGGGTCGCACGCGCACGGGCTCGATCAGCAGAGCGACGACGTCTTCCCGCCGCAGACCGTCCCAGGCGTCGCAGGCGAGTGCGGGCGCCAACAGCGATGCTGACGACTGGCTCATGTCCGAAGAAGACGCGTCCTTCTCCTTGCCCTCCGCTGCACGTGCAATGGCGGGGCGAGACTCGGCCAAAGTCGAAGCGCAGTTTCAAGACGTACGTAACCCCCTTTTCTCCTACACATTGATCTTGATTGGGTGGAACTGACAGAGCTGGCTTTTGTGTGGCGATAGACGGGCTACCGCGAAGGCATCACGGCGGGCAAACTGAGCACGCTGCAGAACGGATTTGACCAGGGCTTCAACGAGGTAGGTGCACCCCTGGGCCGCGAGGTGGGCATGCTGCGTGGCCAGCTCGCGGCGCTTCTCCTCCTCACCTCGCCGTCTCCGTCTGCAGATGCTGCTGGGCCTCGCAAGGGCGTGGGTCGAGCCACGGGTCGCATGCGCCCCGCAAACTCGGCAGCCACGCCTTCGCTGCCGCTGCTGGGGCATCCGCGGCTCGCCGAGGCGCAGCGAGAGATGCGCGCGCTCGCCGCCGAGCTCGATAGCGTCTCGCTGGGACAGCTTGCCGAGCCGGACTACGATGCCTTGGTGCACGACCACGAGCATGCGGTTGAGGCGGGCGATGCTGCCGCACAGCCGAGTCGCGAGACGGAAGAGCAGAGACAAGCGCGCACCGCGGTGCTCGTGCGATTGCATAAGCGGCACGAACGCGTGCGCGGTATGCTAGGACTGCAAGTGTAAAAGGAGCTTTAGACTGACGCCTTGGGGTGCGTGGATGTCTTCAGAACGGCGCGCTGACGGGTCCGACGCGCGACCTGCTGCGGCTCATAGCGGAGAAGGAACGCAGGTGCTTTGAGCTGCGCGACGAGCTGGCGGCGGAAGAGGCCGAGCTGAAACAGCTGCGTGCAGCGTGGCAACGCACAGCGACACGAGAACTGGCGTATGGCACCTCGCCCACCCACCGACGCAACGGCAGTGCGTCCAGCTCGACGACAAGGCCGAGTCTGGCTCGAACGGATAGCACCGATTCCCTCGCAGGCCTGCCCGTTGGGGTGCCCCAGGCGGCCGCGGAGGCTTGGAACTCGCTGTCGGCTAAACTGCCCGGCGGACTCAAGAGCCAGTTGAACAGTCTGCTCGAGAGCATTGCCATGGATCAGCCGCCCGAGGTGCCCGAAAAGCGCGCCGAGGATGCGGGCATGTTGCGGCCGGCACCGCTGGGGACATTGGGCGTGCTCGAGGAGGAGGGGTCGGATGTGGGCAGTGCGGCGGTTTCGCCTCGCTCGCCGCGCTCGCCGGCGGGACCGATGGCGGGCGTGCGCGGTGCGGCGCAGGAGCAAGACGACAGCTCGGTGCTGGGGTTCAAGGTGGATGCGAACGGGATTGCCACGCCGAGTGTACGGCTCAGCGAACAGCCACCACCCACGCCGCCCAAGGAGGGAGCAAGAGAGGGGAACACATGGCAGTCGCGGCGAACCTCGGTGCTGGGGTCCTGGTCGCAGCTGCAGTCCAAGCTTACGGGAGAGGCGGACTCGGGAGGTGGCGGGTTGGCAGGCATGTTCACACGCCGACTCAAGGAGGCACGCCACAATGCGTCCGACCTGCTGCGCGAGGCGGAGCGCAAACTGGGCAACGCAATGACCATCGATGAGCTGCTCGGCATCAGCAACGACGAACCACCCTCACCCCAACCTCCCATGGCGCGCTCGCGCTCCCCGCAGATCAGGCTCGAGGGGGTAGCGACCGAGACGTCGTGGGCCGAGGCAGCGGTAGGCGTGCGGTCTCCGAACCTAGCGCCTGCGGATGCGGTGGGGAGGACGAGTGCGTCGAGCAGCAGGAGCTCGCTGTCGCTCCAGCTGCCCGTGCGCAGTGCATCGCCGCACTCGCCGCCGATTGGGGGTGCACCCGGTGCGGCGGCGTTCGGCGTGCTCCACAACGGCTCGAGCAGCAGCATCAACCGCGTCAGCACCAACAGCGTGGATGGCTGGAATTGGACAAAGCACGAGCACGAGTGGGACGAGTAGAACGCTTATTGCGAGCTTTACACGGGAGGAAGAATCATTGGACCAGCAATCTCTTGTGCTTTCGAGGCGCCGACGAGAGAGGTGACGAGCGCGAGCGCGAACTCGAATGTCGTTCCTGGTCCGCGCGATGTGATGAGTCGGTCCGACACCACCACGCGCTCCTCGCGGTAGTCGTAGTCTTCAAGTCCCAGCCATTCATTCGTCAGTGTCTGTGTGTGTCGCAGGTTGGTGAGGGTTCGTAGAGCTTACCGGCTTCGAGTTGGCTTTTGACCGAGGGGTGCGATGTGATTTTGGCACCAGGGGCTAGATTCGCCGCCTTGATGGCGAGCGAGCCTGCACAGATTGCGCCGACCACCTTGCCTGCGTCGTGCATATCATTGATGAGGGCTTGGACGTCGCTGGAGCTGCTGATGGTTTGAGCGCCCTTGGCCCCACCTGGGATGATGAGTGCGTCGTACTCGCGCGCCGCCTCGGCTGGGTCAGGAAGGGCGATGTCGGGCACGATCTTGACGCCGCGTGAGCAGGTGACGTAGGCATGATCGGAGGGAGGGACGAGCGCGGAACGGACCGAGACACCACCGCGAACGAGCACGTCGTACGTGATGGTGTACTCGCTCTCCTCCGTCCCCTCTGCGAGCAGAATGAGTGCGCAAACCATGGTGGTGGTGCAAGAGCAAGATGGTCGGTGCACCGCGCGCCCAAGGTGGAGGTTAGGTTGTATCGGCCGGAATTTCCCAACGCACGCGTGCAGGCCAAGGCTGAGTTTGGCGACCCAATCGCATCTTGTCCATCGACTACGAGGTTGACGGAGCCGCTATGTCGTCGTCGAACAAACAGCTCTTTTACGAGCTGTACCGTCGCTCATCGTAAGTCCCCCCAAGCCACCCCGCTCCAACATGGTGGCTGTAGTGGAAGTACTGACAGCGGATTGGGTGGCAGCATCGGGATGCAGCTCACGGATGCGCTCGACGAACTGATCCAGTCCGGACACATCAACCCCGTGCTCGCCATGCGCGTGCTCAACGAGTTCGACAAGTCCATCGCCACCAACCTCGCCAAAAACGTCAAGGCCAAGTCCCAGCTCAAGGTACATAGCCCCCGCCCATCCTTGCACACCTCGCATTGAAAGTAGACTGACGGAATTTTTGGATTCTGCCGGGATGATAGGGCCACTTGAAGGACTACCGTCTGTGCGAGGAGGTGTGGACGTTCCGTGTGCGCAACGCCACGCTCAAGCTCGACAATGCCGAGCTGCTCGATGTGGACAAGGTCAAGATCGTAGCGTGCAAGATGGCCGATTCGTCGTCCAAGTGAAAGCCTCCCCGCAACAACGATGCGCAATTTGTACTTGTATTCCTGCCCTGCTTTCTGCCAGCGCGTGTGTGTGTGCGATTCCCTGTCGGCAAGTCTCAAGAGTGAACAAGGGGGAAAGGGGAAGCGGCCATACAATGCCCAAGCCGAGAAGCCGAGAGGGAGGGCGGATGCTGTGGAGCGAGGGCTATCGGTCGGGGGGGGGGGAGAGGCGGATCGGGGCGCCGATGGAGGGACGTAATGCAAGGGCGGGCTGGCGCACATTTCTGGAACTTGCGCTGTGGAATGCGGCTGCAGGAGGCGGAGCGCGCGCTCAGCTTTGAGCCAGCAGCGCAAAGAATGCAGCGCGCATTTTTTCTTTTTCGCAGCGCCCAACACCCCGCGCGCCGCCCCCAAAAATATCCCCATCCAACCCCCCCGCCGCCTGTCAAGTAGAGCCGAAGCAGCCCGGCGTGCAGAAGGCATATGGAGTAACCAGAGGGGAGAAGGCGGGCCGTCGGTTCGACCAGTACGACACATTCCATCCGCTTCGCCCCCCTCCAAAGTGGGTTCAGGCGCGCATCACCGCTTCCCCCGCCCAGCAGCCCATTGTTTATACTCGTTTCGACGGGTGGAACGCGCGGGTAGGCGAGGGCGCGGGATGATCGACAAGGTGCAGCCAACTCGAGGCCATGCTGCCCACGCCCGCCAGGCACTTTCACTCAAGGCTCGTGTGCTGGGCAGCTTGATGTGCAGGCTTTGCCAGTCTCGTGTGTGAACGGCTTGCTTTCTCTCCATCACCTCTGTACGTTGTCACATCCACACGTTCATATCATCTTTTCTTACGCGACGACCGTGGGCCTCGTTTCCAGCATAAACCCCGGATCAGCATCACTCGGCAGCATCTTATAGCTTGAAGGATGCCGCGCATCCCCGTGCGCGTGGAGCCGTACAGCTCGCCGTCACGCCAGCACAGGCACTACAAGAACAAGCGCGACCAGGTGCTGCGTGCGCTCGGCAAGGCGGCGTACATCAACGGATCCCACTTTGCCATCATGTGGGTGAGCGCGCGCGGCGACGTAGAGACCTACGCGTCCGAAGCGCTCCAAAGCCGGTTGGACGACTGGTTCGTCGCCGGCGGCATCGCCGAAGAGGCCAAAGAGCTAGTCAAGGTCGCAGGCGGAAAGCCGGCCTCCAAGGTATTTGATGACTCGGAGGACGATGAAGAGAATGAGGATCCGAACGAGGATCCATTCCTGGATAGCCAGGTTGGAGCCAAGAGGAAGGTGTTGGCGCCGCTCAATACCGTCGCTGCCAATCAGCACTTTTTGCGAAGTCGAAGCTGGAATGACGAAGCACCCAAGTCGGCACCGCTTTTCCCCACGTCGAGTGCAGGGTTTGTCGACGAGCCGCCCAGGACGTCGACGCCGATCATGTCGGCTTCGTCGCGCATGCTTGCGCGCAACTCGATCAGCGGTGGAGTCGGAACTGCTGCCGGAACGCCTACGGTGGATATCTCGCTCGCGGACGAGGCGGCACGCACGGCGTTCCTCGAGCTGCGGTTCGGGCAGCTCCAACAGGGCGTGTGCAAGACCGTCGCCAAGGCGTGGATCAAGATCATCGAGCCAAAGAAGCAGACACGCTGCCCGTACAATAAGGGCGAACAGGGCAAGCCCGACTGGTGGCCTGCGGGCGTGCGTCATAAGGAACCCGACCACCTCATGAAGCCCGAACGCCACGCCCTCCTCCTCACCATCCTGCGCAGTCCCAAAGTGCAAGTCGCGAGGCTTCAGCTGGCGACCGCCGAGGTGGTGGCGCTGATCAAGGCGGATAAGGTCAGTCTGCTTATGGATGTGTATAGGATCGCAAGGGAGGAGGAGAAGATTCGAGAAAAGGGCGCCGACAAGGATACGCCGCTCACCGTCGGGGTTAGTACGCTCGATGGGTGGTGTGCGAGCGACAATGCACCCACCACGCATGGGCGTCAGATTGCAAGGTCCGCCACACCCGAGGTGGCGGAGCGCAAAAAGCGACCCGCACCAGCGATGGACAAGGGTAAAGGCGGAGGCGGGAAGAGGAGGAGCATTGCGGCGCCGACGAGTGGCGAGATTCGACCGAGGCATTTGGCGCCGCAGGAGGCAGGTGTGGTGGGGCTGGGACTGATGGCGAGGAGCAACTCGCTTTCCGCCATGCCTACGCCTGGGGGCAGTGCGGAAACGAGTCCGTGGCCGGCGAGCTATGCGACTTTTGCGCATGCGCATGGATTGGTCACCCCGCTCACGGCAAGTGCCACGCTCGATCCGGCGTTTGCAGCCATGGCCCACCCTCCACCGCATGAAGGAACGTTCTACTACCCCCCACCCCCACCGCCGGCGCAGGCGTTCTATGAGTCGATCCCCCCACATGCTATCCCCCCACCCCCCGCCACGCACCACCAACAGCCAGACGCCAACGCAGGGCTGGGCTTCGAACCGAACGCTCTGGGCTTGGAGGGGTGGAACTTTGCCCTTGATATGAGCGCCGAGCTTTCGACAAACACCGCGTGGAGTGGCGACAATTCGTTTTCCATCGACTCGATCCCCGCGCCCAAAACGCCCGAGGCCGAGTTGAGGATCAACATGCCCCACAACCACCAACACAAGCCCGAGTTCTGGATGCAGAACCAGTGGAATCCATCCCAGCATCAGTCGCAGTAATCCCCTTGACCCAGCTTTCATATTCGATACCCCCCTCCCGCCCCCGGAATCCCAGCCTGTTGTTTGCTCCGCCCGCACAGTTTTCAGCTTCATGCACTTCCGTTCACATGCAATCTTTTTTTGGCTCAATGTCATGACCCCACATTTTTTCGCACGCAAGAATCGGGGGAGAAAGCGAGTGTGTGATTGCGGATCAGCTCCAAGCCGATCTCAGCTGGTGCATGCGTTCGGCCACCTCTCGCCACGCATCGCTGCTCTGGCCGAGGTCGAAGACGCGCATGCCGTTGGGGGCGTTGCGGCCGTCCGGGGCGGCGCGCCTGAGCTCAGCGACGACGTGTGCGCCCCCGCCTTCGCTCGCCGATGCAGGGTCGAGGCTGGCGAAGACCACGAGCGCGGTGCGGGTGATCTTGGCGAGTTCCGTCGCCGTCGCGGGCTCGCGCGAGCCGGGGAGGGCAAGGTCGAGGTGGCAGTCGCATGCGAGGGCGCGCGCGAGCGCAAACCTCGCCCCGCCCTGCGAGTACTCGAGCACCCGGCGTGCATCGAAATCCGGGATCGCCCCCAATGACGATGTGAGCGCCTGGATCGATGCGGTCAGATCGGCAGACGAGCCAGGCACGATGAGGTGCACGATGAACTCGGGTGCGAGCGCGACCAGCAGCGTACGCAGCGATGAGATCGACGCTGCGTCTCGCGTGAAGCTCGATGACAAGCTCAGCGACAGACTCGGACGTGGACTGCGCGAAGAAGAAGGTCGCGGAGACGAGCGGCGCTCCGCTACATCGTCATCGTCTTTGCCCGAAGAGGACGACAGATAGGTGTAGAGAAGGTAGGCGAGCGATGCGGCGGATACCACTCCGCCCGCAACAGCTAGCGGCGTGTACCGCGAACGTCCCTTGCCCGGCTGTCCACCAGCATGCGTCTTAACCCCAGTCTCGGTTGAGGCCTTGCCGAGAAGACGCTGTCGCACATGCAGACCTGTGTACGAATGCGAGGGCGTCGGCTTGGCAGCACTACGCTTCTCCCACTCGTCCCAGTCGACACCCGTGGCGGCTGGATCGCGCGTCCAGCTCGCACCCACCGCGGCGTACACCTGCGTGACTGCACGGCGGCGCATCTCGGGCCTGAGCAGCATCACCAGCGCCGCGGCACCGAGCATCTTTTGTGCGACGCTTACCAGCGCCTTTCCGCGCGCGCCACCTTGTGCCGAGTCGCGCTTGGTGCCCGCGTGGCTGGGCGGGAGCGCGCTGAGCCTGCTCGCATCGAGCTTGCGCCAGAAGTCGTCGCCGTCGGCGTTGTGCGCACCGACAGCCAACGTGCGTGCCACCTCGCGCCATACGAGCGAGAGACGCCAGCGCAGCCGCCGGTGGAACGCGAGGATGCGCAGCACAAACAGATACGTGAGCGTACGCAGCAGATCGCGCTTGCGTCGACGCTGGTGCAGATGCTGCGGCGTGGCGCTGCGGTCGAGCCGGAAGGTGGGCGCACCGGGCGTGAAGGCCGGATAGCCAAAGAAGGGGTTGTTGGCATTGTACGGCGACACGAGACCGTCGCGTGCCGAGCGGCGGGTGCGGTGCGAGAGGAACGTGTGCGGCACGTGCTGCAGCGGCGGCTCGTCCAGATGCTCCACCTGCAGCCGCGGCGACGCCGGCTCGATGTACATCACCGTGCCGTCGCCGTCTTTGCGCTCGCCCTCGTCATCGTCGTCGTGGCCGTGTTGCGGCTGCTTGCCCTTGGTAAAGCGCGTCTCGCTCAGGCGGCGCAGACGATGCAACAGCCCGCCCGAGGCTTGGGCGTCGACGGGCGCCACCTCGCCATCCTTGCCGCTGGCATCGCTCTCTTCGCTCTCGGACGGCAGCACCGCCTCTTCGTCGTGCGGCAGGTAGAGCGTGAAGCTCGCGGTGCCACCCACACGGCGTTGGGGGGAAGCGGAGCGGTCGCGGTCGTTGGAGAAGCGCACGTGGCGGTCCGCACGGCTGCGCACCAGACGCGGACTGGCAGCAGGGGTCATCATGGGCGTGACAAACGGCGAAGTGGCTGTATTGACACTGAGCCCCACCGCGCGGCCGTCGACAATGCGCGTGTCGGACGCCGAGCCTGATCGCGACCTGCCCGCTACGCGGACGCTGGGGTCGTGCGCGTCTTCGGCGGCATTCGAGAGGTCGCCGCGCGACATCTGGAGGTGGCGGAGCTTGCGTGCGGCGCTGGGCGTCATGCTGAGGCTGTGCTTGGCGCGTGCGTCGCCACGCGGCGTCGAGGGCTCGCTGTGGCGCGGCGTCATGGATCGGCTCGCCCAGGGCGTCGAGTCGGCGCTGTAGAAGACCTCGTAGATGCTCTCGTACGAGCTGGTGCGGCTCAGATGCTTGCCGACGCCAGGGCTCGGGGGCGGCGAGCTGAGCGAGGCGGACGACACGCGACGCGGACGGCCGTACTTGCGCAGCACGTCGTTGGTGGCCGCCTCGACCTGGACGTCGAGCTCTCCGCCGTAGCAGGCGGGGATGCAGCGCGGCTCAAAGTGGTCCTTGAGCTCAGCGTACGAGGGGAAGAAGATCTTGGCAAGCGCCTGCTGCGGGAGGACGCGCTTGATGACGGCCCACATGCCGGCGTGGACCCAGCCGTAGTTGAGCACGTAGACGGCGCCGACCATGCCGGGCACGTGGTTCTTGAGCAGGTCGAGCAGGAAGGGGAGCAGCTCCAGCTCGAGGTTGGCCATGCCGCTCGAGGCAAGGTCGACGGCGATGCTGGCCTGGAGCACGGTGTGCGTGTTGGTATCGGCGTTGGTGGAGCGGTAGAGGTCGGCGACGTAGCGACGCATCATCTCCATGCACGCGACGATGTACTCCTTGAGCTGGTCGAGCGTGTTTTCGGCGGTGCGCTCGACGGAGCGCAGATTGATGATGCCGCACGGTCTGCCGTACAAGTCGCGGAAACCGGAGTTGACCCAGAAGAGCGGCGGGTTGGGCGCGGGCGGTGTGACGTAGAGCGGATTGAGCGAGGCGAGGGAGAGCAGGTCGAGGTCGGTGCGCATGCGCCAGAGGATGGTGGCGGTGAGCAGCGAGATGGCCTGGTCGTGGTCGTAGCGCGAGCGGCGATAGAAGCGGAACATGTTGGCAAAGTCGGCGAGGTAGGCGAGGACACGCGCCTTGCCCTCGTCGTTGAGCTGGAGCTGGTGCGTCACATCGTCGAGGATCTGCGAGCGTGCCGTGGCGAGCAACTGTTCGACCTGCGGCAGATGGGTCTTGTACTTTGCCGTGAGGTCGAGGTGCTTCTCCTGGACGGCGCGCGCATCCTTGGACTGTACGTCTACCGCGGACGGCATGATGGCGAGCCCCTCTCGCAGTGAGCAGCGTGGAGTGGATGGTGGTGGTGGATGATGAGGAAGGCAAGCGAGAGTGTGGGGTGACGAGCCGACTCGCCTGACCGGCGTGAAAGCAGAGCGGTGCCGGTCGAAAAAGCGCGGCGCCTCGGCTCTCTTCGCCCAAAAATGACCGAATGCGACGATTTTATCCGCCGCATCCGACACGCCATCGCCCGATTCGATCGCCGATGTGATCCCCCCCGGCAATCCATTTCGGCGCTCTTCTCACCGGCAAAAGCTTTGTTCCTTCTTTTGGGCTCGCACGGGCAACTTCGTCCTCCTGCCTTCCCACCATCCCTACATCACGCTAACATCAACGCAAGCATGACGTCGTCTTCGCTCGACTTTGGCCTCAAAGGCGTACACGTGCTCGTCTCCGGCGCCTCGGGAGGCAAGTCTTTGCGTCAACCAACGATGTTAGCCCAGTGCATCAGTCTGACCCCCTTAGGTTGTTTGTCCAGGTATCGGATTTGAGACGGCCAAGACGTTTGTCGAAGCGGGCGCCAAAGTGACGGCGCACTACAACACGACACCGCGCGGGCTCGCCGATCTCCCCGGCGTGGTGGCGCTCCAGGCAGATGTGACGAGCGAGACCGACATAGCTCGTCTGTTCACGCAGGCTGAGGCTGCGCAAGGTGTGGCGGTTCAGGTGCTGGTGGTCAATCATGGAATTTGGCCCGTAGCCCCCGTCGCCCTGTCGGACATGTCGCTGGAGCAATGGCGCAACACGCATGCTGTCAACCTCGACGGAGCGTTTTTGCTGGTGCGATCCTACCTGGCGAACCTCAAGAACAAACCGAGCAGCGTGCTGGATGCAGCCTCGGTGTGCTTTATCGGGAGCACGGCGGGCAAGTTTGGCGAACACGATCATGCCGACTACGCTTCGACAAAGGCGGCACTCATGTATGGGCTCGTGCCAAGCCTCAAGAATGAAATCGTCCGTATCGCCCCCAAGGCTAGAGTCAACTCGGTCAACCCCGGATGGGTGCGCACTCCAATGGCAGAGGAAACCATCAAGGACGACAAGGTCAGAGCAAGGGCCCTTGCTAGCACGCCACTTCAAAAGGTGGCGCTGCCCCAAGACGTTGCCAGGCAGGTCGTCGTCCTCTCAAGTCCGACGCTCAGCGGTCATGTCACCGGCGTCAATCTGCAGGTGGATGGCGGCATGGAGGGAAGATGCCTCTACCCGCCGCCCAACTGAATCCTCCCCCCAAGAACTGTCGCGCACGCATGCCCTTGTGAATGCAAACAAAGACCCTATTTCATGCTTGCACTATGTGTGTGCAAAGAAGCTGAGAGAGATGCGAGGCTAGTCCGACGCAGGCGGGGTGGTCTCGGACTCCACCTTGTCCGACGTCTTGTCCGAGTTTTTGGCAAACACGAACAGGATGCGTCCCGTCTGCATATTATCCAGCCTGAAGCCTTCTCCGCCGTCCATCTGCTGCTCTCCGAGACCATCTTCATCACGGCCGCTGTCGTCGCTGCCGAGGAAGAGGTCGTCTGCACGATCCGCCATGCTCGTGCTCCATTCGTCCTCGCTCTTTTTCGCGCCATTCGCGCGCACGCTCGAGCTCGACTGGCGCACGAGCGCAGCCACCATCTCGTCCTCCTCAAATGACTCGGGATGTTGCACGCAGTCGTAGTGCGCCCACTTGTACAGCGCCAGCAGCCTCTTGCGCTTGTCCAGCTTGTCCTTGTGTGCGCGGTCCACCACGTGCTGCGATGCCGCCACAAACCCAGGCAAGTCGTCGTCGCTGCTCGCCACACTCGTCTGACTGGCATCCATGCCCTCTGCCAGCCCGTCCAACGAGGCACCACCGCCCCTGCGATCGCAGTCGCACACCAGCTGCCGATGGCTGATGCACGGCGAGTCGAGATGCAGCGTAAAGATGTCGCGCAGCTCTTCCTGCGAAAAGGTGTCGGACGACGACTTGTCGCCCTTGATGAGCGAGTCGGTCAGGCCGAGCTTGGAGATCTGGCGCTGGTAGATCTTTTCGTCCATCGTGCCGGACAGCAGCAGCCGGTAGATGTAGCACACCTTCTTCTGGCCGTCCCTGTGGATGCGCGCCATCGCCTGCAGATCCGTCGACGGATTCCAGTCCGAATCGATCAACACCAGCCGATTCGCTCCAATCAGGTTGAGCCCCACACCGCCACTCTTGGCAGACAGCAGAAAGACAAACGAGCTGTCGACGCCGTCGCGGTTGAACTGGTTCACCATGTCCATCCTCTCGTCCTGCGGCGTCTTGCCGTCGAGCCTGAGATACGAATAGCGCTTCTTGCGCATCATCGCCTCGACGATATCGAGCGTCGAGGTGAAATTTGAAACCAGCACCACCTTGTCGTCCGTCTCGGCCCGCAGCTTTTCGAGCAGCTGCATGACGCATACGAGCTTGCCGCTGAACCTGGCGTCGTTGCGCACAAAGTTGGGCGGAAAGTAGCGCGCCATGTCGCCCACCAGCGTCTTGGTCGCCGAGGCACCGTCGGCCTCCGAATCTCGCCGCAGCAGCTCGGGCGTGTTGCACAGCTTGCGCAGCACGCCGATCTGGAGCAGGCCGTTGCCAGCGTCGCCGCGCAGGAGCGAGCGTACGTCGTTGGACGCGAGGATGGACTGGTAGATGCGAATCTGCTCGGGACTGGGGCTGCAGAAGAGCACCATCTCCTTCTTGGGCGGCAGAAAGTTGCTGAGGATGTCGGCGGTGCGGCGGAGGATGATGTCGTTGGTGATGGTCATGAGTGCACTGGCGCGTGCCTGTCCGGTGGCCTTGGTGTGCTTGGAGCAGTGCTGTGCGCGCGAGCGCATGATGGGCTCTTCAAAGATCTTTTTGAACGAGGCGTACGAGTTGAGCATTCCTGGCGCGACAAAGTCGATCATGGCGAAGAACTCGGAGAGGTCGTTCTGGATGGGCGTGCCAGAGAGGATGATCTTGCGTTCGGCGGAGAGCTCGTCGAACATCTGGGTGGTTTTGGCTTCCTTGGACTTGAGCCTGTGGCCCTCGTCGCAGACGATGAGGCCGACGGGAGCGTCTTTGAAGAGGTCTTTGCAGGTGCGTAGCTTCTCGTAGCCGATGACGAGCACGTGGTACGACTTGGAGCGCACGAAGCGCGCCACGTCCTGGCGGCCACGGCCCTCGTCGATGCAGAGGACGTTGAGGGCGTTGGTGCCGATCCACTTTTTGAATTCGCGCTTCCAGTTCTTGACGAGCGTGAGCGGGCATACGATTATGGCGCGCTCGATGGTGCAGGAGGCAGGCGTGTAGTAGCACGACTGCTTGAGGAGGGTGAGGACGAGCGCGATGGTCTGAAGGGTCTTTCCAAGGCCCATCTCGTCTGCGAGGATGGCGCCCTGGCCCTTTTCGCCGTCGGCATGCATGCCCATGACGCGCTCGTAGAGGAACTTGACGCCTTCGATTTGATGTGGACGGAGGGCCTTTGCTAGCTGCGGATCGAGCACGACATCGACCACGGGTAACCCTTTGGGATTGTGGCGCTCCTGGTGGCCTTCGTCCGGGCGCTTCATGACGATGGCACCGGGCTCGTTGGGATCGAAGCGGGGATGTGGCGTCCTGCCCTGGCCCGGATTGATGAGACCGCTGACGCGAGATTCGTCAAGGAGGTGGCTTCGTGCTGGCTTTGGGGCAGGCTTGCCGTAAAAGGTTTCTGCTCGAGCGGGTGCTAGCGCATTGATGTCGACGGGTTTGATGGCGGATCGCTTGATCGGGGCTACGAATGGCTTGGGCGTGCGTACTGCGGTCGGAGGCGGACCTTTTTTGACGGGTGATAGTTCGCCACGGGTGAATGCGACGAGCCTGCGATATTCTGGCTCGTCGATCTGGCGGTCGACCTCGATCTCCTTGCCCCCAAGAGCGAGTTCATCGCCCGAGGCGAGCTGACCATGCGCGAAGCGTGCGGAACCGACGAGCTCTTTGCCAGTCTCTGAGCAGATGAGGGCGCAACGCTCGCCTGCGTCTTTTACGATGAGGATGGCATCGCCGTCCCAGGTCTTGTGCTTTTTCGCTTGCGGCTTTCTCCATGTGCAGAGGTAGAAGGGGCCGCTACGACGGGAGGAGCCAGGGGCCGAGGTGTCTGGTGCTGGCGATGCGGTGCGAGTGTGCGGGGAGGCATTGCGGCTGAGCAGAAGCGTGTGGGTGGCGGGAGATTCGAGCACGGGGTCGGCGGCGGCGGTGGGTGAAGGCACCGAGTCGTCGGGATCGAGATTCTGTGTTGGGAGTATCAGACGAGCCCTCTTTGTTGTGGCCGCTGGACTGGGTGCGGCTGCGACTCGAGATGGTGGTGCGAAGCTGGTGCGGGCAAAGGCTGCCGAGGGTGCTGTGCGTTTGAGGCCGAGGGTGCCTCTTGGCCGAGGGGGCGCCGGGATGTGGTTGGGTGGGTCCATGGCCTTGTCGTCGTCGAGGCTTGGCGACGAGGCAAGGTGGTGGTGACCGAGCAAAGCGATCCGAGACAGCGCGCCCTGAATGCTGTTGCTGCTTTTGCTGTCGCAGCTTTGAAGCACGAAAGAGGTCGAGCTGAGAGAGTGTTGATTGGCACTTTGCAGGGTCGACTGAGCCTCGCCTGGCCAAAAATTCCTAACAGTGTTGGATTCGCTTCACGCCTCCTGCCTCTGCTCTCACTTTACGCGACGCGCACCATTGGCAGGCGGGCAATCGCATCGATCGGCATCCATCCACCCGATCGGGAAGCAACGGAGGCTGGCGAGCAAGCGCGGCGACGATGATCTGCAACAGAACTTCCCAGGCCGACCAGCCGAGGCGTGCGCTCGCAGCCAGCACACGCTCGGCCTTGCCGAAAATAGGCGGGGCGCGCAGATGGCTTTTTGGGAACCGTCAGTGCGGCCATGCCGGGCTACGTCACGACACAGCCACTGCTCTACTAGGACTAGGACTAAGTTAAGATCGGCTTGGCCGCTCAGGCGACTGCTTTGCATCGCATTGCCCTCCGAGTCAGCCGAATGTCAAGCCAAAAGCTCGATGTGCAGGCGGACCCTTGGGCAGCGAGACCACTGTAGCGAGCGGATCGACGGTTCGAGACAGCGGATGGAGGGAGCCGTAGAGCCGCCCGGGATGATCAAGCACAATGATGTCGAGGGATCTTCGTCGCGTCTGACTTGCCGACATCCCAGAGAAAGTAAGCGACGAGGACGAGTGGAATGCGAGCTTCACACAAGGGCTCGAGCGCGTGGTCTACAGAAGGATTGACTGTGATCAGGCCATGCCGGCGACTCGTCGTGCATACAGTGCATCCGTGCGCTTTTTGCTTTTGCCTTTGCCTTTGCCCTTTTGCGAAGGATCCTTGCCAACGTGCCAGGGTGCAAGCAAGGTGACGATGGCGGGCAACGGCCCGGACGCAGCGCCGAGACCTGGCCAGCGGCTTGGCCGACAGAACGAGCGACGGAGATGCCGACCAACGAGCAGAGAGAGCAGAAATGCCACAGCCCAGACCAGCCCAGCCGGCTCGAGCGTGCCGCTGCGGAGGGGGGCAGAAGGACAGAGGCCTGCTCGCCCCAAGCGATCTGCACGCCGATGAGTATTCTTGGGTGATGCTTCTAATCTGGAACACACTGCTCTCGAGCCGAAATTGTCGCGCCTCACCCCCGTTTCGCAATTTCGCCGCGCCCCAGCGTTCGTCATCGCTCCAAGCTGGCTCCAGTCGCTTCTCGCCTCTCGGCATTTCAACTTCCGTCGCTCTTTCGCCGTGTCGAGATCGAAAGGTGGAGGGCGACGACAGCGGCGGCGGCGGCTCTCCGCCCTCTCTCTCTCTCGGATTGCACTCTTGCGTCAGTGCAGCATCGCCGCATCGTCGCATCGCCGCCGCCGACTCGGGCACTTTGCCTCACTCGTGCGCACCTTTCTCGCCCATCCAACTTGGCTCACTCGGCGCTGCGCTGGCTTGGCCTCAACTCAAAGGGCCATCCATCCGCTTCCCCTTCATCTCCCCTCCTCTCCATCATCACACCCTTTCCGTTATCACCATCACCACCACCCCAAACGGATCACCCGACTCGCAGTCGTTTCTATCACACCACTTTTCCCTCACTCTCGTCGCCGTCACTGCCCACAATGACCGACGCACACTCCACCGTCACCCGGGCCACCTCGCTCAGCAGGAAGTCCACCGTGGCCAGCCGCAACGCCTCGCTCATCAAGAAGAACACCGGCCCTCACGAGCTGCGTCCCTCGGACATCCTCATCGAGCGCTTCACTGGTATGTAGACGCATTTCTCCAAAGTTGAACCGCACCGCGACATCGACAGCTGACAATCATCTCATCCCATAAATTCACAGGCTGGAAGCACATCACCAAGCAGCTCATCAGCTACTTTGAGGGCATCGCTGACATCGAGTACAACACCGCAAAGGAGCTCACCAAGCTCGGCGGCGTCATCCAGGTCCCCTTCCGCGAGGGCAACCAGTTCCTTGGCGAGGACGGCATCCAAGACATCTACTACGGCATCCGCGACAAGACCCGCGTCATCGCCGACCACCACGCCAACCTCGCAAAGACCGTCGAGGGCTCCATCGTACAGCACCTCCAGAAGCTCCGCTCCGAGATCAAGGCGCACATCAAGAATGTCCAGCAGGACACCGGCAAGCTCGCCAACTCGGTCGCCAAGGAGCGCGAGATGTCCACCAAGCAGATCACCGAGCTCGCCCGCTCCATCACCCTCCTCAAGAACACCCCCATGAGCGTCACCGCACGCGAGGACCCCTACGCCGCCAACCAGCAGGTCTTCCGCCAGCTCCAGCGCCAGGTCAACGAGGAGAACGCGCTGCAAAAATCGATCATCATCATGCAGCAGAACTCGGCCCACTTTGAGGAGGGCATCGTTCGCTCCATCCAGTCCGCCTGGCAGACCTTCGACGAGTGGTCCGGTCGCATGTCGGCCCAGGTCCAGGACACCTGGCTCAGCCTCGGCGTCCAGATGCGCTCCCTCCAGCCCAACTCGGAGTGGATCGCCTTCGCCGCGCGCTCCGACCACCTCCTCGACCCCGACACCCCGCTCCGTAACCCCGAGACCATCGACTATCCGGGCAAGGACGACCCCTCGGTCATCCCCGTCCACCAGGGCATCCTCGAGCGCAAGAAGCGCTTCACAAAGACCTACAAGGAGTCGTTCTACGTCCTCACCCCCGCCGGCTACCTCCACGAGCACGGCTCCTCGGACCCCACCAAGCACCCGCAGCCCGAGCTCTCGCTCTTCCTCCCCGAGTGCACCCTCGGCCCCCCTTCCACCATGGCCGCAAAGAGCCACAAGTTCCACATCGAGGGCCGCAAGGTCACGGGCAACCAGTCGGCCGTGCCCTCCAAGGGCCTCGCCAGCCTCGGCATGGGCCGCGAGCACGCCTACACCTTCCGCGCGCGCTCGCACGAGGAGATGATGGAGTGGTGGAACGACATCAAGCAGCTCTCCAAGGTCTACCTCACCACCTCGGAGCAGATGGACCGCTCGGGCATCGTCCCCGCCGCCGTCCGCGCCGCCGGCTACCGCTCCGAGGAGGAGGAGGACGAGGAGGAGAACGGAAGCTCCATCGAGGAGGAGGAGGACGATGAGTACGAGGAGGCCGAGGATGAGGCCGCCGCCGCTCCCGCCATCGCTGGCGCCTCGCACACCTCGGGCGCTGCCGCCGGCACCACCTCGGCCGCCAAGGAGGAGGAGGTGCCCGCCTACTCGGGCGGTGCCGCCGCCCAGGGCGAGGTGGGCCCCAACGGCTACCTGCTCGAGAAGAAGGGTGAGTCGGCACAGGCCGGCGAGCCCTCGCAGGACGGCCTCAACCGCTCCGCCTCGTCGGCGGGCAAGGAGAAGGCTGCCGAGACCGAGGCCGCCAAGGAGGCATAAGCGTGCGAATGCGACGTGATACCCTCAATATCCCAGGAGCTCCCTTCCCCGATCTGATATCCCCCCCCCCCCCCCCCTCCATCTTCTTTGCCTCGCACGCACACAATGCTGTGAAGGCAAAGAGGATGCAAAGCGATCCGCGCACCTTGTTTTCACTTCATCTAAGGCTGCTCCGCTGTTGGCTCCCCACCGCCTTGGTTTCTTTTGTATACGATTGCGCTCTTTATTCCCCTCTCCTCACACGAGAGGGTGCTTGTTAATATCCATTTCTCGTGCTTGGACGTCGTCGTGGATTGTGGTGAGTGGGTTGTGAGCGGTCGTGGATGGTGGATGCTCAAGTGGTGGGAACATTTGACTGTCGGGCGATGGAGATTCCAGCTCATGGGGGCAAACACGAGGTGGAGGCGGACAGCGGTTCGGCTCGACTGGCGCTGTCATGTGCGTCGCTGCCGAGAACGCCGAAGCACGAAGGTCTGCATTCGTCTTGGCTCGCTCTCTCTGTGTCTCTCTCTCTGCGCCTCTCTCTCACTCTGGCACAGACACATGCACAGCTGAAATTTGATCACCGCTTGGATTCATGGAAACACGACGGCAGCGATCCAGTATCGGATGCCGAATGCCAGCGCCGAGCCGGCGAGCTGGCACGCCATGGCGTGCATCCACAGATGGCGTTCGCCAATCCTTGGACCCGTATACGGCGTCTGCGCCTGGTTTGTCTGCGGCCGGTGTCGCACGCCGCGTAGCACCAGAATCGCATTGAGCAGCGTCAAGTTGGTGGTGCTCTTGATGCGCCTCCTTTCGGCATCGTAAAAGTCGAGCTGAACCAGCCGCAATCCAGCAAGCACCTTGAGCACCCACGTAGCGACGAGGCTGGCGGGCCGAAGCGGCGACTTGGACGTGTTGGGTAGCTCCCCATCGGCGTCCGTACCAGAGCCAAAGTATTGGATGGATGGATACAGGCTATCGCTCGCAGCGTCGTAGCGTGGAACGCGATGACGTGGGTTGGGAACCAGACCGAAAAGTTGTGGACAGCTGAGGAGGAAGTTGAACAGCTGTGGGGCGAAGAATAACAGCACCGTCTTGGAGAAGTGGCCCAGAATGCCGACCGTGCTGAAAACCATGCCGGCAAAGTAGCAGAATGTATCCCCCACAAACACCCGGCTCGGATACCGATTCCACCGTAACAATCCCATGCAAACACCCACGAGAGGTAGAAGCAGATAAAGACTGAGTAGGTGACGACGAAGGAGCTCTGTGCTGGAACGCGACCCCGGTTGGCCCGCACGCGGATCGAGGTAGAGCACGTCGTTGAGAACTAGCGAAAGTGCAATCACCAGTGCCTGGCCGACCTCGACGCCGTTGATGCCCGCGAGGATGTTGATGCTGTTGGTGCAGAACGTAGACAGCAGCGACATGTACACGTAGTACAGCGGCCCCAGCTCGACGATCGATCCCAACACCGTGCGCAACCCCCTAGGCCAGCCGGGAACTACGACCGACGTCCCACCCCCGCCGGCGTAGTAGACCATCAACAGCGGGATGCTCGAAATGATGGGGATGGGAAGTTTGTAGCGCCATCGAATGTCGAACACGTCGTCCAGAAAGCCGAGCACGATGGCGCACGAGAAGGAGAGCAGCGCAGACAGGAAGCTGGCTAGTTCGTGGTGCGGGAACCCCATGCGACCGTCCATACGACCCTCCCAGTCATCGCCGGTCTTCGAAACGCCTTGGAGTTGAGAGGAAAAGTAGCGGAAGGGGATGAATAGGAACAGCAACGCCATGTACACCGCGGCTGTAGGCAGGCCGAGCGATTCAGGGATCGTAGTGGCGTTGGATTTGAGCAGGTCGCGGCCCTGAAACCCGCGCGCAGCAAACACGTCCTTGGTGCGCGAGATGGCGATGCTCGTAAGCCAGAATCCGAGGATCGAAAGTCCGACCGCAGCAAATAGGCCTGGGAAGGCGTTGTCGTAGTACAGGATGAGACCGCGCTGCTTGGGCGTAACGACGACGTCGAGCAAGCTGGTGAGGAGAGGAGGCTCGGAGAGAAACACGTGCGAAAGCCACGCAAATGGCGGCCAGGCAGGAGGGGTGGCGGCGGACGCAGACGCTTCGAGTTGAAGAAGTGGCGGTAGTGCGAGCGCCAGCATGCCCAGCGGCACCACCACCACCGCTGCTGCTATTGTCGACGCCATCGAGGATCGCCACGGAAACTGGGTGGTGGACCAGCAAGAAGGAATGCGAGATGCAAGTGTGGAGCAGTTCTCAGGGTCCGCGCGCGTCGATCCTTCTGTTTGGCCCAAAACGCAATTCGACGGATCTGACGTGGAGCCTCCTTTCAAGCCGAACCCACAAACACAAACGACAACGACTTTTTTGGAGATGAGATACTTTTTGTCATTGCGCACAGTCATGCTCACGTCTCACTTGTACCTCGGAGTGAAGTGGTGGGAAGATGTCTTCACAGCGCCGGACTTCAGGCGTCCTTGCTGGGCAGGCATGGACGAGCCACACCCAACCCGCGACCCTGTGGACCTCTGCATGCCCAAAACCGACGGCCTGTCGCGGCCAAGCCGGGGGCTGCGTCCTCAGTGACCAACCAGGATCGAGCCACGCTCGGGCGCCATCGCTTCCCGAAGGAAGCTCGGCTGTATCAAGCCCCCCGCACCCGAAGGCACAAAGGGCGACGCATCCGAATCCGTGCTATACGAAGTGTTGCTGTAGCTAGGCTATGACTCAAACCCCGGTCACGGGAGCCAGTGCACCGCGAACGGCACACGGCTCCAAGACACGGTGCTCTTAAGACCCAGCACGACGCACGTATGCAGTCAAGCACAGTGCGTCACGAGCTCCCGGATGACCAGGAGCGGAAAGGGGGAGATGAAAAGAAGGAACGGAGAGCGGGAAGGGTAAAGAGGGAAGAGAGAGCTGGAGAGAGGGAAGGATGGGGATTCGGAACCTCACAGGACCAAAAGCATCGCCACAAACCGGTCGCAGGGCGCGCGCGTCGAGCCAAATGGATGCTTGCGCCAGACGCGGAGCTACACGACATCCTCAAAGTCGTCCATGCCGTCATCGTCGTCGTCGTCGTCGCCTCCGCCGCCGCCGCCACCGCCACCATCGCCACCGTTCTCGACCGTCGTGGAAGCGGGAGCGACGTGCGGCTCCGTCCTGGCTCTCTTCTTGTCGCTGTCGCCGTCATCGGGCGAGCGCGACCGTTTGAGTGGCGACGGCCCGGGCGAGACGGGCTCCAAGTCTTCAAAGTCCTCCTCGTCGACGTCGAGCGTGGTGGGATCGGGCTTGGACGATGCAGCCGCCTCGGCGGTCTGGAGACTGGCGTACTGGGCGTAGTAGTCGTCGTCGTCGGCGTCGTCGTCGTCCTTGCCGTCGTGCACGTCGATGCCGCTGGACGAGTGCAGACGCTCTTGCTTGCGTCCGAGAGCGGTCTGCTCTCCGCTGACGGTACTGGCGAGATGCCATGCGGGCAGCGCGTTTTGCTTCCTCTGCTCGTCCTCTGCCTTTTGCTTGGCGAGTCGGCGCGCGGCTTCGGCGGCAGGATCGTTGGACGCCAGATCCACCTGCAGCGTGGGGGCGGCGCTGACGCTCGACGACGACGGCAGCGAGCCGGTCTCGTCGGAGCGTGCGGCGAACCAGGGCTGCGAGGCGGCGTGCTTGGTGAGCCAGGCACCGACGTCGAGCGGCGGCAAGACGATGCCTTCGGTGCGTCGGAGGCCGCCGAGCAAGGCAGCGAGCTGCTCGTTGAAGCGCATGAGGCTGTCCTTGCTTCGTTTGACGTCCTCTGCCTCTTCGTTGTCGACGAGCTCGGTGGTGCAGCCGGGCGTCTCGCAGACAAAGACGTTGCGGAAGATGTCGAGCAGATGGGCGACCTCGAGGGTGGAGTACGACTTTTTGCAGCGCGGACAGAGGTAGCCCTTGTTGTCGAGCTCGTTGCGTAGGCGGGTGTCGATCTTTTTGCGGATGGACATCATGCGCCACTTTGTGACGTCGAGGAAGAGCTTGTAGTCGAGGTAGTAGTAGGTGCGGGGCACGCTGCGGTTGGTGATGGCGTCGCGGATCTCGTTGCGGCGGAAGGTGCAGATGAGCTTGTCCTCGAGCAGCTTGGACGAGAGCGCGGCGAGCTCCTTGACCTGGATGCCGAGGCGATGGGCGAGCACGTCGGCGGGGAGCACGGTGATGCTGACGAGCTGGTCCATGAGCACAATGTGGCGGTCTTCGTAAAAGATGCGCGCCACGACCTGGGCCATGCGTCGGATGGTGGAGAGCTGCTCTTCGCCTGCGAGCTTGAGCTCGGCATCGTGCACCGCCCCCCGGCCGAATGCAGCGGTGCTGGACATGTCGTTGGCGGAAGGCAGAGGCTGTGCGAAGGGATCAGAGTATCAAAGACGGGGCGTGTAGACGCATGCCACCATCCTCTTCAGGCGATGAAGAGAGAGGCAGAGACGCAGACGGGCGCGGCGACGACGGAGACTGCTGGCCACGAAGAGGGGAAAAAGAAAGTCAGACAAACATGCAAGAGCCACAGAAGGCTCGATGCTCAGGCAAGGACCATAGTTGCGAAAAGGTGGTGGTTTGAAGGCAAAGAAGTCGAAAGCTGCTCTTCGAGACGCAAATCCCAATCCCAATCCAAATCCAAATCCAAATCCCAATCCACACGCGCCCGCGTCTGCCGCAGTTTGCTGGGTCGATCTCTCTTTTGGCCAGTCACAGTGCCAGTCGGGTCCGATTTTAAGCTTGTCCCGATGGCTGATGTGCCGATGTGTACAGCTTATCGCCGATCGGAAGATGCAGTCAGGGTCCAACCAAAAAATGCAGAGTCGAGTGATTTAGAGGGAGCTGCTGAGTGATTGGATTGAGAGTCTGGCAGGTTTGGCCTTTTTTGGAGCGCTGAGCAGCTGCCTTTCATTGCTGGGCACGGCTCACCTCGTTGCCTCTCGCCTCCCACTCCAATCCTCCATAGGCTCAGCTTCGCATTCTTGACCAGACCCGGTCCACATAACTTACTCGAGCGCAGCCTTCATCGACTTCGTATCCTACCGAGCCTCGACGTAGCCATAGCCATAGCCTGGGCAAGACCCGCACACACATCCAGGGCGCGTCCTCCAAGCCCCACCGTCAAGCCTGGCCTGCTGGCGTCCGCACGCCGAGGCCTCCCGTCAAGATGGTCCGCATCCCCGCCCTGCCGCTCCGTCTAGACGGCTACGAGGGATGGACGCCCGACTCTCCGCATCCAAGCATCGCAAAGGTCCGCGACACCATCTCCACAGACGACATGTGGACCCACTTTATCAGCCAGCGCCGCCCCGTCGTCATCGACGGCCTGCTCAAAGACCCAGACTGGAAGGCCGCCAAGTGGACCGACCTCGACTATCTCAAGTCGGCTGCAGGCCATGCACCCGTCAAGATCGAGCCCATCCATCCCGCCGCAGGCCACTTTGGCACCTCGGTCAAGAGGAAAAAGGTCAAGTTTGCATCCTTCCTCGACATGCTCCAAGACCCTTCCGACCAAGGCAAATGGTACCTCACTACACAATACGTCGACGAGACAGAGCATCCAAACAACGCCGCCCACTCAGCTGCGTCGGCCTCAAACAATCCAGCTGCCAACGACCCAGATTCCGACGACAGCGATAACGAGCCCGAGCTCGATCCCGTCTTGCCCTCGCCAACCGACGCGCTTTCCAACGACTTCCCCGCCAGACCCGCCCTGCTCGGCAATCTCGTCCTTCAGCAGTGCAACCTCTGGCTCGGAAACAGCAAAGAGGGAAAGAGCAGCGGCCTCCACCACGATTTCCACGACAACCTTTACATCCTCTTGTCCGGATACAAGCGCTTCTTGCTCTTTCCACCCTCCGCACATCGCTACTTGCATCCACGCGGCCTCGTCGACAGAGTCCACCCCAACGGCCTCATCGTCTATGCTCCTCCTGGCGAGCTCCCCTCTTACATACCCGGCCGTCGCCGGCCACAGCTGCCCATCCGTGCAGATGGTCTCGTCCCTTCCGATGCCGCAAGGTGGCGCAGAAACGCTCGCCTTCGCATCAAGCGCGACATCGACGAGCGCGCCGCTGCCGACGCAGGAGAGGGGTCTCGCAGCAGAAGCCAGCGCAAAGGAAAGGCAAAACAGACCCGCGCCCAAGAGCTCGCCGAGGAGGCCCTCCTCCAGGCAGAGGCAGAGCTCCGCATCTGCGAGATGGATGAAGACGGCATCGATCCTGAAGCAGACACCTCCGACGACGCCTACGACGACGAACAAGACGGAGATGACGATAGCGACGACCAGGCCGACTTGAACGGACTCCTTGGCATCTTTGCCGATCCCGATGATAATCAAACTGGCCAGTCCTCGGAAGAAGAAGACGAAAGCGCCACCGACGCCGAGGACAGCGATGAAGAACACCAAGTCCAGATTCGCAGACTCCTCGACTCCTTACCCGACGCCATGAAACCAATCGCAATGGCTTCCTTAGCTGGCGACCAGGCTGCCTATCACAAATTGCACGACTACCTCGCACGCATCGCCTCACCCGCTGACTCTCCGCCCGCTGACTCTCCGCCCGACTCGCGGCAAGAGCCAGGCAGCTCGGATCCGGAATCCGACGACCAGCATGACGACGCCTCATCGGACCGAGACTCTGCGCACCAGCCATCAGCACTGCGCGTCCCCTCCAACGGTGTCAACAAGCGCAAACAAGCTTCGCCATCCGATGACGAGACATCCAGCAACCACCAAGATAGCGATGCTTCGGATGACATCCCCAAACATGCCCGCGCTAACACCGCAAAACGCGTAAAGATATCCCAATGCGTCGCCAGCATCGACGCCGAGCAGGCTCAATCGGACTTCAGCCAGAGCGAGGACCAAGACAGCGACGGTCGTGACCCATCCCTGAGCGGTGAAGCGACAAGTGACGGCGACGATGACGATGACGACGACGACGAGGAATCCGCCTTTTTCGCCGGCGCAGAGTCCTCATCCGAGTTTGGAGACGTCGACGAGGGGGAGGCCGAGCTCGAGCGCCTCCTCGCACTTGCCGAGGGCGGCGATCCTGAATCCGACGAGGATGGCACGGCCGAAGACGACGATGACGAACCACAGAGCTTTTCGCGCATCCCCCCGCACGAGCTGCACAGGGTCCTCAACGTGCCAGATGACCCCTCCAACCCAGCCATCCCCAAGAACGGCGCGCCCAAGCCTGGTCTCAAGAACGGTGCTCAACCGGAACGTTTCACCATTCTGCCCGGCTGTCCGCCCCCGATCGAGGTATTCCTCAAGCCAGGTCAGATGCTCTACCTACCCGCCAGCTGGTACCACGAGGTCACCTCCTCCTCGTCCCCTCCCGTCCACGAACGGGCTGCAGCCACTGGCAGCACAGCGGAACCGAGCAAAGTCCACATGGCGCTCAACTACTGGTTCCATCCGCCCGACGCTCTCAACTTCGAACCCGTCGAACCCAAGCTTGCCCAGGGCCGCGCTTCAGACGAAGCCGTCGTACCCGGTCTCGGCGTGGCGCTCGGCGAAAGCGCCTTGGAGAACAGAGGCAGTGGCACCGGCACCCACGAGAGACCCTACCGCGATGCAGAGGTCTGGGACGAGGTCGCCCGTGCCGTCGAGCAGCAGGTCAAACTCGCCCGCGATCGAGCCAGGTGACGCCGTCCCCCCTCGAGCCTGCACATCATGCACCGCGCACACGTACGAACCGCGCATCGTGAATTTTCAAACTCATCACCACCCTCACATCCGAGCACAGTCACACAGTGTGAGTCCGATCAGTGACAATGACATTGAGCATCAGAACCCACTCTCTTCAAACGCCACCAGATTCTGCCCCAGCGTGCCGTCGAACAGCTTCCACACGTCGGGCATGGATTCGAGCGCAGGCAGGATGTGCGCAAGCTGCTGCTGCGGCATGTTGAGATTCATGCCTGGAATGTTGCCCTGCATTCCGTTCTCCAGCGACGCATCTGGCTGATTGATCGGCCAGGTCGGCATGGGCGAACTAAAGTCTCCGGTGACAGGCAAATCCAATCGTCTTGCTGGTCCTCGACCGTCGTCACCATTGGTGGTGCGGTGGCCGTTGAGAGCGCTAAACGGATCGTTGATGCCGCCGGGACTCGCGTACGACATGAACATGCTCGAGAGCGAGTTGGTTGCATCGCTCGGATGGAACGACGCATTCTTGCCCGCGCGACTCGTCGAGTTGCCCGCCAGAGGATTGAAGTTGCTCGAGCCGTAGCCGAAGGAGGCAGCCGGAAGTAGGCCGCCCCGCTCCGCATCGGGCGAGGTGCCTTCGGCTAGTGCTGAAGACACGTTAGAGCGCACAGAAGCGTGGTTGAAATGCGAAAACCAACTGGCTTCCAAAGCCTTTTCTGTGTGCGCATGTGCAAGCGCAGGATTCACAGCGTGCTCCTGTGGTGACCTTGCATTCGACGGCATATCGGTGCGCGAATCCGTATCGGGCATCTGTGGCGAGTCCCCTTCGCCTTCTGGCAGTCGAATTCGTTTGAGCACCGAATCTACGCCATCGGTCGCCTTGCGCTTCCTCGGCTCCCTCGGGCGCTGATCGTAGCGCTCACCCTCTTCCAGCAGATCGGCGAGCAGCTGACATCCTCGACGAGCAATGGCGCTCTTGCGTGTGAAGCGGCTGAGCGCTTCGAGCGCGCATTTGACCTCGTGCCGCCTCTTGGCGCGATGCGGTGCGTGCGACGCCGGCTTGAACATGTCCAAGGCCAAGATGGTCGCTGCCGCCACTGAGTGGTACGGAATGGTCCAGAGTGCGCCGCCGTGAACGCGCGACTGCAGATCGAGCTGCGGTCGATCGTCGTCATCAGCGTTGAGGCCGAGACCACGCTCGAGTTCGTGCAAGACCCCACGAGCCGTCTCGATCGAGGCAGAGTGAGACTGTTCTCGCTCGTGCTCCGAGACGTCGCGAGAGAGAAAGGCTCGGTGCATCACCAGGATCTTGTGCTGTACCGAGATAAAGAGGTAGTGCTGCAGCACGGTGGTAAAGCTCGGCAGATTGCCATGGCTACCTTGCCCCGATGCAGATCTGGTTGGATCGAGGCACGCTTTGAAACGATCCGTCACGAACCGCAGCCTGGCTTCGTGATGACGGACCAAAGATAGCGATGGAACGCCTCGTGCCTTGTTGAGGTCTTCGAAGAAGTCGCAGACGATCTTGGCGACGTGGCAGGTGAAGCGTTGTTTTGATGCCACGGTCAGGACGTTGACCTCGCGATTGATCAAGCGGCCCTCTTCGAGATCCTCGTCCGAGCAGTTGTGAGGCAGCGGTGTATCGTACTGCCCTTCGACGATTGAGAAGCAGCCGCTGAATGGAATGGCAAAGTAGTCCTGCTGGGTGAAAGCCCACCAGACGCGCTTGCCAACTTCGAGGTCGATGATGCGCTTCCTCCAAATGGCAAACTGCCGTGGCGATTCGTCGGGGAGCCGGCACGAGCCGGAGTCGTCGCATTGGATGCCCGCACGCTTCAGGACCTGGCTACGCTGGGCCGCACATGCCTCCAGAAATCTTGCCGAACGACCGAGCGCATGTAGTCCCAACGTTTGGCCCGTCTTGATGCCGATCGCTAGTAGAGACGTCAAAAGATCGCTGCCGCAGATGTTGTGTCCCGCCACGCAAAGAATGGCGATTGTCTGGCAGCAGTACGCCGAAGGCTTGACCAGGTAGTCGGCGAGTGAGAGCGACTCCATGGCAGCGTGCAGCATGATCGACGCAAGCTGCATCCTTTCCACCTCGGCGCCCACGCCGCAATGAGACCCCTCCTCTTCTGACATTTGGTGGACGGCGATGCTGCAAAGGACGTAGAAGAGGGAGAGCCATGCTGGGTCGATGGCACGAAACCCCTCAAAGTCCGAGCCTTGTCCATTGAGAGAGCCAGACACGGCGATGGCCAAGAAGGCCTCCACCTCACGTTCAAAGGTGGGAAAGTGCACGCAGCAGTGTTGCCAGGCTCCGATCTCTTTGGCAATGCCCACAATGCCACGGATGGCAGAGGGTGATAGCTTGGCAGATTTGATGCCGTCTGTGACGGGCTTGATGGCAGGTCTCGCGAGCAAATTGGCTGGTGGGAGCTCGTCGGGATGGGATCGTAGGAGCGCTTCGATCTGCGCGACCACAAAAGACGGCAGCCCTCGCCGGAGGTGCTTGAGCATGCGCAGTCCTGGATCGTGATTGCCATCGGCGGCAAGCGCTTGGCCATCTCTGCCCGCCTGCTGCGTGTGCGGAATGCCAGAACTGCTGAAGAGCGGTCGCTGACTGGCATCTGCTGTTGTCTCTAGCGGATAAGGATGGCTTGCGTCTGCGTCAGTGTCCGAGGAGCTGGCGTCAAAGTCGAGATCGCGCCGCCTGTCCTTGCCAAGCGTGAGGAATTCGAGCGTGGTGGCGGCATCCGTCGAGGCGAGTTCGGCGTTTCGCTCTTGCGGCTCAGTCACTGGCATCCTTATCTTTGCTCCACGCGCGAGACTTGTCGCGCCTTCGGAGGGGCTTCGGCCGACGCCATCAAGCTTGCCATTTGGCGTGCTCGGAGCCGCAGGACGGCCCGGGCGGCGGGTGTCGTCGCCGGTGCGATCAGAGAAGATCGCAGCGTTGGGAGTGACCAGGTCCGATACTGGCTCTTTCCAGGCATCGCGCCTCTCGCCGAGCGCAGATATGACGTCTTCAACGTCGTTGAGTCGAGCCTTGACGTCCTCGATGCTGTCGTCTTGTTTCGACTGGTACTCCAAGCGCCGCTCGATGCGATCCAGCTGCTGCTGCAGTCGGGACAGTCCTCGGAAGAGGGTATCGTCGAGTCCACCCAGCCTCGGCTCTGCTGGAGCACCGGCTCCGTTTGAGAAGCGTCGGAGGGAGCCAGAGGGCAATGGACTCTCTTCGGCTGGTCTGCCATCGTCGCTCTGCTCTTCGGGTGTCTTGAGGCCTCGTAGCGAAGAAGGACCGGCCGATTCGAGTGGCGAGCCTTCGAGGCGACATTGCTCGGCTCTGCCTCGCTTGACGCAGGATTGGCACGGCACCTTTTTGTCGCACTTGATCTTTCGTCGCGCGCATTCGGTGCATGACCACGATGGACGCTGACTGCGCTTGTAGGGTACAGGGACGGGCTTCGAGTCCTCGCCATTACGGTTTGGCGTGTCGGCCATCTTGGCCTCTTCCTATTCGGATGGAGAGCCTACTAGGTAAGCCGCGCGGATGCTTGGGGTCGGTCTTGTTTGATGAAAGGAGCATGAGAGAGACCGAGCAGCGCAGCGCTACGCTCGGCTCGAGTCTCGCATATGCCAGATGCCGCTCAGCTGGGTGAGAGAAGTTGGGGAGAGTGGTGGTCGGGTTGGATGCAAGGTATTGCGCACGAGCCCAGGGCGCATTGCAGCTCTTCGGAAGCCGACTGACTGATGAGCATGATTTTTCGACTTTACGCTTATCTTTCCGCGGGTCTCGACGCGGCTGCCGGCTCTGCGCATGTTGCGGTGCAGCCGTGACGCTTATCGGCTCCATCGGTGTGGGGTAGCCAATCATCATGGATCTCGCAACCCGCAATCACATCGTTTGCACTCGGGGCTCCCATTACATCTTATCTCATACGGCGCATCAAGCTCCCTCGTCATATAAGATCATGGATCAAAGGCACTCGGCGATGGCCGTCCCGATCCGTACGCCGCCACGAGCTGGACATTCATCTTTCAGACCATGCATGATGCGCCCGTGTGACTCTGACTTTTTCTCGGCTACGGCCCGCCCTCGTGCCTGGTTGGCTTCATGCTCCTTCATATCCTGGAGACACGCGCCCTGGCTGATCATGGATGCCTCGCTGATCTCGCCAGTCGGCGTTCTTTAGGGTGTGCCTGCGTGGCTTAATTCCACTCATTTCTTACAATGTCCCCACATGGTCACACGCGATGGAACTGCCCGATGTAGAACTTTTATCCTGATGCATCAGAATCAATGATTGCATCACAACACCTCGTCTGTGTTTTACCGTCGTGGTTTGTGGTTTAAAAGAAGCCAACAAAATCATGAAAAGAAGGCGCGGGCGGTACAACTCGCAAATTTGGAAAAACTTCTTCAGTGATGTAGCGAGCTTGTAACAGCCATTGATTACGGATTTTGGATCTTCGTGAGGGAACTCGTGTCTGTGCCTGTTCTATAAGTTACATAACTATCAAGCAAAGACTCATATCCTAACAAATGGGGTGGGTGGCGACGGTCAGCCACCCCTCAGCCACCCCGGGTGGCTGTTTGGGATCAGCCACCCCACAGCCGCCCACACACACATGGGTGGCTGATGGGTGGCTGATCAATAGAAGCCACCCCGGGTGGCTGAGGGGTGGCTGCTGATTACCAGCCACCCCGGGTGGCTGATGGGTGGCTGCTCGTCGCCACCCACCCCATTTGTTAGGATATGAGTCTTTGCTTGATAGTTATGTAACTTATAGAACAGGCACTTATGGTGGATCGATAATTTTTGTCACCCGAAATGACTATGATTTATGACCGTCACCAACTCACATTCTGACGCCATGCAAGAGACCGACCCCTCGTGATATCACTCCATCTGCAATCTCATTGAGTGAGTCTCAATGGAAGTCATAAAAATAAGTTGGTTGAAATTGATTTAACTTTACGCAAGTAGTAATATTAAACCTACCTGATTTGAGTCAATTAAGTCAACAAGCTCGTAAGACTACTTTGTGTGCAAGCGTAAGTTAAGTTAACTTATCTGCTTATCAAGATCAATGACTATTTAGTCTTGCATGGTGAGCCATAAAGCTGTAAGTTAAATTAGATCATTCATGATTCTTCCACCTCAAAAAAAAAAACCGTCGGCTAAGCTAGCTACAAAATGACGCCGAAAGACGCAAGTGAAAAGCGCCCAAAACCGGTAGAGTCCGGACTGCTTCAATTGTTCGACACGACCCGGTCTTTCTTCACGCGGGCGTCAATAGAATTTCTTTTTGCAGAAAATAAGTTCTTTGTAAATTAGATGAAGATTGAGATCGAAGATGGTGATCCATAGAAAATACGATGGGTCTATTCTAAGTAGCACCTTACGTTAAGGTGAACTTAGTCGGTCTTGACTAGGATCATGAATGGAATTGCTCAACGCTATGAAAAACGGGAGCTACCACGTCGTCACTGCCAACAACGTCAATGCGCAGCCCTTCTCCCTCTCCCCCTGCGCCCACCAACCAGCGCCGCAAGCGCTTCAGTGTCAAGAAAGCGCAAGCTGAGGCGTCGTGCAAAGCGCTCGGGCAGTAGGCGGCCCGCCACCCTTTCCTCCTTGTCCCTCCCCCTTCCCCCTCTTTTCCCCTTGGGCAAAGTGACCTGGACGACCTGATCTTGACGTCC